AACCTGGGTCCTCTGCAAGAGCAGTCAGTGCTCTTAACCGCTGAGCCATCTCTCTAGCCCTGGGCTAGAATCTTTGTCTCATAATATGGGCATTAGGTAATAATATGGGCATTAGGTAATAATATGGGCATTAGGTAATAATATGGGCATTAGGTAATAATATGGGCATTAAGTAATAATATGGGCATTAAGTAATAATATGGGCATTAAGTAATAATATGGGCATTAAGTAATAATATGGGCATTAGTTGTGCACAACTACTTGATGAAACCTGGCATCAGAGCCAGGTCTTCCTGGTTCCGCATTCTGTATAGCGTTTAATGCTTTTACCATTTTCCCTCCTACAGTGTAGACTTTCCTGCTTTGTTAATGCCTTTCACTGGGGTCTGTTATAGGGACTCTTAAGTGTTTTCTTCCTAGGAGGAAAAAAGTAAGACAGATGTGAATTTGAAAGCTCTTCAGAATGAAGAATCTGACGATCCAGTGATGGTTCTACAAACAATCTTACTGCAGGTATAGTGGGTCTATGTACATCTTTATGTGTATATACATATCAAAAGAGAGTCTGCGTGTGCGTGTGCGTGTGTGTGTGTGTGTGTGTGTGTGTGTGTGTGTGATTTGTATGTAGACATCAGATTGGCTTAGGACTAGCTCTGAAATGGAAAATGGCTTCATTGTAACTTGATCCCTAGCTGTGACGGCTCTTACCTGTAACACAACTCAGGAGGCCAAAGCAGAAGAAATACCTTGATTTGGGGGCCAGCTTGGGCTATAGAATGAGACCCTGTTTCTATAAACAAAGAATCCATTTATTGGACCCACTCTTAAAAACATCCAGAGGCTGGGAATGTGGCCCAGTTGGTAGAGTGCTCGCCTAGCTTATGTAAGGCCCAGGGTTCAGTCTCTAGTATAGCATAACCCAGGCGAAGTGGCACGTGCCTGTAATCCCAGAACCTGGGAGGAGGAGGCAGGAGGATCAGGAGTTCAAAGTGATTCTCAGCTGCATAGCCAACCTGGGTTACAGGGGATCTTGTCTCTCAAACAAACAAAAACATGTTCACTTGTCTCTTTAAAGTCCTCATCTGTAAGCACAGTTCTAGTCTGAAATATTGGAAGTTGCAGGTTCAACATACTAATTTTAGGAAGATAAAGTCTATATCTACCACATCTTTCTTGTTTATTCTTCAAAATACTCAAATACCAGATTAATAATCTTTATTTTGCAATTAGATATTCTTAAAAAAAGATATTCTTTTTTTCCCGGAGCTGAGGACAGAACCCAGGGCCTTGTGCTTGCTAGGCAAGCAATCTACCACTGAGCTAAATCCCCAACCCCATGAGATACTCTATTTTTTAACAAAATAGTTTCTTTTAAATTTTTTTTTTAATTTAATGTGTGTGTGTGTGCATGTATATAGGTGTACCTATGTCATGCAATGCATGCCAAGGCCAGAAGAGGGTGCTAGGTTCCCCTGGGACTGGAGTTACAGAAGATTGTTAGCCACCATGTGGGTGCTGGGAACTGAACCCAGGTCCTCTGCAAGAGCAGCCAGTGCCCTTAACTGCTGAACCATTTCTCCAGCCCCAATTTGAGGGTTTCTAAACTGAATCTTAAGATTTTTTTTTTTTTTTTTTTTTTGATCTTTTTGAGACAGGGTCTCCCTGTAGACCAGGCTGGTCTTGAACTCATAAAGATCCGCCTGCCTCTGCCTCCCAGTGCTGGGACTAAGGCATGCACCACCACACCTGGCAAAACTACATTTTAAAAACTTTGTAGAGTTGTGATTAATCGTCTTACAAATTTGTGTTCTGGGGAAGTTAAACAGATACAGCCCTGTTGATCCCTCTGAATTTGTGTTGAAATTATTTCTCAAAAGATTTTAAATGACTGTGTTTCTTTTATAAGGAGGAGAACAATCAAATTCCTCTTGATCAGCTGGGCCAGAAACTCCTGAAGAAGACAGGAATAACTTGGAACAAGAAGTACAGAAAACAGCACGGACCACTGCGGAAGGTAGTGCTGGGGCCCCTAGGCCGTCCTCCCCCAGGACCCGGGCAGGCCATCCTTCCCAGGAAGTCCTATCGTGATCCCAGCAGCATGACTTCCTCTGCAGAAGGAACGTCAAAATGGGCGAAAGTAAAATCAGTATTTCTGTTCAATGGTTAGAATTCAGCTAGTAAGTTACATAGTACGTCTGACTTATTTAGGTTATCTATGAAGTAAGCAGAAGAGATCAACAGCCTAAAGCATGTCCCTCTGAAGCTGAGCTGGTAGCCAAGCTGGTCACCTCGTTTCCTAGGCTTAACTTAGAAGTAGAAACAAGCATCACCAGAAGGGATAACTGCACAAAACCGCTTCTTGGGGGGACAAGCACTTGTCCCTTCATTTATTGTTGAGTGAGTCTTTTAATTAGACCACAGAAAAGCTTGTGTTTTTTTTTTTGTTTGTTTTGTTTTCCTCTATTTAATGCGTTATTTTGGACTTGTGTTTTTCAGGGACTTGTTCTCAGATCTCTTGGCATCGACATGCTCTAACATCCGTGTTATCTTAGTGTCTTTACAGCCTGAAGCTGTGGCTTCCTTTTCATTTCTCATCAGTGATCTGTTTTCTTGTTCTATCCCTGTCAGACTTCATAGGGAGTCATTGATGTTATTTTCAAAAAGCTGTTGGAAAAAGCCAACCCTTGATTTTGGTGAGTCAGGTGTGAACCTGCTGCTTTGCTCTGCTGTGTCCGTTCACACGTCACCGTGTTTAATTGCTGTTTTCCCTCTACTTCATGAGATTTAATTTCATCTTTTTTTAATAAACTTTTTCTGATACATGCATCTTTTTATTATCACTCAATTCAAAATAGTTGGTTTCCCTTGTGTAGAAGTGTGTTGCTTAAATTTCAGATATTTAGGGATTTCTAGTAGTTTTTCATTTTGTGTATAAATTGAATTTTTGTTTAATATCATTGTACTATCATGTAATACCATTTGGTTTAGTATCATTAACAGCATCCTGTATGTAATTTCGGTTCCTTTGAATTTAATGAGACTTGTTTTACATCCTAGAATGTGGCCCGTTTTCATTGGAGAAGTTATTTTCTGCAGTTGTTAAAGAAGAGCTTTTTTTCTTTAGGTTTTTTTAGTTTATGAGTTCTTTGCCTACATGTGTGACATGTGCAATGCTTATAGAGGCCAGAAGAGGGCATCGGATTCCCTGAACTGGAGTTACTGACAGTTAACTGGGTGTTGGGCGCTGGGCATCAAATCCAGGTCCTCTGCAAGGAGCACTAGGTGCTCTTAACCACTGAGCCATCTCCAGCCCCTGAAAGAGTTCTTCCCTTTCCCCTTTGTTTTGACTGTGTGTGTTTTGTGTGTCTTGAAGCCGTTATTAGGTGTGTGCACATTTAGAATTGTTATGGCCTCCTGCGCTTACCTCGGGGGGGAGATGTTGTTTTTGGTTTGGCCTTTGAAGACATCATTTTGCCATGTTCTGGTGTTTTGTACAGCACATTTGCTTCTTTTGAGAGCTGGCTGGCCTAGAACTCACAGAGACCTGTCTGATTCTGCTTCCCAAGGGCTGGGGTAGAGGTGTGCTCCACCGTGCCCAGCTACTTCCTTTGTTTTGGGTGAGAAATCAACTGTCACCTTCTTAAAAAAATATTTACTACTTTTATTTTATGTGTATGAATGTGTTGCCTGGAACTGGAGTTATGGACTGTTGTTAGGCCATGTGGGTGCTGGGATTCAGACCTGGGTCCTCTGCAAGAGCAGCCAGTGCTCTTAATGGCTGAGCCATCCCTCCAGCCCCAACCATCACCTTTTAAATTGCATTTCCTTAATTGCCGTCTTTCTGTTTGACTTTCAGTCTTCACGTCTGGTTTCTGTGTCTGGGTGATGTGTCGAGGTGTGCGTCCTTGTGCTCACCTGCGCTGTATCTCCTCACACCTTGAATGCTCACAGGTGTTTGCTTGTTTGATTTTCTTCTCTCCTAGATAATTTGTATTGGTCTATTTTCAGGTTCACTTTTTTTGAGTGTCCATTTCGCCCTTGAAATCTCCTCTTCCTCACTCTTCCTGTAATTTCCTACAAGTTCAGTATGTTGTAATAGCTTCGTGCTGTTATAATATGCAACTTGGTTCTGAGCTTGTTTCTGTTGCTTCTAGTTCTTTTATAAATTGACTATTCCATCTGTTGATTATGAACACACTATCCTGTTTGTGTGTCACATGTATTTATATTTAAATTTTTATTTTCTAATTATAAATTACAAATTAAGTTATGTATACTTATGTAGTATAAAGGGATGTTAATAATTTGTCATTATAATGTGCTATTAAATCAAACATACCCATCATCTCAAATACTTCCCTTTTATGTTGAGAATATTTGAAAATTACATAGTGATTTTAGAATGTTCAATAAATTATCCTTTACTGTTATGACACTTTGATGACAAAGGAAAAGATTTCTTTTTTTAAAAATTTATTATTTTAATTTATGTATATGCATGTATTACCCAAATGTATGTGTGATGCATCCGTGTCACGCAATGCCTGCAAAGGACAGACAGTCCCCTGGATCCATTGGATTCCCTGGAACTAGAGTTACAGACAGTTGTTAGCTGCCAAACCCCAGTCTTCTGCAAGAACAGCAAGTGCTCTTAACCACTGAGCCGTCTCTCCAGCCCAGGAAGACACTGCTAATAGAGGCTTTGTATCTCTCCTCCATCGCTTCCCCGTTGTACTCAGGCCCAAATACATCTGTCATATACTAAAGATTATAAGTGACATGTTGTGGAGACTGGACTACAGTAGTTTGGAAGTTTTACATTGCGTGCCAAGTATAGCAGCACTTACTGTGATCTCAGCATTTGGGAGCTGAGGCAGGAAGATCTAAAGCAAGCTCAGGCCCCCAGGCTGCGCAGGGAGACCCTGTCTCTACAAAACTTTATATTGCATTCTAACAAGCCTTGAGGTTACCTTAAGGGTCTTTGATCCTAGCTTTTGGTGAGGTGAATCTAACAATTTTGCCTGAGTGCTGAGGCATGCATGGTCTTGCCTCTTAAGACAGGACTTAGCAAACTGCACCCTGGGAGAAAGCATGGCCTTCTACCTGTCTTGTACTCTCCCTAGCTAGGAGCAATCTTTACATGTCTTCAATTTGACTGCTAAAATATTTACCATCTGAAGGAAAAGTGTGATCCTCTCTGACGTGGCAAGGCTTTTCTGCGGGCTCTTTCTGGATGCCAGGTCCTCTGCACAGTTGTGAGTCGCTAGCCGTTGTTTCTTGCTGGGCTCCTTGTGGTCTTAAGCTGTTGATTTATGATTTAGTCAGATTTAAGGGGACTTAGATTAGGAACTCCTCTGTCAGATCTCTTACTTGCTAGACTTTCTGGTGTTCTCAGATTCCACCTCCTCTGCCCAGTGAGCCTCCTGCCTTCTGCTTGAACACCGTCCTACTGCACCCTGCTGCAAACTTTGCCACCCTGTGTCCCCCTCTGGAGGTTTGTGTCTACTCCGCTCTGTACCTGCCTTCAGCTGCTCTCCAGACAGGCTTCCATTGTCCTGTCTAAAGAGTTTGGGTGATTAGTAGGAGGTGGATCTAATGAAAGCTCTGTGCCATGCCTGGGGCCATACAGCACTAGATTTGAAGCTTAAGAGTTAAGAATCCTTATCTATTAGCAAAGAAAATCCTAGCTTATCGAGGAAGCCCATTACTCAAAACTTTCAAGTTGCTGATATTTAGTTGTTCCTAGAACTTCGCTGTCTTACCACCGATGCCCATATGATGTTAACAGCATTGTCTTTGGATCAGATGCCCTAGGCTTTTCTGTTTGTGATAAAAATAATACTTTTGATAATAAGTATTTCTACAAATTGCTTTCTTTTCAAAATAAAGATGAGAAAATCCCTTGTGTGTGTTGATTGATGAGCTCAGGTAGTAAAGAGGAGCTCCCAGGCCAACAGAGGGGAGGGGAGACCCCGAGAGGAAGGAGCTGAGGCCACACAGAGGGAGGGAAGGGGAGACCCCAGAGGAGGGAGTGGGGAGACAAATGGGGAAGAAGATTGTTTTCTCTTACTGCTTCTCAAGAAGAACTGGAGAAAACGCCTTTGAGATTGTGAGTTCAGCTTTTCCATGCTCTGATTGCCTGAGCATGCCTGTCAGCTTCCAGAACGTAGACCATCAGTACAGTTAACGTTAGAAGGAAATGTAGTCTTATGCTTCTGCTCCCAACACTGGATCTGTACTTTAAAACTACCTTTTGATAGTGACACACTTTGTAAGTGTCTTTATTTAGATTGCTTTTATTTTCTTTTTTAAATATTTTAGATTAGCATACAGGTAATGGACTTTGCCATGACATGTGAAGACGTGTGTCGTTATACTGTGTTCGTTTCCCTCCCTCACCACTGACTGTACCCATTTTCCTCTCTTTTACCTGTTTCTTCCATTTTAGTCCAAACTTCTCCTTTATTTTATTTTTTATGTGTATGAGTGTATTGCTTGCACATATGTAAGTGCACCCAAGTAGTACAGTTCTCACAGAGGTCAGAAAAGGGCATCAATCTGCCATGTGAATGCTGGGAATCAAACTCTGGTCCTCTGCAAGAGTGGTCAGTACTCTTAAGCACTGAACCGCCTCTCCAGCCCCCAAACTTCTGTCTCTTATCACATGTATTGTTCCCTGCCTGTCCCCCACTCCCTTTAAGAGCGCTTGCTGCCCTCTGAGAATCCCCTTTCTAGTTTCCTGACTCGCACACACACACACATATAAATGCATGCACATAGTATATATGTGCACGCACATATACTATTTTAAATCTGCGTTCCACATATGGGAGAGAGCGTACAGTTCTTGACTAAGCTTAGCTTATTTTGCTCAAGGTAACAGTTCTCAACGTCTAGGCTAGTTTCCTTGGCTATTGTGAACAGTGACGCAATAAACATATGTGCAGATATATTTGTGGTTATGTTAACTCAGACTCCTTCCAGTACATACCCAGAATGGTACAGCCAGTCATGTGGCAGCTTCTGGTTTCAGTTTTCTGAGGAACATCCACACTGGTTTTCCATAGTGGCTGCACAAGTTTGCATCCTCTTCCCCTGCATCTTCTCCAGCACTTGTGCTGACTGGGGTCAGGAGGAATCTCAAAACTGTTTTAATTTGCATTTCCCTGATGGCTACAACTGTTGAATACTCTGAATTTTTTTTTTTTTTTTTTTTTTTTTTTTAGAAAGGGTCTCCCTTAAACCCCCGCTGTCCTGGAACTCACTATGTAGACCAGGCTGGCCTTGAACTCACAGAGATCTGCCTGCCTCTGCCTCCTGAGTGCTGGGATTAAAGGCATGCACTACCACACCCAGCCCATACTCTGAAATTTTTATTGGTCATGTGTGTTTCTTCTTTTGAGAATTATCTGTTCATTTCATTAACCCATTTGTTGGCTGGGTGATTTGATATTTGATTTTTGCTCTTTCTATAACCTCAGTATTAATCACCTGTCTGAAATGTAGTGGGCAAAGATTTTTTTCCATTCTTTAGGTTGTCTCTTCACTTTGGTGATTGTTTCCTTAGCTTTATGGAAGCTTTTTAATTGAAAACACTTCCAGATGAGGCGTAGGCAAGAGTTTTCTGAAAACCTCCCCAAAAGCACGGGAAATAATCCCAAGAATTATTAAGAAATAGGATTACATGAAATTAGATTACTTTTAAGTAGTTCATAAATGTTTGTTCTGCCTAATTTGTTTCATGTAGGCACTTTTTCTTAAAACAAATTAATGAGAGAGCATGGCAGCTCTCTCCCTTGATAGAACTGTTAGTAAATAGCTGGATGCTGGCACACACCCTTAATTCCAGCACTTGGGAGGCAGAAGCAGGTGGCTCTCTGTGAGTTCAAGGCCACCCTGGTCTGTGTAGGGAGTTCCAGGCCAGCTAGGGCTACAGGGAGACCCTGACTCAAAAAAGATCAAAATAAATTTAAAAAACAAAAACATAGTGTGTTTAACAGAGCATTCCAATTTTTATTAACTCTTTTGTCACACCCACAGATGATTTTCCCCCTCACAAGCCTAGCAAAAAATAAAGATGAAGTTAAAAACATCTGATTACCTAGAAGAAGAAAGTATTCTTTATCCTGTCTGATTTTTAACAATTTCGATTAACCTAATCTTTGTTTTTGTTTGTTCTGAGTAGTTCCTACAGCTCCACCCTCAGGTGTTTCTGCTCAGCTCAGATGAAAGTACAGTTAGTCTCCCGAAGAGCCACCCTGTCTGGGCTGAGTCTGATCTCCCAAGGAACCATGCTCAGATTGTGCGTACGCTGGCCTCCGAACCCCCAGGGTTAACTGAGAATGCCACCTGTCCCCACTGGTTTGATATCAATGATTCCAGAGTCCACCCGATCAGAGAGCAGGACATCACACAGCAGTTCCAGGGTAAAGAAAGTGCCTACATGCTGTTCTATCGGAAATCCAAGCTGCAGAGGCCCTCTGAAGGTACGGAAAGAGATGTCCCCGTCGTTTTCGTTGTGACCTCAGAAGATGAGCATTGCATGCTGTCTGAAGTTTACCTTTGAAGGAAAGTTTTACCTGTTTTTTTTGTGTGTGTGTTTGTTTGTTTTGCATATTTAAAGCTAACAATGAGAAATGTCGTGTGCTGAGTGAGATCTAACAGCTAGTCTTTCTCCTCACTGTTAATTCATTTTTATGGGGAACTGTACTTTTATGAAGATTATACATGTCTATGTCATTTTCTCTCTTGTAAAAATGAAAGTCACAGTTCTGTTTTCAAAATTGAGTTTTCCTAGATGACATAATATTTTCTACTGTGTTCACAAACTTGAGTGCAGGTGTCCAGTTTTTAGGTTTGGCTCTGTGATTCAGCCATGTGTGACCTTTGAGCTGTAAGTAGGCTTGGTCTGGTTTTCTTATCTTCCTCTTTATATTCCTGTTTCTTTCTTACACCTCAAGACAATATGGTCTGGAGCGGTTGAAGCATCTTTGAGACACTCTTTGCCAAGCCTTCTAAGAGAGCCCCCACCATGCAAGTTAGCTGTCATACCAAGAAGTACTGTCCAGTTGAAGCTGTTAACATGAGAAAATTAGTAAAACTGACTGATCCCTTTCAAATTAAAAGACTTTTAGGGGCTGGAGAGATGGTTCAGCAGTTAGAGCACTGGCTGCTCTTGCAGAGGAAGAACCGAGTCCGATTCCCCACACCCACACGGCGGCTAACAACCTTCTGTAATTCCAGTTCTAAGGGATCCGACACCCTCTTCTGTCCTCCATAGGCACTGCACAACGCAGGGGCACTTACCTACATGCCGGCAATATACTCATAAAATTAAGAAAAAAAAATCTTCTTAGATTGACAAAGCTGTGATTAGAGGTGAGGATGGTATTCTTAGAAAATGAGAATAGTGATCATTTTATAAAACAATAAAACAGTTACTAACTTGTATAACAATTAAAGAATAATTAACTTTCTAAATCTTGAATGCACATGACTGCTGTGAACCAGAAAGGCTTTGTATTGAGGGACGGAAAAGATGGACCAGAGTTCCATGGCATGGCATGGGCCTTGAGTTCCAGCTACCAAGGAGGCTGAGGCAGAAGGTCGTAGTTGAAGGCCAGCCTGGGCAACTTAGTGAGACTCTTTTTCAAAATAAAAAGTAAAAACAAGGCTAAGGATAAAAAGCCAGTAGTAGAATGCTTACCTAGCATACACAAGGCCCTGGTTCTACCCTCAGTACTGTACTGTAGTGTTGTACTGGCTCTGATAGAAATGCTGTGGGTCAGAATTCATGTTTACAGAACTAGATTAAGAGAAAAAGAATCACATGTGTAATCGCTCGAAAGGCAGAGGGCAGGAGGATCATTGCAAGTTCAAGACCAGCTTAGGCTCCATGGAGAATTCCAGAGCAATCAGGGCTAGCTATATCTCAGGACCTCTGTCTCAAAAAACAGAGTCTCAGATGGAATATTAGTCTTTTTCAGCAAGTGGAGTTTTAGTGTGAGCATCCCTTGAATGTGTACCTTGAATGTGTAGTCAGCTTGGGCCAGAATCTTGATTGTCTTTTTAGGATAAAGGTAGAACACTTTGTGTTGCAAAAGGAGTCTGAGATTTCCCTGGAGGCCAATAGAAGTAATGAAAATTGGAGAAGGGCCTGCTGGGGGTGAGGTCACTAGACCAGTTAAAATGCACATGAAATACAGCGAAGATAGGCTAGTGCCAAGTGCCAGGAGTCGCTGAAGTAGTTTTTAGGCCCAGGAATCGAGCCAGCATGTTTGAAGTTTTGGTCTATATTCTAAGATAGCTCTTCAAATAAATGGGAAGAAGCCAGTTGTGGCGGCTCTCTCCTATACACCCAGCCTGGCTTAGTCACAGCATGAGTTCCAGGATAGTCTGAGCTATTGTGAGACCCGGCCTCAAAAAAACTTAAATAAATAAAATTAATAAAAATAATTTCTTACAGTAGCCAACTGTTATATTTGTAATCAGGACAAAACAAGAGTGTACTTTTTTAAATCATACTTACAGAGAGTTGGAAATAGGATTCCTGTAGCTTGGCTTAAAAACTGTTTTTCATTGCTTGCTGACAAACTTCAGATCGGAAGAAAAGTCTGTGTTCACAGCTCGTTGGTGTAGCTCTCCTGGCTTCCAGCACAGTCCTTGCATGTTTTCTTTTCATTGTTTGTTTGCTTGAGAGACTGACTCCCAGCGTAACTCAGGCTAGCCTTCAGCTCAGTGTCCTCCTGCCTGAGCTATCCGAGTGCTGGATTGCAGGATGAACCACCACATCTGTTTCATGCTGCCTCTTCAGCAATCCAATTTCATTTGGTCCAAACAAATTAATGGGAAGTTTTGTTCACAGCTCGAGCTAATCCCAGACACAGGGTTCCATCTCATCTGCTGAAGGAAATGGACGCAGCCAACACTCAGCTGCAGATGAGAAGGTAGCTGTGGTTCCGTTGGAGTTTGTGTAGGTTTTCTGGCCATAAGTGTTCAATAATGAAAATTAGCCCAAGTATGCTGTGCTCATATCAGCTGGTTAATGCCAGCATCTCTGGCTGTAGGATAAAGGGATCGGTGTTTATATCTTTTGAGTGAGTCCGCAGTAGCATATAAAGGAGCAGTTCCTAAGTGGGGGTCAGAGCCTAGGAGTCTAGAGAAACTGGCCAGTGTGCGGTGGGTCTACATGAATGTATCCTGGCTGAGCTAAATTATTCCCTTGACTATAAAGAGAGCTTCTCAATAAAACCACCCCAGTTTTAAGTAGCAGTAAAAACTGGCATGTAGTGACTGAAGGCTGGAGGCAGGCCAATTTCTAAGGAAATATATATCCTCTAAACTATGTGGGTTTGTGTCAGTCATGGGCAAAAACCTGGCATGGCTTCTGAAAGACATGACTTGTCAGAACTTGATCTGATCTCAGCCCTCTCTTTAGGCACTGGCCTTAGTCTGTGGAGATTGTGGTTTATTCCCTCTCCAGTGGGTAAGTAGAGTGTTAGGATAGGATAACGGATGTTTCCATGATCTCCTTGGGGCTTCAAGGAGCAGATGATGTGGTCAGGTGTGTTCAACAGTTTTATGACGGACTTGAAGCTGAAACAAAAATAGCATAAATGACAAACCAAGATCAATGGAGCCTCCATAAAAACCAAAGTTGAAAAATACAAACTGAGTAAAGCAGTTTACCAGAGTAAAGCATCTTACACAGAAAAGACCCAGCATGAGTGATCTAGACTAGTAGTTGCTATTCAGAAATTCAGAGCAAAACATCAGCTGAAGTCCTTAGTGTTGCCATTGAAAAGCTAGAGCCCCTGTTGATTACCTTAGTAGGACTGTGTCTGTAGGACTGAGTCTTGGCGGCAGCCCCACTCCAGCCCAGCACTGGCCATCTGCCTAGGGTCATGGATTTGGCACCAGGCTGAATCAGTGGAGTCAGAGAGGAGCAGTGAGCGGCTACCCTGTCACTTGAGATGCCGCCTGGGAAGCATATGCTGGGAAGGGTTTAGCTGTGGCTGCCAGTGTCTTACAGGAAAAGCCTCAGGAGTCTAATAGGAGTTAGGACGGCATAGCCGTGGGGATCTGCCTCTGAACACGACTATGTTAGCATTATGCAGTCTACATGGAACGTTTTTCTCTTACAAAAGCATAACTCTCACCTCAAAGGGGCTAAGAGCTCATTCTGGAGCCAAATATGAGTGACATAGCCTGGAACACATGCAGGTGACCCCAGATTCCATGTTCCAGCCTGGAAGCAGTTTCATGATTTTTTTTTTATAGTAACAGAACAAAGTAAAGTATCAGTCAAGACACTTTTCAGACACATTGGTGGAAATATTAAGTGGGCAGATACAGCAAAAGATAAATCTCAGCTACAGAGACACCATCTGATGACGCTCAGCCTTTGGTTGGTAGGAGCTGGTGATCTGCTGAGTTAATACATTCCAAATGGTTTCTATCTGTTAGTCGCAGGATGTTAAGTGAGAAACAAAGGTGGGCAAGGATTGGCTATGTAGGGCTAAAGACGACCCAAGATAAATGGTAATTAGGGTCTGGGCCTGCAGCATTGCAAACGCTCCACAGTCACAAAATTCTAATCAGTTGATCAGCGTTTGCAAAGGGTTCAGATTTAAGATGCAGTTTTTCTGGAAGCTTTTGTTATTACAACTGTGAGCAGGCATCCAGTATTTTGTCCATAGTCCCAGCACTTGGGAGGCAGAGGCAGGCAGATCTCTGTGAGTTCAAGGCCAGCCTTGAGTTCAAGGTCTACATAGTGAGTTCCAGGACAGCTGGGGCTACAGGGAGACCCTGCTTCAAAAAAAAAAAAAAAAAAAAAAAAGTGATAAGAGTGACGTAACTTCAGCACTGGAAGGTGGTTACTGTTACTGTTGTGTAGTCTACACGGGGAACAGTTTCCTTTTGGAATTCATGGTGGCAGTTCAAGCTGAACGTCAGCTGTGGGTAGAAAAACTAAACGAATCATTTGGGCAGCCAGAGGAGAAAGATGTTATGAAGGTGTAATGAGAATTTGTGTTACAAGGCAAGTATGTTTTGTTTGCGATAAAGAAGTGTTATAAAAACTTGGTATATATGTATTTTTTATGTCTCTCAAGGGCAGAATGTGATTCTGCAAACAGTAGTTTTGAATTGCATCTCCACCTGGGCCCTCACTATCGTTTCTTCAATGGAGCTCTTCACCCCATGTTCTCTCAGACAGAGAGCGTGTGGAACTTGACCTTTGATAAAAGAAAAACCTTAGGAGATCTCCGACAGTCAATATTTCAGGTACTTTATTTGTATTCTCTCTTCACAGAATTTTTTTTAACATTTAAAAAATATTTTATTTATTATTTTTATTTTATGTGTATGAGTGTATTTCCTGCTTGCATGTGAGTGCACCCATGTTGTGCAATGCCACAGAGGTCAGGAGGGGGCTTCGGATTCCCCTGGAACTGGAACTAAGGACAGTTTGTAGCCGCCATATGTGGGCTTAACCGAAATTTTTAAGGCCCATCTCACTCTGGCCAGCATTAATATTATTCAGGTTACAACTTCTTTTCAAAGTTCCTTAGGAAAACCCTATACCTGCCAGTTCATAGCAGAATAGACCGTACTTGGAAGTCTGGTTGGTTGGTTGGTTGGTTGGTTATAAAATATTTATTATTTTTATTTTATGTGTATGAGTGTATTGCTTGCATGTGTGTAAGCATACCCATGTCATATAAAGTCCTTGTAGGGCAGAAGAGGGTATCAGATCCCCTGGAACTGGAGTTAAGGATGGCTGTCAGTCATAACTGGAGTTAAGAATGGTTGTTAGCCACCATATGGGTGCTGGGAATTGAACCAGGGTCCTCTGCAAGAGCAGTCAGTACTCTTAACCACTGAGCCATCTCTCTAGCCCTGGTTGGTTGGTTTTAGCCAGGCTCTCACTATGTAGCCCAGGCTGGACTCAAAACCACAATCCTCCCACATCAGCCTCCCAGGCGTTGTGCTCACAGGTGTGAATCGGACCTGATCTCGGCACTTTCACTTTTTTGGCTCTTCCACCTCACCAGAGTGAGCAAGCTCCATTCTGCAGGAGTTTCCCAATGTTGCCCATGCTCAGACATCTGCTTATTATGGAAGCACTAGTCCACAGCCCTGGTCTCCCTCCTCTCCTACCCAGGTCTTTTCCCTTAGTCCTACTTCCTTGCCCCATACAACTTCCTGATCAAAGGGAACAGAAAAATGTAAACTTATAGCCAGGTTTCTAATCCCAGCACTTTGGAAGTACAAACAGAAGTTCAAGATCAGCCTCAGCTACACAGTAAGTTAGAGACTATCCTGGGCTGTATGAGACCCTGTCTCAAAAGAAAAACTAACGAAGAAATGTAACAATTCAGGGGGAGGAGGCTACCCCACAAATAATTTAAGTGAATTTTCTGAAAACCTGTATCCATCACCAAAATTATTAGCTTTATTTTTTTTTTTTCTCCTAGGAAAAGCAAATGAGGGCTTTTTTTTTTCTTTAACTTAGACTGATTTATGTGTTATTTAAATGCTGTATCTGCAGCGGGGTCTATAAAGCCCTGTGATAATCTGAACATTTGCAGTGAAAGCTCATTTCTGAGCCAGTTCTGGTCGTGTTGAGGGTGGGCAACTTGGGACCTGAACCTGTGGAGGCTGCATTTCATTCAGGTTTAGAAAACACCTCACTCACCTTGAGTTCTAGATACTCTCCTGTGTGTGCTTTCTGGTGTTTCAAGCATACAACTCTGTAAGCTGTTGTCTTAGAATTAAGCCCCTTGGACTGGAGAGATGGGTCAGCAATTATAAGAGCACTGGCTGCTCTTACAGAGGACCCAGGTTCAATTCCCAGCACCCACATGTCTGCTAACACCTATCCATAACTCCAGTTCCAGAGGATCCGACACCCTCTCTGACCTCCATGGGCATTGCACAACATGAGTGTACTTATACACATACAGGCAATATGTCATACACATAAAATAAAAGTAAGAAATAAAAATTTAAAAAGAAGTAAGCCCCTGGCAAGAGGCCAGGAAACAGACACAGTAAATGACTCTCTTACAAATACGAAATTTTTTTCTCTTTTCTTTTTTTTTTTTTTTGAGACAGGGTCTCCCTGGAGCCCCAGATGGCCTAGAACTTACTGTGTAGACCAGGCTGGCCTTGACCTAACAGAGATCCTCCTAGGATTAAAGGTGTGAGCCACCACACCTAGCATGAAATGTCTTTTTAAGTGAATTATCTTGCAGGGCTGTGGAGAAGGTTAGAATGATCTAACTAAGATTGAGTCTTCAGTCTCAAATTTAGAAACCTGGAGGAAGCCTGGCCACGTAGCATGTGAGCAGATGATGTGCTTGTATGGACAGCGCTAGGGACAAAACTCTGGGCCTCATGCATGCTAGGCAAGTGCTCTACCACTGAGCCCCAGCCCAAGCTACTCCTTTTAAATTTGGAGTAGACCTTCCTTTCTGGCCTCCCTGGAGCATTTGTTCAGGCCTGACCCAGCACTGCTTTTCTAAGCAGTACTTACTAAACAAAACCACGAGGCTCTATGGCGTAGAAATTCCTAGACTGGTCTGCTGAGAAAAGTGGTCTTCACACACATTGAATAGAATTGTTAAGGTGGTTGTTGGGTTCATTCTTTACATGTGCCAAGTCTAACAGATGTAGTAACCATTTTGGGTTTGACTAATTTAACAATTAATGTTTATTTTCAAAATGTTGGTGTTGGGGCGAGATGAGTGTGTGTGCTCGCCGTCTTCTCTGACCTGGGAAATGTACTGCCCATGTGTTTCTTTTCACTGTTTTTTGCACTGGTGTTCTTTAGCTATTAGAATTTTGGGAAGGAGACATGGTTCTCAGTGTTGCAAAGCGTGTTCCAGCAGGACTTCATGTGTACCACACCCTTGATGGTAAGATCAATAACAAAACACAAACTCGCTTTTTAGATGTCTATTTTTGTGGACATATGATTACCTGTGATTTTCTCTGTCCTTTCCCACCTCCTAACTTCTTTTTTTTAATACGTTAATTTATTTGGGGGGGGGCACGCGTGTGTCATCAAGTGCTCATAGAGGTCAGAGGTCCCCGAGACCAAATGAGTCCCCAGTCTCGGCACAGTGCCGTCTTGCCAGCCCTTCTATGTTTTTAACTATGTAGACGAACCTCACACTGTCAGTTTTCAAAAAGAAGTAATTTATCCAACTTATATGCAACATTTTCTTAATACGGAATGTTTTATATTTTTAGAAACTAAGTCCACCATTATACCAAAAGTTTCTGAATGCTCTAGAATTCTTAATCTTACTACAAATGATTGAGCAGAACCGTTGTAGCCATTCAAATCTTATTATAGGGCTTGATTTTTCTGCCCACTCAGCTTCAGGTTTTGTAGCAAGACAAAGACAAGTCCTTGGAAAATTTAAAGATCTCATGTCTTTGAAATAACAACAAGCTGAGGATGAGCACAGAAGCTGCAGCAACACTCATCTGGAGCTCTGCTGGGCTGGCACTGTGATGGCTAGCCACATAGCTGCTGGCGATGGGCAGGGCCAGCCTCTGCCCCTGCAGTGGTGGTGAACGGGGCCAGCCTCTGCTACTGTGGCATAGGCCCGACTGCAGTGACCTCCTTACTGACTCTTGTCCTGCTTCTGGGCTCCCAAGCTGTAGCATGAATGGAAACAGTATAAAACAGTACCAATCTTGAAGATTATTGCTGCTTTTTTATATTTTTCCTTAACAAGAATGCTTTTTCAAAGGCATTTTTAAGCTGCCAGCTCTCTCTAGCTGAATCGCACTTGGTGATCATGGTGAATGGTTTCATTGATAGTCTTATCTTTCTAGGGGATGAACTGACACTGTGTGAAGCTGAAATTGCTGATGGAGAAGACATCTTTGTATGGAATGGAGTAGAAGTAAGAAAAACGGTTGGAGCAATAGTCATGATAATTTAGGGGTTTTAAATTTTTCCTTCTCGGCCTGGGGATGTAGCTCAGTTGGTGGAGGGATTGCCTACACAGTTCAGTCCCCAGCACTGTGTAAAACCAGGCATGATGGTATCACACACCTGTAATCTCAGCACTCAGGAAGTAGAGGCAGGAGGATCAGGAGGTCAAGGTCGTCCTCAGCCACATAGTGAGTTGAAGGCCAGTCTGAGCAACACAGGCCCATATCTCATTTTCAAAATGTGATCGTAATGAAATTTTATTCAGTATGCACTTAGCTGTTAAGAAACTTCTGGAATAAACTGGATGTGCTGGTACACACCTGTAATCCTAGTACTCGGAGGCTAAGGCAGGACTATGAGAAGTTCAGGGTCAGACTGGACTGCATAGTGAGTTCCAGGCCAGCCTACAATACATAGTGAAACCCTGTTTCAAAGAGAAGAGAAGGATGCAGGGAAAGGAAAGAAACATTGCTAAAATGTTCGGTGACTTCAGGTCCAGTCAGTGGTTTTTGTTAGTAGACTGAAGACATAGCTCTTCAGTAAAGCACTTGAGGACCCAAGTTAGAGTCCTAGAATCCATGTTTTAAAGAAAGCCAGGTGTGGTGGCTTGCTTCTGGAATCCCAGCCCTGGGGAGGCAAAGATGGCCAGACTCCTGGGACTCACAGGCAGCCAGCTTCACCTACTTGGTGAGTTCCAGGTCAGTGAGAGACCGCGTCTCAAAAAAAGGTGGTCAGTGCCTGAGGAATGGCCCAAAATTGTCCTCTCGCCTCCACACATATGTGCACACGTGTGCACATACCAGCACACACACAAACATATACACACAAAAGAGATTTATCAAACACCTCCATTTTACCAGGCTCTATGTCACATGCTAGATGCAGAGGTAGGTTAGTTGTCAGTGGCCTTTTAGTGTAAATAACTGCAGCACAGGGCTGTAGAGGGTGCGCACGGCGCCTGTGGGGATGAGCAGGGACTGGCCAACACTCCTGAGGTAGGAGTGGCCAAGCTGCCTTGGTAAGCAGTGAGCTGTGGCTCTGGAGTGAGGAGCACCTGGGCCTCTCTGTGGGCTATTCTCATTCTTTCTTTGTTTCCGTGGGCTCATCACTGCCATCAATAACTGAAAAATCTCTTACCTTCAGTCAGAAAAGATAGATAGATAAACTTTCAAGGTCAAATCCCAGAGTTACTCCTTCACTACTTGAAAGACATTGTGGAAAATGAATTTCACTTGGGAGAAATGAGTGTCGCTCTACAAGGACGGTCTTCGTCGCTTTAGGGCGCTGGCGTACTCTGGAAGCGCGACCACTAGTGGTTTGTGTTGTTGCTGCAGGTTGGTGGAGTCCAGATCCAGACTGGCTCTGAGTGCGAGCCTCTGCTCTTCCATGTTCTTCGTCTAGAGACCAGCGGAGAAGGTGCCACGCGTGAGCAGTGGGTGGAGTCGTCACATGTGTTTGCAGCCAATGCAGAGATGGGCGCTCTGTTTAGAGTTTTGGCCGTGCCAGCAGGCGCCATTCTCCTGAACAGTGCGGAGACCGCAGATGAAGAGCACTGGACTGCGATCCCCAAGGATGACTTGACGAAGACGCTCAGAGAGCAAGGCCTCAGAGACGGGAGCGTCATTCTAGTCCAGGGATTGGACAGTGATGATAGCAGGTAACTCGCTAAAGAGAAAGAGGAAGAGCTTTCAAAGTAGTTTTAGTTCAGGACCATCTAGTAGAACTTGAGCTTTATTTTAATGATAAGAATTAAATGTTCCTCTACTTCTAGTAATTGTGTTCTAAATATTATATTTTTAAAAGATTTTTTAGAATATTTTATGTGTATGAATATATGGTCTGCATGTGTGTAAATTCACTTGTGTTGTGCAATGCCCCTGGGCAGATGAGGGTGGCAGATTCCCCTGGGACTAGAGTTACAGATGGTTGTTAGCCACTTTGTGGGTGCTGGGAATTGAGCCCAGGTCCACTGCAAGAGCAGCCAGAGCTCTTAACTACTGAGCCATCTCTCTAGTCCCAGATTGATTTATTTTTATTTTATTATGCATGTGTACCAATGTGTGCAGTGCTTACAGAGTCCAGAAGAGGGTGTCGGATCTCCTGGAAGTGGAGTTACAGCCAGTTGTGAGCTGCCAACATGGGTGTTAGGAGCCAAACCCAAGTCCTCTATAAAAGCAATAGTGCTTTTAACCACTGAACTGTCACTCCAGCTCCCTAATGTTGTATTTTGTTGTTGTTTCATTCTTTTTTAATTTTAAAGAATGTGTGTGTGTGTGTGTGTGTGTGTGTGTGTGTACATAGGCACGTGTGGAGTGTGTATGAGAGACATGCATAGGCATATGTGGAGTGTGAGAGATGTGCATAGGCATATGTGGAGTGTGTGTGTGTGTGTGTGTGAGAGAGAGAGAGAGAGAGAGAGAGAGAGAGAGAGAGAGAGAGAGAGAGAGAGAGAGAGAGAGAGAGAGAGAGAGAGAGAGAGAGAGAGAGAGAGAGAGAGAGAGAGAGAGAGAGAGAGAGAGAGAGAGAGAGAGAGGCATGTAGGCACGTGAAGGTCTAAGGACAGCTGTGGGAAATGATTCTCTTCTGCCCTTCGTGTGTGCTACGGGATCAAACTCAGGTCATCGGGTTTCCATGGCAAACACATTTACCTGCTGAACCATCTCTCCAGATGTCGTTTTCTTTTGAGACAAGCTCTCATGTAGCCAGGCTGGCCTCTCTGTGCGGCTGAGACAGTCCTTGAACTCTCTTGCTCCTCCTGCCTCCACATCCCAAGTGCTGGGTTACAGGTGTGCACCATCATGCCCAGCTCCTAAATAGTGCGTATGGAAATGTTTTGAGTTATAAAACTTGAAGAAAAATGTTGTATACCTTTTTTGAAAACTTGGTAACAATGCAGGTGTCCCTAGTTTTATAGTGTTTCACTTAACATCTTTGCCATCATCACCCAGTTTTCCACTGCTTAAAGCTAGTCTTCAGGAAGCATTTAACTACTGAGCATTTTCCACTGCTTTAAGCTAGTCTTCGGGAAGCATCTTACATTTATATCGTTCTTGTATCTCACTTCAGGTGAGGTGTCAGAATGGAAAAATTGAAATAAAGAGGAGAGTTAAGGGCTCAGACACACACTCCCCCAGAAGACCTCGGCTAGCCCATAGTTTTCTTCTGCTCACAGGAGGATTTTGTTACAATAAGATACTGCCAATTCTAACATAAAAAACAGGAATCCTCAATGAAATACAAATACGCGAAGTACATGACTACAGATATGTAGCACTGTCAGTCTACACAGTTGTGCACAGCTGCCCTGCTGTTAAGTTCAAACTCCAAGGGGTGGGGCTTGGTATTCTTCTAAAGCTTTTCCTAGGGCTTCCTGTGCAGGCAGACATCAGTAGATGACTGCTCACTTACAGAAGTGCCCTGGAAGCTGGGAATGGTGGCACGTATGTAGCCTGTCATCCCAGTACTTGGGAGGCAGAGGCAATAGGATTAGGAGTTTAAGGCCAGCCCTGACTACATAGTGAGTTGCAGGTCAGCCTAGACTACATGAGACCCTGTCTCAGAACAAGGAAAAAGAACAAAAAGAGGAACTTCCCCCTTGAAAACAAAAATCATTTGTTTCAGTTAGAGGATTTGGAGCCAATGAAAATCAGCTCCATTGACAACTACCTCACATAACCCTTGAAAGATAACTGATGCTCATGGCGGCAGCTGGGTGGAGTGTGGTCCCTTCTCCTTGGCCACGTAGAGGGGTACATGCGGGTTCTGAAAGTGGTGTCCAAAGAAAACTGCTACTCTTTTGATCCCTAAAAGTGGCTGTGAGGGTTCATGTTTGGGTGTCTTTCCTTGACCTGCAGTTTGTTGCCTAAACAAGCAATACGGACCAGCAGTGCCAAAGAGACCAGCTGGTTGCATGTGAGAAATTTATGCCAGTTAGACCCAGAAGAGAAGCAAGTTCAAATACCCGCAGCTCTTAACACAGTGAGTAGATGATCATTGGTTTGGCTGACAGTTCCTAGTAACAGCAGTTTTATTTATAAAAACCTGTGTCAGTTTTTCCAAACAGCTGTCTTAGACTTCTAGTCTTGTTAGCGTTTGACTACTGCCCATTTAATTCTGTCCGCCTAGAGCCTGTTTCAGGACAGTGTGGGCTGCTCTTTTAAAACTCTAAAGCCTAGAATTAGAATGTGGGAACTGCCTAGTGGTTTGGGAATCCTTTGGCTCTGATAAGCACGAAGAGCTATTTTTGAGGATCTTTTCTGTATTTTTTAAGCACGTGCATGTGTATGTAAATGTATGCTTGTTATTTTGTTTTTGTGAGATTTTGTTTTTAAGTTTCTTCAATTTTTATTGTACACTGAGTTCTACGTAAAGCCACGTGTCCTTAAAAGGTAACATCTCAGAAAAAAGGCTTTTTATATGTATTTGGTTCTACTGTATTAAGGACTTTCTTCTACATCCAGTTAAAAGAAACTTTTACTAAATTGTTATTTTCTTTTAATATTATTGTTTCTTTTAAATCTTTTTTTTTTACATTTATTTATTTGTGTTAGGGGGAGCCATGTGTGTGGAGGTCAGAGGACAACTTGCAGGTGTCCATTCCCTCCTTCTACCATGTGGATTCCAGGGATCAAACTCAGGCCATCAGGCTTGGCCACAGGCACCTCTACCTGCTGAGCCATCTCACCAGCCCTCAGTATCATAATTCCTAGCAGGCATCAACGTTCACTGATACTCTTAGAAGGAACAGTGGAAGCTCAGTGCACAGAGCTCAAGGGACTGGTTCCTGACCCTAATGGGAAGCTTTGGTGGCATCCTGTATCACCCAGGTCTACTGCTGATACTATGTGGGTTCTGGTGACAGATCAGGTAGATGATCCTGATATCACTTTTACCCCAAATTGCCTGAAAGGCAATTGGTCTAAACTGGGCTAAAAAATAATCTAAAATAAAGCCATTTAGCTAGAAACTGTAGCTGTCCTGGATTGCTGTCTTGCATTTCATCTGTTCCCGATAAAAGGAGTACAGCTGTCTGTAGTTTCCTCTGCTCATCAGGTGAGTGGCTGTCAGTTTATTGCTCTGCGGCTGGAACTGTTTCTTCCACTTTCTGCAGGTATCCTTTTTGTCCCTGTTAAACCAGATTGGTGAAAACTATTTACATCTATTCTGAGTTTTTGCTTTCAGTCTTATAAAGAATATCAGAGATGACCACAATAACTTTATAGACAAAACAGATGCCAGGTATTACCCCAGACAACCCCTCTGTGTCCATACTGATGATCTTCATTTTCATCTCCATCCATTCAACTTATACACAGTCATTAGTTTATTTCTCTATTTTAGGTGGTGTTTGATATTCGAATTAAAGCCATAGAGGAGTTAAAATTAATGAAGGAACTAGGTAATCGTTTACATTTGCTTTTTGGTTTTTAGCTGAACTTAATTTTGGTTTTTTTATTTAAAAAAAAATGGAAGAGTACAAAAAATAATTTAAGGATATCTCCTAACCTACCACCCAAAATGGACAAATGTTAGTATTTTTTCATGTGTGTGTTTTTGTGCTATAAAGTCCTATGTGTTCTCCTCAGACCTCCCCTCCTCTCCCCAGCTACAATTGGTACATCTGACCTGACTGTATTTGTAGTGTACTTACTATAAATGGTATTTATATGTAGGTATATTTTTTACACTTGCATAAATTCTATGCTAGATATTCTACAAATTCACTATTCTTTCAGCATTAGCTTTTAATGGCTTAATGAGATGTAATTTAGGAATAAAGTTCACTCATCTTAATGATAGGAAAGGAACAGATAGAAACCAACACAGTTCAATTTTAGAACATTTCGATCTCTCCAAAAACATTCCAGGACTCATTTGTGTTCTGAGAGCCGGGTGGGAGTGAATGCACTTTGTGCTTCTGCGAGGTCATTTTCTGGCCATTTCATACAGTGGAGCCAGACAGTTTTTAGTCATTTGTGTCTGCCTTCTTTTTACATAGCAGAGTATTTTCTGAAGCCTGTCCATTTTTAGCACCTGTCAGTAGTTTGCTCCATTTTAGTGCTATCTAATATTCAGTTGTTGGGATGTGTTCTGTTTTATTAGCCAGTTGATGGGCATTTGGATTGTTAACACTTTGGGGATAGTGCTTCTATACACATTTATTTGCCCACAGGCCTTCACGTGAGCCTGTGCACTCAGTTCTCTTAGGTAGATACAGGATTAGAATCCTGGGTCGTACGACAGATTTACATGTAATATTAGAAGCTGCCATACTGTTTTCCACAGTGGCTGGACCTTCGCCTTCCTCCTAATAGAGTTCAGGGTACAGGCTCTACATCCTTGCTGGCTAGCGTTCGTGATTGTCCTTTTTCATAGATTCTAGTGACTATAAATGGGAATCTGATTAGAGAGAATTCCAAATCAGCATGTAGAATCCATTGAACTTTTATCACCAGCAACAAAAACAAAATGGGCATCAAAATTTAGAAAACCATTTATGTTTATCTGTTTATTCATTGGGGTTTTTTTGTTGTTTGTTTGTTTTTGTCTTTTTGAGACAGGGTCTCCCTGTAATCCCAGCTGTCCTGGAACTCACTATGTAGACCAGGCTGGCCTTGAACTCACAGAGATCCGCCTGCCTCTGCCTCCCAAGTGCTGGGACTACAAGCGTACGCCACCACGCCCGGCCTTGTTTTTTTTAGATAGGGTCTCACTGTATAGCTCAGGCTGGCCTGGAACTTGGAATTCTTCTGCCTCAGCCTCCAGGTGCTAGAATTGAAAGTGTTTGCCCTGGTGCCCTTACCAGAAAGCATTACTAGTACCATAAAGTATCAAAGATATATTTAGCAAAGTATGCTCAAGATCTGTGCCCTGCAAACTAGAAAACCTTCTGTGAGAAACTAAGGAAGGCGTGGATCAGTGGAATGGTATGCCGTGTTCGACAGTCAGAAGGCAGAGGAGGGTTGGTTTGTAGAGTCCCGTGTGCTATTACACACAATCATAGCAGTGTGTTTTGGTAGAGGCTGACAGTGTGATTCTAAATTTACCTGGAAATATGAAGTAGCTGGGCACGTGGTATGCCTTTGGTCAGCAGATATTGAGGTGAGCCTGGGTGACGTAGTGAGTTCCATGCCAGCCAGGGCTGCATAGTAAGACTTTGTCTGAAGAAAAAGACCCTAAAGTAACCGTAACAGTTCTAAGGGGAAAAGATGACAAGTCTGATTTCAGGATTTAATTTTTTTAATCTAAAACTGTAAGATTTCTTAGAAAAAACATACAAGAAAGACGATGACTTTAGTATAAGTATTTAAATTTTTTTTAATTTTTTTTTATGTGTATGTGAGTATTGCCTGCATGTAGGTAAGTGCACCCGTGTCATGCAATGCCCTTGGAGGACAGAAGAGGCTGTTGGATCCTCTGGAACTGGAGTTACGGGCAGTTGTTAGCTGCCATGTGGGTGTTGGGATTCGAACCCAGGTCTTCTGCAAGAACAGCCGTGTTCTTAACCACTGAGCCATCTCTCCAGCCCCGAGTAATATAAAGATTTTTAAAAGATTTGTTTATTATTATGTGTATGTAGGAAAAAGCCTCATATATGTATCTATACTATGTGCATGAAGTGCAAACAGAGGCCAGAAAAAGGCATTGGATCCCCCAGTCCTTCCCCAGCACTGAAGTTACAGGCGGTTGTGAGCTACCACGTGGTGCTGGGAAGCAAACCCAGATCCTCTGAAGAGCTGTGACCTGCCTCTCTCCAGCCCCGGGTTTGTTTAGAGCACAGAGCACAAGCCCTGGGAAAACGTCAAGACAGGCCTTGGCAAAATGGAGGCTTCTCCTCAAAGGACACTTGCAAAGGCTACCGCTAGGGAGCTACAGCTAGGGAGATCATGTCTCTAAGACACAGATTGGACAGTAGACATAGAACTTACCAAAAGTACTTGTGGCCTGACCAGAAGATATTCCAACCCAAATTGGGCAGACCTGCCTGTGAGAGAAAGCTGGTGTCAGCAGCTGCCAGATTCCAGTCATAACACCACTGTGTAGGCCAGTTGAAAATCAGAACCCTACAAAAGCCAAATGCTGGTGAAGACGTGGAGCAAACTGAGTCCCGTGTCTTACTGGAAGGAGTGCAGAACGGCACACACCGTTTAGGATGCCTCGTTTGTTTGTTTGATTTTATAAATTTAAACAATCACATAGTATTTCTTGATATTTGCCAAAGAAAAGGTAAAGCATACACCCTTATAAAAACTTAAATGTGGGGCTGGAGAGATGGCTCAGCGGTTAAGAACACTGGTTGTTCTTGCAGAAGACCCAGGTTTGAATCCCAGCACCCACGTGGCAGCTAACAACTGTCTGTAACTCCAGTCCCAGGGGATCTGACAGCCTCTTCTGAGCCCCATGGGCATTGCACAACACAGATGCACTTACCTACATGCAGACAATACATGTATACACATAAAATAAAAACTTAAATGTTTATAACCAAAACCTGGAAAACAATCCACAGGTCCATGAACAGGCGAAGGGATGGACAAGCTGTGGTGCAGGCAGTTAGTGGGGCCTGTTGGTGCAGAACAGTAACTTCCCCCCCACACACACACAACATGGAAGAATCTAGACGTCATTATGCCAACTGAAGAGAAGTAGGTACAAAAGTACATGCTACATGATCCTGCACATGTGGAACTTTTGACTACCACAGTTTAAGCTATAGTTACAGAAGATCAGGATCAGGGAGTGAGGGCTTGACTGCACAGAGGCATGAGAGACTTAGGATCGGACAGATTCCGCCTCAAACGGATGAACCTCAGTAAAGCCGTTGTGTGTGGTTTATTAATAGTTACTGGTTTGTTATTCTGCCCTGTAACTGGTTTCTCCTTCTATCCTGCCCCCACCACCGCCCTTCCATCCTCTCTCCCCCCCCAACGCCCTTCCTGTAGCAAGCAGTCTTCACTGCGTATGGGCTTGATTTTATTAATAGTTACTGGTTTGTTATTCTGCCCTGTAACTGGTTTCTCCTTCTGTCCTGCCCCCACCACCGCCCTTCCATCCTCTCCCCCCTCCACGCCCTTCCTGTAGCAAGCAGTCTTCACTGCTTATGGGCTTGATCCTGCTCTGCTGGGAGCCTTTGATGCTTTTCCGCTGCACTTAGGCTGTTCTTAACCCAGCCTAGTGTCCTACACAGTCAGGACCCGCCTGCCCACCGCTCACTGCCACCCACTCTGTTATTCTCAGCAGACCGAGCAGCTGCCTCTGGGAGCCTCTTGCCCGGGCTCCTGTCCGTCCATGACTCGGGACCCGCCTGCCCACCGCTCACTGCCACCCACTCTGTTATTCTCAGCAGATCGAGCAGCTGCCTCTGGGAGCCTCTTGCCCGGGCTCCTGTCGGTCCATGACTCAGGGTCCCACCCTGTCTCTCAGTCTCAGTTCATCTCTCTGCTTCACACTTGATGCCCTGTGCTTTTGCTTCACGCATTTATGGATGTAGCCATTTTCTTTGTGCCGTTAGCACCACTTCTCCCCTTGAGGGCAGAGTGTCCTGCACAGAAGATGCCCACAAGGTGCTTGTGGAATGAATATGAAAAGGGCCTTCCGTGTGTGTGTGTGTGTGTGTGTGTGTGTGTGTGTGTGTGTGTGCGTGCTGTATGTTAGACTTAGGCAAGGAGTTGTCTAGTTATGTTGCCCAGGCTCAGCCTTTAACTCCTGGGCTCAAGCAACCCTCCAGTCTTTGACCAAGTAGCTGGGACCACAGGCATGCACTACCACACCCAGCTGGAAGTGAAAGGTTTTAAGGACACAGTATTTAAAATCCACTTTTTAAGTTAGGGAAGTCCTTTAATACACTTATTTCACATGGAATCTGTATTAGAATTATACGCTAATGTCATAACAATATAGCACAAGATACAGAACTGAGGAACCTCAGGAAGAGATTTAGGTCTCTGCTACTCTTGCCCATTCAGAAGACTTGACACCTTGTCCCTCCAAGTTCATACTCTCCTCTCTGGAAAACCCCAAAACCTTAGTATGTGCTTTCCCCAGAGCAGAAATCTGTGCCTTCAATAATGCACACTGGCCGAACCCATTTTGCTGAACATACTTTAAATGCAGGTGTTCTGCATTGCACACTTAAGGTTCAGATTGCAGAGGGTAATTGACGACAGCATCCTGCAGTTGCCAGCTGTGCAGCTCACAGGTCACTGTAACTACGAGGCATGCAGTCGCCTCACTGCTTTTTAAGTCTAGTGCTGATTGGTCACTATACGCAACCGGCCATGTGTGTGGCAGTTAGCTTACCTAGCATTGCAAGAATGTTCAAGAGGCTCCCAGAGGCAACTGCTCGGTCTGCTTAGAATAACGGAGTAGGTGGCAGTGAGCGGTGGGCAGGCGGGTCCTGACTGTGTAGGACACTAGGCTGGGTTAAGGACAGCCTAAGTGCAGCGGAAAAGCATCAGAGGCTCCCAGCAGAGCACGTAGTGGAACAGTGGACACTGGGGGGAGGGAGTTGACCATGGAGGGCGTGCCCTCCAGCGCAGGCAGCAGTGTGTGAAGCTCGAAGCAGCACCTGTCGGTGGCACGGCTGGCGGTCAGGAGGCTCCAGACATGCAGCTGAGGCACCTGGTGAAGGCAAACCTAGTGCCCTAAGCGAGGAATGTAGCTGTGATGAACAGGACAAAGTACCCCAGGGGAAGTGGTGCTAGAGAAAGATGTCACATGAAGGTGCTCTCACAGAGGTCTCACGGCATCTCACAGGTGTGCCACCCTTGCCGGTGGGGTGGGAGAGAGGCTCGTGCTGTCCCATCAGCTCTTCATGAGGAAAAGCCAGCCCTGATCACACTACTCTTGATATATTTTTTGTTTCGGAGACAGAGTCTTACTATGTAGCCCTGGCTGGCCTTGGAACTCACTGTGTGGACCAGGCTGGCCTCAGGTTGGCAGTGTTGCTCCTGCCTGTTCCTCCCAGGAGCCAGCATTACATGTGCGCACCACACCCAGTTTTTGAGAAGTGTTTTACACACTGTAAAAACTTTCAGTTCTCAGTTTGTGGTGTTTAAAATACATGTCTAAATATTAGCTTTACTGTTTGGGGTTTTTTTTTTTTTCCTTTCCTGATGTATAACGTCAGAATTTTTTTCTTTTTTGGTGTTTTTGAGCCAGTCTCCCTGTAGCCCCAGCTGTGCTGGACTCGCTATGGAGACCAGGCTGGCCTCGAACTCACAGAGATCTGCCTGCCTCTGCCTCCCAAGTGCTGGGATTAAAGGCGTGCACCATCACGCCCGGCTTACCTCAGAATTTTTAATGTTTTGGGAAAAAATAGTCTTTGGCCAGTTGTAACTTTCCTGCTGACGCATGGCTCTGAGCCGCCAGCCTATGTGGCTTCAGAGTGAAACTTGTCCCCGTTGGGTACTTTTTGTTTCACTTGTTGGAGAGTTTTGTTTCATTGTTTTGTTTTGTTTCGTTTTGTTTTGTTTTTGAGATAACATCTTACTATGTGACTGAAGCTGACCTTGAACTCACAGCCTCCTAACTTTGCTCCTGAGTGCTGGAATTCCAGGCATGTGTCCACACTGTGCTCACCTGGAGTTTGGCTTTTTGATTTGGGTTCTAGCTGAGTGTACTTCATCCTAATTAAAGTGGCTAACCAGCAACTTTTTGTTCACAGCTGAGAACAGCTGTTTGAGACCCATTGATAGAACTGGGAAGCTCCTTCGTCCAGGTAAGTCTCGGCAGTTTCCAGACCAACAGATGCATAGTCAGAACACTTTTCCCTTAAGTGAGGGCCTCAGTACCAATACTCTCAAAGTATATTTACAAGCTGGCTTATGGGCAGGTTTCCGTCCAGGTATCTGCCTCATTTTAGAGACCCTTCTATCACTTTCTTCCGAAATGAAACGTGGGTCTTTCTGATGCTCCCGTCCTTTGCTAGTCATGGCGCGTTCTAACTGGCTCTTCCTGGTCTTACTTCTGAAGCTGCTTTGCGTCCTCCACTCATTTTACTGAGCTGTCAGCTACGATACAGTCTTCGCTTCTCCCCTGTGTAGCTCCTCTGGTCATCACACCTGACTCAGTCACAAACGAGCCTAATGAGTTCGGGTATTCACTGTCACAACTTTAAATGTGGATGAATCGAGCCCCTTGTGCGGATTTTTTTCATTCATAGAAACAAGTCTTTGGCCAAGACATGTTTACTAAGTATGAATCTTTTCTTAGCGCTATGGCACACGATAATGAGAGTAACGTAAGAGTGTGGAGATTCAAAATTACACTCAGCCATAGTGGGTGTGATGCTTTCACAGAAAGCACAGCTCGTTTTTTCCTCTCAATAGTCTTTGTGGGGGAGGGCAGCCTATGAAAACCTGTTGCCAATGTGCTAGTGCCAGGTGGAACTCAGGGCCTTGCATATGCTAAGCACACTTTACTTCTGAGCTGTACTGCAGCTCTGATTGTCTGGATTTTCAAAGAAGATAAGTCATTTGGCTACGGGAGGTGGGGATACGGAGCGGTCATGCTGCCTTCACTGTTCCCCAGTACCAGACAGGTGCACTTTGGAGGAGGCAGAAGTGAAGCTGGGGAGTTCGTTGGGACTGTGTCCTGGAAAAGCACCCACTTCCTCTCAGGTACGGTAACCGCCCCCAGCAGGACAGAGTCAGCCCTTCCTGGCTAGAATAGCGTAATTAGTACATTAAGTCCCCTAGTAATACTGTTTTTCTACAAAAGACTTCTTAAATTTTCCTTAATTTTTATTTTATTAAAACATCTGTGTAATTCTCTTTTCAAGTAAAAATACTGTTCCGAGGCATATATATGAGGTTCCTTTTCTATAAAAATGTTGTCGTTAAGGAGGCTGTGTCAGGATTAAGGCCTGCCAGTATGAACCCACTACGTGTCATAAACTGAAAGCACCCCATAAACATTTTAACACCCAGGATTACAGTCACTGGCACCCTGCGCCCACAGCTAGCACTGTTTCATTTTGGTTTTGTTTTCAGTGGTACGAAAATTAGCAGTCTAACAATCATTGTCATTTTAGAATAGTGAAAACAGTGCAGTGATTTGGGGCTTAGTGTGGATCTCACAATGGTGCTGTAGTTTTACCGCAGTTCCTCCATCCCCTCTCTGTCGCATTCACTTTCTATATAAAGTACCGTGACACTGACCCCTTGCCAGGAGCTCTCCTAGATAATAAACTCTTTTACAACCTGAAAGTCCTAATGGTCGCTCCATTCCCACCTGGATCAAGGCAACCCAGACTCCCATCTGGCTCCGGGATCCATTGCTCCCCTTCAGCCTGCTGTCCTCAGATCCTAGCAAGTAGCAGTGCATGACAAGCTCACAGGGGACACCTGTGACCAGGTAGATAGGAAGGCAGACAGAGCTGTAAGGAACTGAACTGATGAGCAGCAGCAGATACAGTCTGTTCCTACGGTACCTTGGGAAATACTGTGGATGGAGCCCCTAGACAGAAACTTAGATCAAAACTAAGTGACTCAGAAAGAAACTTACTGTGTATAGTGATACCATCACCACGGGGGTGACCTGTGGGTGGAGAGCACAGTCCTTAAAAAGTGGAAGTGCATGTTGGGCACACACTGATAAGGAAGCATTCTATTTTTACTTTTCAGAAAGTGAGATTGTTGTTTAAATTACATTAAATTTTTCTATACAGCCTTCTTTTCACAAAATTTGGTATTTGTTTCGTTTGTCTGTTTTTGTGGTGCTGGGTTATACCCAGGGCCTTGAGAACGCTGGGCCAGCCCTGTGCTGAGCCGCAGCCTAGTCCTGAAATTGTATTAATGCTCTGTGGGCCTTTGGCTTTAAAGTAAATAATATAGACTATGAAAATTCAGGTTAAATTATAGTCACTTCTGTCTTGCCATCAGCTCTTCCTGTTTTTTGCTCTGGGAACTGACATTGAGCCTGGAGCAGAGATGGAAGTCATAGTTGAAGAAACAGCCTCTGTCAGAGATGTAAGTAATTACTTTTTGGTTTTGGGGGTGGCGGTGTTCTGTGTTAGGATTTGGAGGTTGTAAGGGAGGGTTACACGGAATGTTCCAAGAACTATTTATGTTCATTAGAAGTCAAGTTCAGTGGGCCAGAAAGTTGGTGAGCAACTGGGATTTTTAAATAAAATTGCTATTGTTGTATTTTCTTTTCTGACCATCAATAGCATTTATTTACTATAGAAATTTGAAGTAGGCAGAACGTGGTTAAAGGAGCCAGCATGGTGGCACACATGTATATTCCCAGCATAGACAGACAAGCACGAGTCAGAGATGGCTGTTGAGCATCAGGGGAAAAGTAACTTAAGCTCTGTGTAAGAAACTACAGGAATTTAGAAATGGATTGAAAGAAAAGAATTAAACTAGGTGGGTTATAATTCCAGCACTCAGAAGGCTAAAGCAGGATTATCGTAAGTTCGAGGACAGCCTCCACAGTATAGTGAGTACCAGACCTGGCTGGGCTATATAAGACCTTATCTCAAAAGAACAAAAGAGGAGAGAGTTGAAACCCCTCATCCCTTGCTATGTCCCGGATACACAAAGTTCACATGCTCCCATAGTGCAGACTTTGTAAGAACATAGGCACTGGGAATCTGTTCTGTATAGATTTAAGGGTGCATCCCATCCTCCTTCGTTAACTGGACCCCAAGTCACTAATAGGTAACAAGAAGTTTCTCTGTATAGAAGTATTCTAACTAATAAAACAAGGGTGTGTCTGTCTGTGTCGGGGTCTCACTCTGTACCCCATGCTTGCCTCAAATTCTGTCTTCCTGCTTCCAGCTTCCAAGTGCTGGGATCTATGTTGTATGTCACCATGCCCAGGAGGACACTTTGTAGATGCCCATTTGATGCTCCTGTACTTTCCTGACCCCGTTGCAGGCTGGTCGCTGGTCTCGGGGTCCCTCATGGCCTCCGCAATGCAGTGCCCAGGGAGGAGCGTCACCCTTCTGCTGGCTCTGGCCCTCCACACAGCTGCTGACCTTGCCTCTGGAAACGTCTGTCTCTTGTCTGCCACAAGGCTGTAGCTCTTGTTATCTGACCCACCAGGACCTCTGTGTTTCTCTTCCTCTTGTCCCTGCCACTTGAGGGTTCCTAGATTGGACCTTGCTCCGGAGTATCCAGCTGCCAGTGCAAGCTAGTGAGGGGCCCATGGCGCTCCTGATGGCCAGCTGCCTCCCAGAACACGCTGCTCATGTTTCTCTCCTTCACTGAGTGCTCCTGGCATTGTGTGTCTGCTCAGGTCAACAATCCTGAACTCTTCTTTGGTTCTTCTCTCTCTTACTCCCCACCCAGGCTTTCTGTTGGTTTTGGTTTTGGTCTTTTTGAGACAGGGTCTCCCTGTAGCCCCAGCTGAACTTGCTATGTAAGTTGCTAGAACTTGCTATGTAGATCAGGCTGGCCTCGAACTCACAGAGATCCACCTGCTTCCTGAGTGCTGGGATTAAAGGTGTGCATTATCACACCCAGCCAAAGATTTATTTTACATGTATATATTCTCAATTTTTTCTGTATTCTCAATTTTTAAACTTAAAGGGGATTAAAACTCCCCACTGGTTGCCACTCTGTTCTAGTCCCTTCTCCAAAAGGCACTGGTGTCATCAGATGGTACAGTGAGTACCTTCAGAGCTTGTAACAATGTTTAGTGAAATACATACCACAGAAGCACATAGAGAAATGGAGACCTTGTTCTGTCCGTGTGGTTTCTTTTGCATCTTAAATGGGATTAATGGTACACTAGAACTTTACATTTTATGTCAGATATTTTAAAGATCTTTTAAGACTGGTACCTATAAATTTCCTTTTTACTTCCGACTGCTCTCAGATGTTTTCTCCTTTTAAAAACTGCTCCTGTTGCTACAGGCATGGCTCAGTTAGTAGAGTGCTGGCTCCTTGTACAGAGCCCAGCACTGGGTAGATGAGTGCTGTGCACCTGTGCTCCTCGCCCTGCAGAGATGGAGGCAGAAAGGAGGTTCACAAGGCCATCACCATCCTTAGGGACACTGGGTTCAAGGCCAGTCTGGGATACACAAGATCCTGTCTCAAAAAAAAGTTCTCTCATTACTGAACATTTCGATTATTTGCTGGTTCTCTCTGTTCTGAACACAGCAGTGACCATCCTTATTTTTGCTTCCTTTGCTCTTAGTACTATCAAACTTTTTTTTACTGTTTTACTTGGGAATGTTTTTCCTTCAGGAAGTTTGGGCCTTAATTACTGTTTTTGTCTCACCTAAGCTTCTGTATGTCCTTCTTGCAGTGGACTATGACGTCACAACTTCCACAGTTCTTTCCTTCCCTGTAAGTTTATGCAGGATCTGTTGTCATGGGTGTTAAAGGCTAATCTCTTTTTATAGGATTCAGAATCTGTTGTACATCTGAACAGTCAGCCGTATTAATCAAACCTAATCATGTACACCCTATTTGTCCTTAGAAGAAGGAAGGCATGGTTCAGACTTTGAAGGTGGAAATGTTTTCAGTTTTGGTTTTGTTTTGCAATGCTATTTAACTCTTGAGTGGTTGGAATTACAAGCAGTTTCTACCCTGCCTGGCTCAGTGAAGGAAACTTTTAAAGAAGTCCTAGCTGCAAACAACAGAACGCCCCTCACCCCCGAGTCTGAATTAGCCTGTTCAGCTCCTAGAAGAGCGCTAACCTGGGAATCATCCTATTTCTTATTTGTGTTTTTATCCAAGAATGATTAAGCATAATCAGACTTAAACCAATGTAAGGTTCAAAAAGTGTGTTTTCCCTTTTAAAACTACATAATTTAGAAACAGAAACCTGACATTGGGCATAATTATTTTTACAGTGTTTAAAGATAATGCTGGAGAAAGCAGGTCAGCCAGGTAAGTTATTTACCATGATGGCATACTCTTACCCACATCCTTAACTTTAAAAAATTATCTATAAGCTTAATGATAACTTCTCAAACTTCTTTTCCCCGCTGGGAGTTGTGGGGGGAAAATTACAGACTAAGAAGAAGAAAAAGGAAGTAGTTGAGTTTTGAGCTTCCCGGTTCTTACCTGCATCCTGAAAGCAATGACAGGTGAGCGCCAAGAGCCGTGGACTCCAGCAGAGTCATGGCAGAGACAAGGCCGAGATTCCTGCCTCCTGGAGTTATTCAGATCTTTCACTGATTTTTTTAAATCACATTAGTTAGAACTTAATTGTGCCCTGTCCCATATCGATATTTTTGTGTTATAGACGAAAGACTCTAATACGGATGGAAAAAATAGCTGAGGGTGAGAAATCACGCTGTGCCGGCGGAATCATGCTGGCAAGCCGCCGCGGCGCCATGCTCCGTTAGCGCTGCTCCTTTACTGAAGCCCGCTCTGTTTATGAAGGGAGGGTCAGACCTAGGGGGAAGACATGCTTGCGGTGTACATGTGTACATACAGAGTGTCACTTGATCTCAGCAGCAGTCTACAGCCCTGCAGCACAGAGATCACCCATTCCCAGTTTGCCATGTGGAAACAGGCTGGGAAATGTTAGAAGACATGCCCAGACTCCAGGAGTAGCAAAGTTTCTGCTTTCAGAATCAGCCCTTTGTCACTGTGTTGTGTGTAGTGAAGTAATAATGTTCACGTGTAGGACTGGAGAGATGACTTACCAGTTAAGAGCACTGGCTGCTCTGGCAGAGGGCCCGGGTTCAAATTCCATAACCCACATGACAGCTAACAACCATCTGTAACTCCAGTCCCAGGGGAATCCAGTGCCCTCTTCTGACCTCTGCAGGTATTGCACGACACAGGTGCACTTACATACATGCAAGCAATACACTTATACACATAAAATAAAACAATAAATAAAATCTTAAAAAATAATGTTCACTTGAAACTTCCTGGTGTTTTTTTTTTAAGATACTTAGATTGAATTTTAAAATTGACATAAAGCTGGGCATGATGCCACACACCTTTAATCCCAGCACTCAGGAGGTAGATCTCTGTGAGATCAATGCCAGTCTGGTCTACATAGCAAGTTCTAGGCCAGCTGGGGGCTATAGGGAGACCCTGTCTCAAAAAAAAAACCAAACAACAACCATAAGTATACATATGTGTGTTTATATATATATATATATATGGCCCAGTATAGTGGCCCATCTCTGTAATCCCAGAATTTGGAGGCAGAGGCAGGAAAATCAAGAGTTATAGGCTGACAACACAGTGAGACCTTGCCTAGCATGTGCAAAGCTCTGGATTTCATCCTCCACACATGTACCCCTTGCCCCCCTCCCCCCAAAAAAGACGGAAGGACAGGAGAGAAGAAGGAAGTCAGTTGACAGATCTTACTGTGCTTGACACTTGAACTAACAGCTAGTAAGTTTCTTAGAAAGAAGGGTACTATGGAGTTTCAAAGTTGGGGCTCAGGGAGATGAATAAGAGATCTCTCTTTCCTACTAGGTATTTTGAGTAGGTGGTGTCCCTTATTTATAGCATTGCTATTCTCTTAATAACCACGATTTCTAACTTGCTCCATTTGACTGTGTCCCCCCACAAAAAGTTCTTTAAAAGAAGAGAATGAGAAGAGTCTCATTTCCCCAGTGTAGCCAGTGTGCCAAAACCCAGAAAACTAATTAAAATCTATTCAACATTTATAAACCTCCACTTATATCAACCTGACTAAAATGCCTTTCAGTACCATCGCTATACTTTTGATAGATTGACTGCCAAGTAGATAGAATTCTCATGTACATGTGAGAAATTGCTAAGCAGTGTCAGTGTGTACCTACAGCTGTGATGGTGAAACAAAACTCAACCTTCTAAGGCTTTCAGAAGGGATTCCGTGTGTGTGTGTGTGTGTGTGTGTGTGTGTGTATACACTTGATCTGGGATCCATGTATGTGTGTACAGGTAGGTTATAAAGGATCAACATAAACAAGTGTAGAGTAGTAGCAAGTATTTTATTCACAAGTATCCACACATAAATGCTTTCTAGTTTGCTTTGTTTGTGGTCTGTGGTGCTAGAGCGGAAGCCAGGACTGCAGATGGTAGCAGGTGCCCCCCGAGCCATGTCCCCAGCAGCTGTACTGTTTTAATTCACAACTTCTTGCTGGATGAGAAACAAATTAAACAAATGGAGGGGACACCTTAATTTTTTCATGTTGTAGAAGAGATAATTTGCTGGTAAAAAAAAAAACAATTAGTAGTAGAGCGGCCTCGTTGGCTATTCACTTCCCTAGAAGTCGTTCCTGCAAACCCTTTAAACATCTCCGAGGTTTTTCATCCAATTTCAATCCCTTCATAGGAGATATGTGGCATTTACGGAAGATGGATTGGTGCTATGAACCTGGGGAGCCTTTGTGTGAAGAAGTAAGATCCTTTCTCTACATTCTCTTAAAACTGTATTTATGATACTGAGGGGGCGCATGTGTGCGTGGCACAGATGGAGGATGGAGGACACTTGTGGGGTCAGTTCTCTCCTATGTTTTTGTGTGTTCTAGGGCTTGAACATTCAGGTCCTTAGGCTTGGGCAGCTCCCCTATGGGCTGAACCATCTCACCAGTTCATCTTTCTCTATATTTTGCTCTTAAAAATGCTTAAGCTTATTTCATGTTTTATGAGTCCCCCCTCCCAATTCTAGAGAAAGCAATTCTAGAGAAAGTTTTTATTCTATTTTAGAATACAGAGATCTATGAATGTGCCTGTTTTCAGTTTCTCTAGCTGGTATCCTGCTAGAGAGCAGGTCTCAGCTAGATGGAAGCACTTCCATACCAGTGAGCAGCTCCTCTGATGGGAGGGGGTCCTCTGCATCAGAGAGGAGGTGACCTGTGAACTCAGGAGAGCCTTCGGAGACACTTGGGAATCTCAACCCTTTCATATTTTAATCAGAATTTCTCTGTGAGTGAGTGATCATACCAACCAGTTAACATTGTCCACCCTAAACCTAGCACAGTCAGAGGAACAGCACTATCACAGGGTGTGGAATCCAGCTACTCTTCTTGTTGACATTGGATTGTATCAGAATTCCTCATCTAAGCCAAATGAGGCTCTGTGAAGGTACAGACAGCTGTGGTCAGCCACCCTTTTCCATGTCTACGCTAATGGGTAGTGGTTTACCACTAGACACTTGACAAGCATGCATACGAGGACTTCGCATTGTCATACTCCTTTCTGGTCCAGTCCAAGAGAGAGCCCCGCCCCCAGTTTTGGTGATGTTGCACCCCCAAAGTCAGAAATAGGCTTCAAAGAACCTTCAGGACTCACAGGATGACAAAAGGATATATTTATTCAAATAGCTTCTTCACTCTTTCTTTTCAGAGACAAGGTATTACTATATACCCCAGGCTAGCCTCAAATTTGCCATCCTCCTGCCTCTGCCTCCTGAATGCTGGGATTACAGGCATCCACCACCAAGCCTGGCAATTTTCTTCATGATCAGGCTCTCAAATCGGTCCCAACAGTTCATCTGAGAGTCTCTCAGAACCAGCGTCCATTCCCAGATTTGCAGTCTCTCTTCCCCATCTGTCTTCAGACTGAAATCTCTCTCTCTCTCTCTCTCTCTCTCTCTCTCTCTCTCTCTCTCCAGCCTTCAAAGGCCCAGTAGGTCCTAACACCGCTTCCTTAGACCTTTGTTTGCCTCTTACCTGAGTGACGTCCACAGCTTCCCTGGCCCCACAGGCGTTCCCCATGGCAGTGTTTCACACCCAGCAGCCATGCCCATCTCCTAGTGGCTCCTTGTTTCTGCCCCACATCCTGGGCTGGTGTCTGCTCCTGCAGACTGCCCCGCTTGCTCCTCCATCCACCTGCTTTCCGTCCCGCTCCTGTCTGTCCACTTCTAACCAGAATAAGCTGGCTTGCTGTCAACTTTGACTCTGCCATTGTTCTTTTCCCTTCTCGTTTCCTCGGGTTCACATCCAACCTGCCTTTGGACAGCACTAAAATTTCACCTTCTGCAGCTCAAGCTCTTATTTCTCCTGTCAAAAATCTCTTTGCTCATTTACCCAGTGTAATACAGGGTGCTGTTCTGATCTGATGTTCTGAGCTCATCTCCCACATCTTCAGTGGGTGCTTTATTATTTAATGATTGAGAGAAAAGGTGATAGAAGCATACGATTTTCAAAGGTCCAGTGGTCTCTTTGTTCCTTTCAGAATCATAAGTGACAAAAGGAATTTCTGTATTCCCAGGATGCAACACTGAAAGAGCTTATGATAAGTTCCGGTGATACTTTGCTTTTAATTGAAGGAAAACTTCCTCCTCCGGTAAGATTCTGCTTCTAAATAGACATTTTATAAATAACAGTTACTGCTTTCTGATTGCCAACATGGTACATTCTTATTGTGGGAAATACAGTCCAAAGGAAACAAAAAGGAAAAGAACTTTCCCAAGATATACCAGTCAGCCATATTTCCTTCATAATTTTTCAATAACATTTAAATAAATATTATATAATAAAATTAAAATTACATATTAAATTGCATAATTATACATAAAATTTTATTTTCTTTCTATATTTATCATTTTAATCTCATCATAAAATCCAGAAATAATCATCATATCCAAAGTAACAGTGCACTACTGTTTAATTCACCTGTCTTCCCAGTGTTGGGAGTTTAGCATGTGCTTAAATGTAAACCCCTCGGAGGTAGAATGGCTAAATCTGAAGGCATGAACTTGTCTAAAGACTTTGTGCTCACTATTGCCAAGTTATTCTGACAAATCCAGAACTGGCAGTCCTCTCAGAACTCGAAGTCTTCATTCCACTGCTTGCTTGCTTGCTTTTTGGGCAACTCATGCTTGTCTGTGTGTGCACGTGTGTTTGCGTGTGTGGCAGCACCTGTGCATGTGGAGGCCAGAAGCTGATGCTGAGTGTCTTCCCCTCCACCTCGTGTACTGACGCAGGGTCTCTCACTGAAGTTGGAGCTCGCTGGGTCACCTCATCTGGCTGACCAGCTTCCCTAGGGACCTCTGCGCCTCCTGAGCACAGGGACTACAGGCAGGCCACCGCAGTCGCCCATCTGTGGGTGCTGGTGTTCCAAACTCCGGTCCTCAGGCTCACGCGGTGAGCAGTTTATCCCCCGAGCCCTCTGCCCAGCCTGTTTTACTGTTCCTTTATAAACATTGTACATCACAACCTCTTAAGACTGTTATTTATTAGGTTTTTTTTTTTTTTACTCAAAAAAGGTATAAAGATAAAAGTGTTCCCCAACTCCAGTACTCAGGTACGTTCTATTTGCTTATCTGAAAACTCAGACAGCACAGAAAGCTACAAGATGAAAAGCAGGAGTCGTACCCATGTCTTTCCCTCCGAGAACCTCAGTGATGTGATTTCCCTTATACGTCCTTCTAAGGAGAATGTGTAGCCAAGTGTGGTGGTTCAGTGGGGAGACAGGAGGACAGTGAGACCTGTGTCAGAAGAAAAGGACAAATAGAGAGGGGAATGAAAATAGAAGATTTTATAAAAATAAGTAAACTAAACTTTATTTCTTTTTGTGCATGTTTGTGTGTGTACATGTTCATATGTGTTCATGTATGTGGGTACATATGTGGGTGCATATTCATGTGGAGGCCAGAGGTCAACCGCTGTCATTCCTTAGGTTCTGTCCACTTTTTTTTAAATTCATTTTTATTTAATCTTTGTGCATTTTATACAATACATCGTTAGGCCCCCTCCCTTATCTGCACCTACCCCGTAGCCCACCCACCAGATTTCATGCATTCTGTCATAAGTGTTAAGGCCTAGCTGGTCTAAACTTTGTGTAACCACTTGTCCCTTGGCATGAGTTCATCCACTGAAGTCTAGTCAGCCTGTCTAGCATCACTCCCTTAAAGAAGACCAACTCTGCCTCACACAGCAGTGGTCAGCTGCCAATAGTTCCTTGGCTAAGGCTGGGGCCTGCTGCCCATTTCCCCAGTTCTGTGCTGGGTTTTTGTCTGATTGACTTTGTATGGGTCTTGTGTGCTGACACCACTGCTCTAAGTTCATTTTAGCAGTTATACAGCTGAAGGCTATATAATACGAAACAGTGCCAGACAGGAGAAACCTGCCTGTGAGTTGTTGGTCAGGGTGGTCCAAGAGACTCCCAAAATAACACAGGCTAGTATTACCACAGCCCTTGATTACCTCCCAGAACTTGAAGGTAAGACCCTACTGCTGAAGACAGGACATACTTCAGACATAGGACTTGGAGCAACGGAGCTGGAACTGACATGGAAGCCTCCTCCATGAACACTAGCTCTCATAGTTCTAGAAGATACTGTGCAAGCTGCTAAGGGAGAAAATCAATGAATGGTCCAGTCCCAGCTTTAAGGCCTAATAACCACAGTAGTGACCAGCACAACAAACACTCTTGGTGCAGTAGTGGCACTTTTATCTTGGGGGTAATCAACAGCTATCTGACTGGACTTAAAGCCCTCTCAGTGGGAAGGAATTCACATGTGACACTGTAAACATAGTCAGATACACATGGCTGGAGAAGTCATAGATCCTAGAGAAAACCCTAAGTCTGTCACATCCCTAAAAGATTTTTTAATGTGCATATTATATGCCGAGGGCTAATGAGGTGTGTGTCTTTATACTTGATGAAGGGCTCCTGGTCTCATCACTGTTCTAAACTTGATGCTCTGTGTTAGTGTTCAGTTACTGTGTCTCGGGGATTTCTTATCATATCTGCTTTTTTCTTCTTTTTTAATAATTTCATGGAGTGCTGTTGTACTTGGTGTGATGGTCTTCGAAGTTAATTTTGAATAGGTAATATACATGGCATAAAGTTCCAAGTCCCTAAGAAGTTGGGCTGGGAAAAGTTTGTGTCTTTCATCTCCCTAGCCCCAAGCACCCCGAGCCTTCTCCACGTGGGTACCAGTTTCTTCTCTATCCTTCTGAGAATATGCTTTTTGGTATGCATCCTCTCAAGTATGTGTCTTCGTATGTGTATGAAGTATGCATGTGCATGCTCTGTACCCTGCTTTCTTACATAGTCCAGGCTGGCCTTGAACTCATACTTGTCCCCTGTCTCTGTGTCCCAAGTGCTGGGATTGCAGGCATTTCCATTCATACTCTATCTCCAGGTAAGTTCTGTGTCAGAACATGTAAAGCTGTCTCGCTTCAGTAGTGACCAGAGTAGCATTCTGTATGGAGTTTTCCTTTGTGTACTGGGATGAAGCCCAGAACCTTGCATATGCTAAGCTAACACACACACACATACTTTCTCTCAACTACACCCCCAGCCCCATAACTTATATAGCCAGTCTCAAAGAACACAAAGTATACATATGTACTTCTTTGCATATGTATGACTGTATCTACAGGATAAATTCCTAAAATGTAAATCCCTCCATCAAAAATCATGGCCTCCCATACTGTGACCAGCCCATTTTTAAAGAGGTGCTTTGAAGCTGGGTCATGAGTTTTGCTGCCATAAATAATTTTCAGTGACTAGCTCCGCATAGTAGGGGGTTTCAAATGTACACATGTCATAGGGTAATTTTTTTTTTTTTTGGTCTTTTTGAGACAGGGTTTCCCTGTAGCCCCAGGTGTCCTGGAACTCACTATGTAGACCATGCTGGCCTTGACCTCACAGAGATCCACCTGCTTCTGCCTCCCAAGTGCTGGGATTGGAGGCGTGCGCCACCACGCCCGGCCAAGGTAATTCTTAAATGTGGACTAGCAAGGTCGGAGAACTTGGGAATTTAAAAATTTTGACAGACATGGCCAGATTACCCTGCCAAACCTTCTATTTCTGCCACGGCTTACAAGAATTCAAGTTTCCCCATTCTCACCGGTATAGAGCTTTATTAGACATCCTGGTTTCTGCTGAGTGAAAACAAAGAAATTTCGTTGTTGTGTCACTGGGGCATGTGCCTCATTTGTTTTATCTACTGAGGTACAGCTATGCAAAGCACGTCCAGCCCTAGGCATCCCAAAGTCTGGCTTTTAGTGTTTAATCTTTTGTCTTAAAATAATAAACAAGGGGGGTAGAGGGATGACTTAGCAGTTAAGAGCACTGGCTGATCTTGCAGAAGACCTGGGTTCAGTTCCCAGTATCCACAGGGCAACTAGCAACCATCCATTACTCCAGTTCCAGGGGATCCGATGCCCTCTTCTGACCCTGGTGGACATTGCACGACACGGGTGCACTTATATACATGCAGGCAATACACTCATACACATAAAAGTAATAAATAAAATATTAAAAGAATGACAAGACGAGTGATAAGTCTACAAGAAAAATAATAAATTGAGGAATACTTTGTGGTCAGACATTTCTGCCAATAGAAGTGAAACCTCATTCTGTATCACAGCAGTTTAAAATGCTCTGTTCTTCAGGGTTCCCTGAAGGTGCCCATCTGGTGGTACCAGCCTCCAGGGCTGTCAGGACACTGGGAGCATCGGGGCCACCCCACCTGCACCACTTCTCAATGTACTACCTGGGGAGGTACTCCCAGCCAAGGTAAGGACAGAGTGGAGCTGTGGCAGCCCACATGTCCCACGGAGGTAAAGAGTAGACAGGCCCAAAGGACTTGGGTGTTTGCTCTGAGAGTCGACTGCAGTACTTGGGCCAAACATGTCATTTTGAAACCAATCAAGCCTGATCGTTCTGTGACAATACCACCTTGTTTTTAACTAGTGCTTTGTAGTGCTGTAAAGCACTGTGGGTCTTGAGTATGCAATACCTGGTACTTTTTCAAAGACCTTTTATGTATCAGCTCTCAAGGCCCTCAGAGCAGCAGTCCCCATCTTTACCTTGTGCCACATTACGGTAGCTTCACCTATTCCGTGACCTCAAGGATGGCAGCTAGGCCAAAGTACAAACGTGTTCTGCGTGGCTCCAGGCCTTTCTGCCTCTTGCCCCCAGGAGCTGCTTCTCAGGCATCTGGCATCTTCTTACTGACTTCTGAAACCACAGACAGCCACAAACATGTCTCACTCAAAACGCAGCACACAGCACAGTGGATACAGTCCCCAGCAGAGGTCAACATCACTGTAGTGACAACACACTCTACCCTTGTGTACATGTAGGTAGAGAGCATTTCTAGCAGGGCCTTCTCTTTAGATACTTTTTTATTGTTACTGCATTTTTACTTAATTCTTGATCTTTTTAATGCCTTGAAGTATTATCTCCTATTCTGTGGTTTGGTTATGTCTTTTATTTATTTTTTAAATATTTTATGTATTGCCTGCATGCAGGTCCACCCATGTCATGCAGTGTCTGCAGAAGTCAGAAGAGGGCATCAGATCCCCTGGAATTGATCAGTTGTTAGCTGCCTGTGGGTGCTGGGAATTGAACCCAGGTTGTCTGCAAGAGAGGCTGTCCAGCCTCTTTCTTTCTTTCTCTCTTTCTTTCCTTATTTCTTTCTTTCTTTATTTATTTATGTATTTATATTTTTGAGACAGAATCTTGCTATGTATCTGTGGCTAGCCCAAAACTAACTCACTACGTAGACCGGACAGGGCCATGCATGCAGTGATCCTCCTGCACCTGCCTCCTGAGTGCTAGTGTTACAGGGTGCGCCACCACTCCAGTCTTCATTTGCCCATTTTTTAAAGCATAGAAAGACTCTTGTCAAGATTTGCTTCACTCCATAAACATTTACTACACCATTACTGTGTGGAACCCACCACTGCAGGTACTGGGGAGACACGAAGAAGCACTGCCCCTGTGGAAAAGCCTATTCTTGAGAAAACGTGAAATCTGCCCACACAGGAAATACCCCGAAAAATTAAAACGTGAGAAAAGTGTTATGAGGAAAAAATGATACAGACAGAAAATCTTACCAACAAAGTCTTACCTGAGGCAGGAAAGAATTTGGAAGAGCTATAGGGAGCTAGCGTAAGTAGAAAATTCCACATGGAGCTCAACCAGTAATGGCTGTCTGACTGGTGCTCTGCCAGGCGCTGGAGTCATGGCCGATGCTAAGGGCTCAGGTGAGAGGTTTCACCTCGGTGAGCCTACTTACAGTCTCAGAACATGGCAGTGTTTCAGGAATGTGAAATGAGTCCGTTTAATTCTTCCCAAACATGCAGTTCTGTCCTTTTGAAGGTGCTCCTGGCCCCAAGCCCACAGAAGTTTCTCTCCTCTACTTGGGCAGCGTGGAGATCTCGGAAGAGGCCTCATTGATGGAGCTGAAGGCACAGGTCTGTTCTCACGTGGCATGTGCTCCGTGTCACGGTCAGGGAAGTACTGAGGCATCGTGCTCACGCAGACGGTTCCGGTACCTGCTCCTCCACTGCCCTTGGGACTTCTGCTCACCCAGTCCCCACAGGCATGCTGTGCTTATGTTTGGATCTGTCCTCAGCAGCTCAAGGCTCATGTTCATTTAGACTTTTTTGGGGACACATGGCTTCTTGAACCATCTGTAAAGCATTCCCTTAGCTCTTCATTTTTACCCTTTGTGTGTTTAAATCTTGTTAGTTACAGCTCTGTTGTGTCAGTTTCCCCTGAGGTTGGCTGGTCACCCTCTGCGTTAGGATGCAGAACTGGAGATTGTATTATCTTATGCATTAACATTTTCACCATCCAAATGGGAAGGCTGCATTAAGTACAACCCACAGTGTTGACAGAGCAGCTTGTGTGTTAGACCACAGTAAACATGGCTTCTTACACTAAAGACAGAACCTCAGGGCCTGTGTATGACCTGCAGCTGACATCTGGCTTTTGTGTCCTCAACAAATGAAGTAACCTTCCTTGAGAAAGGCTGTGATTTGATTCCCATGAAAAAAAGTGCGAGGTCCACCACCTCCTCTTTTTGTTACTAAGTCAAAAGATAAAAGATGGCTATATTGCCGGGCGTGGTGACGCACACCTTTGATCCCAGCACTTGGGGAGGCAGAGGCAGGCGGATCTCTGTGAGTTCGAGGCCAGCCTGGTCTCCATAGCGAATCCAGACCAGCCAGGGCTACAGGGAGACCCTGTCTCAAAAAGACCAAAAAAAGAAAAAAAGATGGCTTTATTTAGGTGAAAAACTGACGGCTATTGACCACCTTCCTTCCGTGTCTCCCACTAAGCATAAATAGGTGCTGAAAGTTCCCTGTGGAATTAGGGTGAGCATTTTGGGCCTGCTGGCTGGAGCCAAATTCTTTGAAGTTTGCAGAACCTCAGAACCAAAGTCTGATTACTGGCAGAGAAAATGTGATTATAGACGTTTCCACGCAGCTAAAAGGAAGAGGAGCCCTTGTTTTATCAGAGCAGCCTCGGCGCGTACGAGTACACCCACGTAGTCCTTCAAGGGCATTTTCAAAAACCCGATTAGAAAGGTTTTCAGCCATTAGAGCTGGCGAACACCTATGATTACAGCCCAGGAGGCCGGGCACGAGTGCTCCGACTATGCTGAATCACAGGAACCCATCTCGAAGTTTAACAGTAAAAAGGAGCTTTTGAGTCAGATTTACAAGTAGAAAGCTCATCTTTCTGGCATATCTCAGTGGAAAGGAGCATGAAAAGTACCAAGATTAACTTCACCGAAGACACAGGTGTTCTGTAATGTTTGTGGTTTTTCTGAGACAGGGTCTCATGTACCCAAGGCTAGCTTGGAACTCGCTATGTAGCTGAGGGTGACCTTGAACTCCTGATCCTCCTGCCTCCACCTCCCAAGTGCTGTGTTGATAGGCACACATCGTCATGTCTGGCTTTCCTGTGGTTGTTCAGTAGATTTACCGTTACTTGGGGTGGTCTCTCCCTCAGCTGTCGTCGTGTAGCCTTTCAGTGGAGAATCCATTGCTTTTTCTAGGCCATGGCTTTGCCTTCAGCCACAGAGCTCACTCTCCGGTCCACAGCCCTCCTTCGAGCCTGGACAGTGGAGAACAAGCGCCTTGGCAGGCTCTTGCGCACTGACCGGCAGCAGCTCAAGTAAGTGTCTCACTGGGTACAGCTACCTGGTTGCCTCTGCAGGGGTTAGGGAGCACGGTGGACTGATGAGGGAAGCCGTCCTCCAAGTCACGTTCTACCAAAAAGTCCCTCAGGGAACTTGTCAGTCGCATAAGCTTCTTGTCCCAAGTTAACTCTGGGACAACTTCAGCTTGCTTGTGCTAAGTTCAGATTTACCTTTGTGAATTTTCTCTATGCTGTAGACACTAAGTGATCATAACTTAAAAGAATTTAAGGTGAAGTGGAAGCCAAAGGTGAGCTGTCTGATGTTCAGGAAACATAGGATCCAGCTGCTTTGCTTCCAGAAATCTGAACTCAAGGGACGTGTCTGGGGCGTTAGATTGAGTTTTAGTTTTCTTTCCCAAAGCAGCCCTAGTGAGTTTTTTCTCATCTGTTCTGATTATCCACCAAAAAGCAGTGGCATGAAGATCCCAGGATTGAGCAGACAGAGGGTACAGGGGTTTGGCCTTCACAGAGCTGGACCTCTGTGCCTAGTAAGCAGTGGGCCACAACAGCGCATTCCAAATGTTCTCCCTCTCCACAAGCTTGAGTGCTCCAGTGCAGTACTCAGAAGACACACTTTGTCTTAATAAAAAGGCTTAGAATTGGGGGAAAACATTAAAAAATTAGATGACATTTACTCAGTGCTGTTTTGTCTCACTTATCAGGGAATACAAACTAGGCCAGAGAGCAGGAATCTGCCTGGAACCCCTTCCGAAAGAAGAAAGCTTGAGGTGAGGAATCCTGCACAGGGACTGTGTACACAGAACTTCCAGAGTGGGTAGTTAAGTGTAGGCACCTAGTCAATAGGGTAGTCATTTTTTTATCCGTTATTCTTGTTTTTATGTGTATTGAGTGTATTGCCTACATGTATGTAAGTGTACCTGTGTCACGCAATGCCTACCGAGGTCAGAAGAGGGCATCGAATTCCCTGGAACTGGGAGTTACAAATGGTTGTTGGCCACCATGTGGGTGCTGGGAATTGAACCCAGGTCCTCTGCAAGAGCAGCCAGTGCTCTTAGCCGCTGAGCCATCTCTCCAGTCCCATTGCAGTAATTTTTTTGATGCTTCTAAATAGTAACTTAAATTATGATTTGATGCCAGTGCACACAACTGTAATCTCAGCACTTGGGAGGCTGAAGTAGGGGGATCACCAGGAGTTCGAAACCAGCCTGGGCTATGTAGCAAGACCCTGTCTCAAACAAACAAAACAAATGGTGTTCTAGAAATCTTGGTTTCTTTTCCTGACCCCCTTCCTGTGAAGCAGCAGTGAGTGAATGTGAGTTTTTCACTCATACCCAAGGATTTATTGAGCCCTCGATGATCCGAGGTGTCGGCAGGGTGTTCAGCATAGCCCTCCCTGCCCTGGGCACAGCTGCCACATGTTACAGCGGCTCTCTGCCTCTTGTGCTGCCTTTTTCTTGCCGGTATCACCTGACAGAGTCTACACTTGGTTGATTTGTGGCACCTGTCCCCCAGTCCAGAATGTAAGCACCACAAGAACAAGCACTTGTTATCAGTCCATTGCTGCGTCCCCAAGACCTGGGAGAGTGTGATGTAGTAATTATTCAGTAACTAAAGCAGTACCCCAACTTGTCTACAGTCAAACCATCCTGTGCTTTCTGCACATTTGGAAAATGTTTATATGACTTCTTATGAATACCAACAAGTGCCCCCTGTGGTGAGAATGTCATTCTTCTCCTCAGCCCGTTCTTCCATCCGTGCCTGACCTTCACTGGACTCCAGCATCTCTGTAACAGTTCATTCATAATACAGGTGTGGGACCAGGTATAGTTTCCTGAAGGGGAGTTTAGGGACCAACCAATGTGGACACATTAAATCTCTTAAGCTGCTCAAAGTCCCTTGTAGCTGAAGTTGTAGAAATTTCTGTTCCCATAAGCATAGTTTATGAGTATTTTTGAGGGGAGGGGTCTTTTTTGGGACAGGGTCTCCCTGTAGCCTCAGCTGGCCTGGATCTGCTATGTAGACCAAGCTGGTCTTGAACTCACAGAGATCCATCCACCTGCTCCGCCTCCCAAGTACTGGGACTAAAGGCACACACCACCACACCTGGTCATATGATTATTTTTAAAAATTTATTTTTATTCCTTTGTAATTATGTGTATGTGTATAGGGGTAGGTCTGTGCACATGTGTGCAGGTGCCCATGGAGGCCAGAGGCATCAGATCCGGGAGCTGGAGTTACAGGCAGTTGTGAGCCACCTGATGTGGGTGCTGGGAATACTCGGGGGCTCTGCAGAAACAGCACCTGCTCTTAACCCATGAGCACTCTCTCCAGCCCTGAGTTCATGAATATTTATCTTAACCTCAAACCCACTTTAAATATTTATCATTTAGATGTTTCCTGACCTGGTTGTCTTGTTCTTGATTTTCCCAGTCCTAGTAAAGCTGTGCAGTTTGCTTGTTTGTTTTTGAGATAGTGTCTTACTCTGTAGCCCTGGGTGACCTGGAACTCACTGTGTAGCCCAGGCTGGCCCAGAACTCACAGAGACTCACCTGCCTCTGCCTCCCAGGTGCTGGGATTAAAGGCATGTGCCACCATGCCCAGCAATGCTGTACATTTTCTCACAGGCTTATAAACCATTTCTATTTTGTAAGCGTGAGTAAGCTGTTTTATAGATGTCACATTTCCTTAGTAGGCTCTTAGAAAGCACTCATTGGTTGGAACCCCTTTTATAAGTGATTGGACTCTTTCACAGTAGCAGTACCCTTATGCCAAATAGCCACATCCTTTCTTGTACCCTTTGCACTCAGATTGAGTGCTGCCACTGCCTTTGCAGGACCTCTGCTGCAGGACCTCTGCTGCAGGACCTCTGCTGCAGGCTTCAGACGGGGTCTCTGCTCCATCCCTGAGCAGGACTGACAGACTCTGAGCAGCACTCAGGAGCTGGAGAGAGCCGGAGGGGAGCCTTGCCGTCCCGCCCACAGCTCTCAAGTGTTTCCTTTCCTGTGCTTCACCCTGTGTCATGCTGTTGTTCTCTGCCACAGCCCCCAGGACGTGCTGCTGAGGACACAGCTGCGTATCCCTGGCGAGAGGGCCTACACCCTTCCCGTGGACTTGGTGTGGGACACTACCCGAGGATGGACTGCTGGCTCCTTGAGGCAGAGAGTGGCCAATTTCTATTCCCTTCCTGTGGAGAAAATTGAAATTGCCAAATACTTTCCTGAAAAGTTTGAGTGGCTTCCAATATCTAGCTGGGTAAGTTGTTCTTTCTTGGAGAAAGCAGGGTTGACAAACTTAGTGGTTAGAAGGAGAGTTTTCATGCTGGTAGAGAATCTAGTGGGGACTTTAAGTTGAGTTTCATTAATGTCTGATTATGAGGTTTGATTTTCCAATAGAATCAGCAAGTTTCCAAAAGGAAAAAGAAGAAAAACCAAGATACTTTGCAAGGCGGACCCTATTACTTGAAAGATGGAGATACCATTGGTGTGAAGGTGGGCTAACAGCAAATTTATCGTTTTGAAACAAGGACCAAATTTTATAGAGGTTTACCAGGTAATCTCATTTTATATAGACTTTCAGAGAATGAATGAGGAAAGAAAGCTAGAGAATTTACTTTATGAGAACAGTTCAGCCTTGAAACCAGCAATACCAAGGACAGTGAGCCAACAGACCAGTGGACAGCGAGGCATGGCGGTTACATCTGTAATCCCAACACTTGGGGTTAGAAGCAGAGGAGGACTACAAGTTTCAGGACAGCCTGGGGAGGGGGAAGGGGGAAGTGTATGTATAATGTGGCACATCTGTAGAGGTCAGAAGACAGCTTTGTGGAGTCAGTTTTCTCCTTCCATCTTTACCTGGGTTCTGGGGATCAAACAGGTTATCAGACTACACAGCAAGTGCCTTTACCCCCTTGAGCCTTGCTGGCCCTGAATAGCGAGACCTTGTCTCAAAAACGACAAAGCCAGGCATGGTAGCACACGCCTTTAGTCCCAGCACTTGGGAAGCAGAGCCAGGTGGATCTCTGTGAGTTTGAGGCCAGCCTGGTCCACATAGTTCAGGACAGCTGGGGCTACAGGGAGACCCTGTCTCAAAAAGACCAAAAAAAAAAAAAAAAACCTAAAGGAAAACCAACAGAGGTACTGGGTAGCTCAGTTGGTCAAGTGCCTGCCTAGCGTGTATGAAGCCCTGGGTTTGATGCCCAGCACTGCCCAAAACCAGACATAGTGACCCATGAGTGGCATGCACTCAGGAGGTGGATGCACGAGGATTTGAAGTTCACGGTCAACACTGGCTCCACAGCTAGTTCAGGGCCAATCTAGGCTACACAAGAACCCCCACCCAGGTCTCTACCCCACAGTGAAGGTCACAGACCTGAGCAAACATGCCCAGCTTCTTTCTAACACGTGTGCTGGGCAGCAAGCACTTTACGCTGCTTGTCTCGGGAATAAGAGGGGTAACAGAGCAGGACACCAGCAGCCACCTCTGGCCTCTATTCATGCACAAGCATGCAGAACTACACTCACATGTGTGCATACATAATACACATGCACCACACACACACACACACACACCCTCTCAAATTTAAAAAATAAAATGTTTTCAACCACTTGACCCTTGCTTTCAATGACAAATTTTACTGCTGGGATTGAGGCAAACATGGCGGGTAAGCCATGAGGAGACAGCACAGGAACCATGCGCACTGGCCACATGGACATCCGGCTCCTGTGCTGGCAACACAGCTGCTTCATAGCTCCTTCCACAAAGACACGCAGACTGACAGCTTCAGAAGTGATTTAAAACCATTCTAATTTTTTTTGCAAAGTCAGCATCTTACATGTATTAGTGTAGGGGTTTGGGGGGGGCACAGCACATGCGTGGGGGTCAGAGGAAAACTGAGATGGTTCTTCCCTTCTACTTTTACATAGGTCCTAGAGATGAAACTCGGGTTAGCAGGCTTGGCCTGTTTTGGTTCCAGATGGAAAATACATTTTCAGCCCCTGGGGCTGGGGACTGGCTCAGCAAACGCATTGGGAAGAAGCTGGGCATGTTTGCTCGGGCCTGTGACTGTCACACTCTGGGATAGATAGGGAGCTCAGAGCTCGCTGCTTCTCACCGCCCCACAGTTTACCTCTGACCCCCATACATGTGCTGTGCCCCCCAACCCCTACACTAATACATGTAAAATGCTGACTTTGGAAAAAACTAGAATGGTTTTAAAATCCCTTCTTAAGTTGTTAGTCTGTGTATCTTTGTCAATTTAGTTTTTATGACACCTCTTTTAAATGTAGGCCAACCCAATGTCTGAAAACATTGTGTATTCATTATTTTGAAATACAGAATGTCCTGGTTGACGATGAGGAGGATCTCAGCACAATCAGTCATGACACTGGAAAAGGGAACCAGGAACAGCTGGCTGTGGGGAAAAAGAAAAGGTAATTCTCGGGCTTCGCCTGTAGCGGGTGCGGCTTGTCCCCTGCTGCCAAAGGGTGGGCTTAGATCCAAGGTGCAGGCGGCAGACCTGCAGGATCAGCCCAGGCACATCCTCGTGGCCGTGCTCAGAGTCTTAACGTCATAGTGCCGTTAGCCTACAGGAGGCTTCCGATGGGGCGTGAAGGGTCCGGTTCTCAGCTGTAAATGAGCACTTGTGCTGCTCTGTGAATCTTTAGACTCCTGCTGCGTGAGGTGATGGTGTAGAGGCTCTGGAGGAGCTCCATGAGCAGAGCCGGCCTCCCTCTGTACCTAGGACCCTTCCTGCAGCTGCTCAGTCGTCCCGTGGGCCTGAGTTCTGATCGTTCTGGAGCTGTGAGGACCCAGAAAGCAGCCGTGTGTGTGGTGGGACCCTCCTCAGCCCTCTGCACCCACAGCTATGTGGAAAGCAGCAGTGAAGGATGAAAGCTGGGGTTGCTTTGGGTTTTTCCTCATCACAAGGACAATTTGAAGTCAAGTGTAAAATTCTGTAGGTGCCTAACATACAACACAAAATCAGTATAACACACTGTTGAAACTGTCCTTTCAGACATCTCACTGCATATTGTCAGGCCCCTAGCTGTCAGCAAGGCTGTTACCTTGTAGCACCCAGCAGTATGCTAGACCAGGCCCACATACTGGACCACTGAATTTACTGCTGTCGCCATGTCCTGTGCTCAGCCTGACACACCCCATTTGCTGCTGGAATGACTGTGTCGTCATCGGCCCACAGCAGGTCACAGGTCCACAGCAGCCCGGCAGCGTGTGTCGTCACCCGCCCACAGCAGGCCCGCAGCGTGTCTCACCGGCAGACCCGCTCCCGTGCTACTTTCCGTTTACTTCCATTTTATTTTATGGAGACTGAATGTTTGCCACAAGCTTCCAGATTCAAAAGCCAGCCAAGGACGCCGTGAGCTTCCTGCACCTGCTCTTGGGAAAGGCCTGCGTCACTGTCACCACACCCTTCAGGCATGCTTCTCTCCGTTTGCTGGTAGCACTAAATAGCCTGGACTTGCAGCCCTATCACATGTGGTGGGAGTGTGGCCCTCACTATGCTGTCACATGAGTGGCGCTAACTTACAGAAGGACACCCCACTCGTGTCTCAGAAGTCTACAGACTGATGCTGGTGTGTATGTAGGGCATGTTTCTCCTAGTGCGATGGCTGGGACAAAGGCTATGGCTGCCGGTAACTTTGGAAACATACCTGCAAGTGAAAAGGCCAAGAAACTAATAATACAGGTAAAAGGTATGACCAGCTCATGGACGGAAAGTGCAGACAGCTTGCCAGCATACAGAAAATGCTCAACCAAGTTCATTCATCAGGAAAGGTCAGTTCAGATCACCACCCACTATGGCTGCTGCAGTGATGCCAGGGTGGCAAGAATGCAGAATGCCTGGGACCATGCCCCCCACGGCAGGTGTGGAACTGGGATGCCACTTGGAGGAGCTACTGGTTTGGCGCTAGTGCTGCTCAGCACTAGGATGGGTCTGCCACAGGAGTCTTGGATACTGCAGGATGAGCAAAGCCAGCCAGACCCAGCAGCCACAGTGCCACGATTCATGTGTGTGGGAGGCACGGGGAAAACCAGTCTGCTGGGTACTGAGAGCGGTGGTCTTCTCAGGACAGGGACTGAGGGGACAAAGGAGCTGCCTAAATTATCACATAGGTATATGAGTGTGATGTGCGTGTGCTATCAATGTGCTGTGGGACTACTGTGCAGAGTGGATTGGAAAATACCCAGTCTATGACGATGTGTGACCAGGGTGTGTGGAATCCAAACTGTCCTCACAGGGACGACCTCAGAGTCAGCTGCGGCTCTCTGTAGGCAGTCTGCAAACTTCGGTCCGAATTGCAGATCTTTTCTAACTTGAGCCCTAGTATCTGGAATTCACTTGGGAGTCATTTTAAACCCTTCAGGTTGGGTCCCCTGTGACTACATGTCAGTGATGACCTCTCTCTTCCACAGCCGAGAAGTCCTACGTACACAGAGAAGTGACATGCTCTCCAGCGCAGGAACACCCACTCGGCCTCGGGGACCAGAAGCTTCTCTATCCATCCACGTTGGGAGCTTCAGATAGCCCCACAGCAGTACATGACCCACAGCACCCAAGCTCTATGCTCCAGACACAGCCATCCTGCCAGTTCTATGACTGAGGCTTTGTGCATCTGGTGGGTGACCTGGTTGCCTGTGCAGCCTGGGTCCCAAGTCCTCAGCTTGGTTACAGGGGAAGAGATGATGCTTCTCAGGCCAGGCAAGTGCACCTGATCACCAGGTCTGACACACACCAGCCCTTTAGGGCTGGCCCAGACTCAGATACTGTGTAGGTACCAACCAGAACTGGCCTCCCACGCCTGACCCCAGTGGCCTTTTTCCAGAAAGTTTATTCCTTGGACACAATGCCAAGTTGCTCAAGTTGGACAAATCTGCTAGGTAAGACACACACCTGTTCAGTCTCTTACTCTGTTGAGGTCATCTGCCTTGACACAGGTTCCGGCACCTCATCTCATGCTGCAAGGCAGTGGCACTTTGAAGCTGTGTCCCCACCCTCAGAACCCACCATCCCAGTTCTCACAACATGCTCCTCCTTTGGGGTCAGCTTAGAAGTGGGACTCAACACAGCAGCACTGCAGTCACTGGACTGCTGAGAAGGACAAGCTGGGTGTGGCTCAGGCTGACCCGCCTCAGTGTGCTGGAGCACGCCTACCACAGCCCAGCACCACAGCCTCTTCCTTTGGAAGCCTGCTAGAGGCAGAGCCATCACAGAAGCCTGGCACAAGTCCAGGTTCTCAGTTGTCCTGGGCAGATAGACCTTTTTCTTTCTACTCAACACAGGTAATTGTCCAACTTAGAGGATTTAGTGTTTATGTGCTGTAGCTACAATGTACTACTAAAACAGCATCTGTTACTGAGTTGGCTGGTTGGGACACTGGGTGACGCAGTCCAAGGCAGCATTCCTAAGATACAGTTCATTCAAGCCCTGGTTGTCAGCCAGGGTCTGGGTTCCTCCTCACTGTCACGTGCATCTTTGTCAGGGAGCAGACAGCTGAGGCCTGGCTTTGGGCCGGGCCCTGCTGGCTCTCACCTCTGGTGTAGCAGTGCTGTCTCCGCTGTAGAGCTGACACTCAGCAGGTGACCCTGCTCTTGTCCTCTCAACACCATGGACAACCCTTCATCTCTGCGTTTATCAAGAGATTGTGTTGTCAGGTGGCCATTTCTGTTGACGCACTCGCATTGTATGACACTGGATGTGGCCTGGCGAGCTGCCGTCTGATCCCTCACACACAGGAGTTCCAGGAGACCAAACTACGCATGACCGCAGAGGAGTCCCGAGTCCTGTGTACCGCCTGTAGCCAACACAGTTCTTGGTCTGCCCCATCTTCAGGCAGTGAAGGACTCGCATAATGTCTGTGACTCAGCTCTCAGAAGCCAGAGACTTCCCTGAACCTCTGGAGGACATGCCTGAGGTGCTGGTGGTCCCACCCTGTTAACTGGCTTATTTGGTTTTGTTCTTAATTGGGGATAGGGTGGTGGTGAACAGGGAAATAAACTATTTTTAAAGCCGTAGTCCTGCTTGCCGTATGCCGACTGCCACGTGTTCTGCTTGCTTAAATGGAGCTTTGTGGCCTTTTCTGTCCAGCATACTTAAGATGCTAAACAAACATGGCTTATATTTAGAAACAGTGCTTTGGAAATAAGTATGTTTGGGTTTAAAATAAATCTAGACTCCTGGGGAAAATGCACTGGGAGAACTGGCAGTTGTTGCCTGGGTCCCCTCCTTCTGGGTGGCAGGCTCTGGCCAGGGCAGTAAGCTGTAGTATAGTTATTCTGATAAAACCCAGGAGGCAACAAGAATTTCCTGATAATCCAAAATGGTGTCTTCACAGATGCTTGTTCCCTTTTGGATCAGACTTGACTATGAGGGACTCGACAGTGGGAGACCCTGGACACTCCGCAGGGCACAGGCAGCCTTCGTTTCGTACCTGCCAGAAAGCGTAGCAGTTCAGCAAGTGGCGACGGCAGTGCCTGTTCAGAGCTCGCTGCATGTCAGCGAGGAGAGAACATGGTGGCTCTCTGTCCTTCTGCTTCCCAGCCACCAATAATTCAGCCTGTTCTGAGAGCTGCTAAGAAAACTGGATTCAGCTTCCAGCCAGTATTTTATGTTCGCACAAGAACAAAGGCAGGGACAGACTCAAGTTCAAAAACAAACAGGCTTGTTTTATTTATACACAGCAGGACTTATTTACAACTCTGATGTAGACTATGTACATAACATACAAGAGGCATCTGCTTCCAGGTGGTCACCGTATAAATTAGGGTTATAAATATGAGGGTAGCCCCACCTGCAGGCACAAAACCTTCCTCCAGTTGCTCGGGTATCCTCCTCTCCATCTGCAGACAGGACCGTGAGCATCCAGGACTGAAGAACAGCTGCAGGGGGACTTGGGGCAGATGGCGATGGCCAGGGCACACCTGTGGAGTGCAAGCCCGTGGCTGCCTGGCAGGTCCCCCGCACTCAGACTGGTCCCCCACTTCCTGTGACCATGTAAACAGACACCACTGACCTCCAACTTCCTTACCCAGACCCAATGCTTTGAGAACGTGGGGTGGCCCAGCGCCAACATCAGCTGTTCTTCCCTGGGCTCCCTCATGTGAGGTTCAGCCGTTCTGAGCGGACCGTCCCGTCCCAGGCACAGGCTCTGCCCTCGCAGTTTGCCTTTCCCACTTTAGGAACCTAGTGACTTCTGTGGCTAGATGACCCCTCCCTCCACCTTCTTCTGTCTCAAATGACTGCTCAGTGAGAAACAGCCCCAGGTAGAAAAGTGACAACCATTTCTATACGCAGTGCTGTTTTCCAGTGAAGCAGCCAAGTCCAAAGACACAACAGGAGAGGCTTCAGCCCACATCTTACCACCAGCTGATCTCACACACACAGACAGCCACTCCCGTGAAACACTAGGTCTGAGGCGGAGTGCAACCAGCTGAGACAGCAGTTCTCTACAGGCCAGTGAGGGGGACGACCAAGGAGTGTAGGGCAAGCAGCAGGCCACTGTAACCCAAACCCCGCCCAGCTGGGGGTACTGTAGACTACCCACACCCGGAGCTTCACATCAGATGAGGCAGTCCTGGCAAAAGCACACACCACTGTCCTCGGGGAGTGAGGAGCCGTAGCTGCGTTACAGAAGGCCCTTTCCAGCTGCTATTACAAGTCCCCAGGGACAACCACTTGCTGGTAAAGGGCAGTCAGTGGCAGTGAGGACCAGGGGTGCCATCTGTGGACTGCCACGGGATGCAGCCTGGGCCTGAGGAGCTTCTGCCAACAGTGCTGTCCACTGTTTCAGGGCCAGTCCTGCCCAGGGGCTGGGGCTGGAGTCTGAAGCAAGACCACAGCAGGAACATGAGCCACTGAACCAGTCCTCACAGACCCCTCCAGAGACAGCAGGCCTGACGGCAGAAGAGAAGAAACTAGCACAGGCCCAGACTCCCAGCCACCCAAGGACACAAGGTGACCTGCCACCCAGGGAGGCGCTCCTAGGAACCAAGTCGTTCTCTCACAGAATATGTAGCTTCCCAGTACCCAAGGGTTATCTCCATGGAAATACTGAACTGGTGTGAACCCACGTCCTCATATGCCTCAGGTGAGGCCACGGAGCGGTAGCAGTGTCCTCCAGAGGCCCATACGTCTGAGGAGCCATCCTCAGGACACAGGAAGAGGGCCAGCGGCCCTGGAGCAGATGGGACAAGAAGTCCTGGCAGACCTGGCAGGCCTAGGCAGGACGGCGTGCCTTTTTTCTTCCGACTAGATGACAAGCCTAGAAACACACCTGTGCCACTTTCAAACCAGGAAAGCGCATGACTTGTTTTCAAAAAAAAGCTCATGAATAAAACGGACGATAGCAGGGCGTGGCCTCTGCGGGGCTGCTGTGAACCAGAGAGCGGCTATCAGGCACGGAGAACATTCTGGTGGACCATGATGAGCGGCCCAACCCTGCTTCTGAGCCGTCAGGGGCAGGGACAGTACTGCCCGGTGTATCCAATGAAGGACACATGGTGAAGGGCCCTCAGACCAATCTGAGCATGTGGCCCGGGTAGAAAGTTTCCATGAGGAGTGCCAGGTGCCAGCAGGTCAGGCTTTACCACATTTGCCTATGGCCCACAAAGCAGGTCAGTGAGAGCCCAAAGTGGGCCTCAGCGTCTATCCCAATGACTCCAGCTGGGAAAGGTATTGTCTCAAAGGTAGCTGTGTTGGTGTGTTCCAGATAAAGCTGTTACCAGCGGCATCAGGCCTCCTGTCACAGAGGGAATAGCACCATGAGGAAGGCCGGGGGCCGAGGGGCGGCACTGTCCTCCCTGGCCTCAGTCGCAGGAGCGGAGGACACAGGCTGAGAAGGCAGAGGCTAGACCTCTGCGGCAGGGGAGCTCCGGCTCAACTCCTTGATCCCACACAAGATCCTCTTCATGTGGCCCACTTTGGTCACGCCGAGGTCCTGCAACAAAGGAGACAGACTGTGGATGCCGGGAAGAGAAATCAGGCTCTACGAGTGGGCCTGCTGCCAGCCAATGAGACTTCTCTCTGCTGAGTTCAAATGAGGGAATGACAAACAATGGAACAAAGACGGAAACAGCACACGTGACAACCATGCAGACACCAGCATGTGAGTCCTGTGTTCTACAAAGACTGCTGTCGTGAAGGACAGTCCAGCAAGGACAGGCTGACGGCAAGGGGATGGCAGGTGGCCTTGCAAGAGCCACCTGTCAAGGAAGCCCTGGTGGCCTTCTGCCCTCTCAGTATAACTGGAAACAGTGCCCAGAAGACAGCTCTGCAAGGCCAAGCAGACCATGCTGGGCTACGGGGCAGAGGGCAGCGTGCAGACCTGAACACACGTGCGCGGGGAGGAGGGACGCACTGCCGACCTCCCTTCTCCCTGCACAGTCAAGTGGCAGCAGCTGCTCAGGACCAGTGTGGATTCCCTTGAGTCTGGGCTTCCAGAAGCAAACTCTCCATCTGCACTCGCTGCAGCACAGCAGACCCCGTGAGCCACCTTGGGCCAGAGCTTTACAGCCGACCTTGTGAACAGAGTGCTACAGCCCGTTTCTAATGTTAGACAGTGCCTTCTTAATGTGGCTAAGAAAGCCCAAGGCTTCCCCGACAGTGTCTGCTCCTGGTCTTGCTTAGCTGTGCCAGGAGCCATCAGTGACAGAGGCCAGGGCCACAGTCACCCTGAAGTGCACACACAGGTCTGAGAACTGTGGGGAGACTGCTGATGCGAGGACACGGTCAGGTCAGGAAACAGGACAGCTGGGAGGAGCATGTGAAAGGCCAGGTGTGGGTTCTGGGAGGACGCCCATGAAGTACCTTGAGGTCCCTCCGCTCCAGATGCAGGAGCTCAGAGCCCCGGATGTCGTGCCGCGTGAAGATGTCCTTATACTCACAGAGACTGAGGTGCTCCAGCCAGGCAGCAACCTCCTCTGTCCCCCAGAGGTGAACTGTCAGAGACGGGAAAAGCATGAGTGCAGTGAGTGCCCAGAGCCCAGCACCAGGCAGGCAGCAGCCAACACCGAGACACCAAGCAGAGGCACCAGGATCCCCAGCAGACAGTGCCCCAAACACCCAGCACTCGAGATACCCAGGCAGTGGCCAGCACCCACCACCCAGGCACAGGCAGTGCGCACCGGCAGTGCGAAGGACATGGGGAGCTGCCCTCCTGAGGGGCGTGAGCTGCGGCAGGGCTGGCGTCCGTTCCTGCCAGGGATCCACCAGCCTTTTGGACACCTGTGCCCCAAAGGAATTAAACAGCACCAAACACACGGGGAATATCTTTGTGGCTAAAGCCAGTATTTTCTCCAGCTTCCAAACAGCTCACTGCTGGACCACCGCAGGAAGGGAGGCATGCAGAGACGGAGGTCATGTGCTCAGAGCCGCCATCATTAATGAACCCAGTTTCCAGAAACATGCAGAGAAGAAAAATCAAACTGCTGCCCTGAGGGGTGGCATTTGCCACACCAAGTCCAGGACTGGCACCCACAGGAGAGGCACACAGTCACAGTGCTCAGGGCTGACCACTGAGACAGATTTTAAGCCCCAATTTACTGACCCAAAGGAAAAACGTCCTTTAGTGCCATTTCCTACTGATTTCTTCACCCACAATCACTGGTGGCCTGGAGTTCCAGGCTTAGAGACCTTGATCAGCAAGTCAATTGAACAGGAATCAGCAGCCTGCCAGGGGAAGCAGGCAGAGAACCCCAGCACAGTCTGAGTCCAGAGTTTTGTGTCTCCAAGTGTGTCTTGTCACCTTTGCTGTCCTCCCCCCACACCTCAAGCCCCCCAATTCAGGGCAGGCAGGTCGGCTCGGTTGCCCATCACCCTAGTCTCCACTGAAGGCACATTCCAGAGGGGATGATATCAGTCAGTACCCAGACGAAGAGAGGGGAAGCAAGGAAGGTTAGGTCCTGCAGCCACAGACAGCTAGTGCAGCCCATGTGCCTGGATGACAACACAGGGACCAGGGGGAAGAGCCATACGGCCGAGGGAGGAAGCAGACAGGAGAGCCAGCCAGGACAGCTGGCCTCGACAGCCAGAAACACACAGGACAGGGCAGGTACCCGGGGCTCCCAGGCTACTGTGAGCTTCTTTGTTCTTATTGTTTTTCTCCTTTTTAAACTTGGTCACGAGGCGGAATTTACCACTGCGGCTGCGTTTAGAAAGATCCAGCATCACATTCTGTTGGAGAGAGGAAGAAACACTGAGAATTGTTCTCTTCTCTGTTCCTGTATATATTAGTGGTCTTGATGCCTTTTAAACACAGTGGCTTCTGCATGGGTGTGTGTGCGTGCAGGCATGCACACTGACAGCGTCTTACTCAGGCTGGCCCCCAACTCACAATTCTATCACCCTAGTGCCCCAAGTACTGGAGTTGCAAATGCACACCATCACACCTGACTACAGTATCTATTATCATCGTCCATTTTTTTCACTTAATAACACATACATTTCTCGTGTGATTAAAGTTTGTTCATATTTAAATGTCAGTATGTACCACTGCATGAAGACTATTAAAGGGTTGATTTCTAATGGCATTTTATACTTTCCTTGCGCTCCCCCATGTGGAACAGTGGAAGGAGGCAAGCACTGGAACGACCAAGGAGCACGCTCCCGGCTCTTCACAACGGCAGCTTCCACCTCCTCACAGAGCACTCCCAAAGTCACACAGAGGTTAAAATTTAGTTCTGTGGGCTAATGTGACCATGGCTCCGCAGGTAAAGGCACCTGCTGCTGTGCCAGACAACCAGAGTTTGATTCCAGGAACCCATGGTGGAAGGAAAGCTGTCCTCTGACCTCCACAGATGCAGTGGCATTCACACATTCATATACATACACAGACACAAAATAAATGTCAAAGTTTTTTAAGAACATCATTTTGTGATATGCTCTTTGTAAGAGAGATACCTCAAATAAACCTTGAAAATAAAAGTATTTTAAAAGAATATACCAGGTAGATTTGAAGATTTTTTTAAAAAAATTATCTAATGACAAAAAAAAGGTAGGGGCAGCTGGGTGTCGTGGTACATGGCTTTAATCCCAGCACTCAGGAGGCAGAGGCAGGCGGATCTCTGTGAGTTCAAGGCCAGCCTGGTCTACATAGCAAGTTCCAGGCCAGCTGGAGCAACAGGGACACCCTGTCTCAAAAACCAAAAAAAAAAAGGTCAGGGTCAGCAAGATGGTTTGGTGGGTAAGGGGCACTTGCCACCAAGCCTGATGACCTGAGTTCAATCCTTGGGACCCACACAGTCCTTTGCCCTCTACACACACCACAGTACCACTTTCTTCCCCTAGGCAAATAAATAAACATGTGGGGGTTTTAAGGAATAGTTTAGGGAGGAACAAGTCATTACGGGGCCAGCAAGATAGTGAGTAAAGGTGCTTACCACCAAGCCTGACAACCTGAGTTCAATCCCTGGGACCTACATAATAGAGAGCTGTCCTCTGGCCTCCACATACACCATGGCACACATGCACCCACATGCATGAACACACACAAATAAATAAATAAATGTAATAAAAATTTGAACTAGCCAGGAGTGGTAATACATGCATTACAGGCATCGGGGAGGCCGAGGCAGGCTGATCTCTGTGAGATTAAGGCCAGCCTGGTCTAACAGCAAATTCCAGGCCAGCCAGCACTCTATGGGGAGACCCTGTCTCAAACGACAAATCAAAAAAGTTTTATTAAACTAAAAAAGGATTGTTACTGAATGATTAAGCCCTCATGTATCTAAATGAATAAAACAAAACTACATGGTGTCACAAAGGAACACTTTACAAAAGGCATCTATCATCTGCCAGTTGAGTTAAATACTACTTGAAAGGGCAAGAAAACTGCTCTGTGGATTGATGTAAAGGAAGAAGCAACACAAGGTATGGTCAGAGACTGTCCCTGAGCACACTGAGAGATGTGCCGGAGAACTTGTAGTACACAAAGACCACGGTCTCAGAACAGAGTAAACTCAGCTGATTAATTACTGCAAGCACAATTAGAGAAATCCCACACACTGGAGAATAAAAAACACACTTTTTTTTAGGTCTTTTTGAGGCAGCGTCTCCCTGTAGCCCCAGCTGTCCTGGAACTCACTATGTAGACCAGGTTGGCCTTGAACTCACAGAGATCAGCCTGCCTCTGCCTCCTGAGTGCTGGGACTAAAGGCGTGCACTACCGCGCCTAGCTGGGTCTTGATTTTTCTTTTTTTTTTTTTTTTGGTCTTTTTGAGACAGGGTCTTCCTGTAGTCCCAGCTGTCCTGGAACTCACTATGTACACCCGGCTGGCCTTGAACTCACAGAGATCCACCTGCTTCTGCCTCCCAAGTGTTGAGATTAAAGGTGTGTGCCACTACACCCGGCCTCAAGAACACACTTTTAAAGAATGCACTACTTCACTGTAAAATGGCCTTTGTGTATCAGTGTGCTGGAGCTGTAGTGTCAACTGGACACACCTGGGTAGAGAGAGCCTCCACTAGGGAATTGCCTCCATTGGACTGACCTGTGGACTGGTCTGTGGGGCATCTTCTTGATTACTGAGTGATGTGGGAGGACCCAGCCCACTGTGGACAATGCCACCCCTGGGCAGGTAGGCCTATGTTGTATAAGAAAGCAGGTTGAGCAGGGGCCAGGGGAGCAAGCCAGTAAGCAGCGTTCCTCCATGGCCTGTGCTCCAGCTCCTGCCTCCAGGTTCCTGCCCTGAGTTCCCACCTTGGGCTCCCTGATGAACTATGACCCGGGAGATGTAAGCCAAATAAACTCTTTCCTCCCCAAGTTGGTACTGGTCAGAGTGCTTGGTCACAGCAATGGAGAAACAAACTAGGACAGTCAGATTCTGCCCAGCCTCAGGCTCCACACCCTGAGCATGCCAGGGGAGGCTACACTAAGTGCTAAGTGTGGAGCCAGTCACTTAAGCACATCATCCACTTAAAACTATGATATTCCCAGTCCAGGATGAGCTTACTGAGGACAGAGCCCTACCACAAGTCAGAGCACATGTATCATCACCTCTTTGGACATTTTGTATTTCTTTAAAATTTTTTTAATCTTTATCATAAGTTGTGGAAGCAGTTCTTGTGAGCAATGTATGGACAGGCTTCTTTCTGACACAATCTAAGAATAATTTGCTTTTAAGAGGAAGACAGTCTCAAAAATTGGTTTATCAGGAAAAAAAAAAAAAAAAAAAAGAGTAGAGGTTTTCTGTAGGAACCAGCCCTCCCCACATTCACCAGGCATGGTGGGTGCACACCTTTAGTCCCAGCACACGAGAGGCAGAGGCAGGGGCAGGGGCAGGGGCAGGCAGATCCCTGTGAGAGCGAGGCCAGCCTGGTCCACATAGCAAGTGCCAGGCCAGCTGGGGCTACAGGAAGACCCTGTCTCAAAAAAAAAAAAAAAAAAAAAAAAAGAGGAAGACAATGTTTTTCTGTTATTTTTGTGCTGTGATTTCATTGCTAGTCACTTCTTTTTTAAAGTTTTGTGTATATTTTCTATTTGTCTTGTGTAATTGGAGACACCAATCTTTTTAATTACAAACTACCTTTAAGTTTAAAAAACCTGAGTGGCTATTTTTCTAATAGTCAAAAATGGTGGTACTGTTTTTAACCCCCTTCTACCTTCAGAGGAGGAATTTAGCACAGGGTCCCTGTAGTCTTCCAGGCCCTCCTCACTGTCCACACATGTACAGGTGCCTGTGGAGGCCAGAAGATGGCATCCAAACCCCTAAAACCAGTTACAGGCAGTTGTGAGTAACTTAACATGAGTGCTGGAAACTGAACTTGGGTCCTCTGGAAGAAGAGTATGCACTCTTAACCAGTGAGCCATCTCTCCAGCCCAAACATTTTCATTCGTAAGTTTTACACACTACTGCCAAAGTTTCCAACAGACTACACCAGGCAGAGGTGCCATGTTTTGTGTCTGTAATTATCTATCTCCTGTGACCATGCTGAAGGAGAAGTTGTCTTCTGTTACAGGAGGCCAAGGTGACCTTTCTACCTAATCCCTTCTGTTCCATCCCCAAGACACAAAAGAACCCAGAGGCAGCCTAGGGCTTGTCCTTGCAAGGTGCTGCCCTCTTCTGTGCCCCTGCCGCTTCTCTCTCCTGGGCACAGTAGGCCCTGGGGCCCTGTCTGTCCGAACTACTAGATGTGCACCAAACTGGAGCCTCTAAGAACCACAGATGAAAAGTCGGGGACGGACACCAACTCCATCCTGTCAACAACAAACTCCCAAGAATCTGCCTTTAAGCAACTGTATGTTTCCACATGGAGCATGCAGCAGGGCTGGGCTTCCACCTCTTGCCACCTGCTCCCCCCAGGTCCTCTTCTTCTGTTCCAGAGGCCAGTCATCAAGGCTCACTCTTCACTCCCAACCCCTCAACTCCTTCCTCCATGCCAGAGTCTCTCCCTGACTTGAAGGTCCTTTTAGTGGAGAAGTCTTCAGAAGGCTTATCAGGGGCTCAAGATCAAAGGTATCTCAATTCCAAAGTCACAAGGACCATAATGTACAAAGGGACTAATGGCATGAGCCACCACATGCCACAAAATCCCGGGCCTACATACCTCTTCGTCGCCAGGCTCCACAGGCTGACAGAGCCAGGGAGTGTCCATCAGCTTCCTGAGCTGCCTGTCCATCTCAGCTAGGGCGGCACCAAGCCTCTCCTTCTGAGGGGGATCCAGCTGCTGCTCCAGGGGAAAAAGGAGAGAAATGGACCTGTTGAACACAGCAAGGCTCGTCCAGCCAAGCCAAGTGCGTGATGGCTGCCCCAGGCTAAGCACCTCAGAGTTGCTACGAAAACTTGGCAGGAATACAGCTACAGGTAAGGCCTGAGCTCAGAACAACTCTTCCTCAGAGCACAGGGAAGACTGATGGACCTCTGCCCACAGGGAAGCCACGTGCGGCAGCACTGGCTCCTGATCTGCGCAGTCCCCTTGGGTTCCTGTCACCAAAGGGTGGGCCACACACCTGGCCAAGCACAGGCATGCTGGAGGCAGCAAAGGCAGCAGGTGAGGTGCTAGGGACAGCATCACTTTGGAGTAAAGGGTGGAGAATGCAAACCCAACCGGGGATCTCCAGCAAGGCCTTCCACGTCCTCATTCTATACTAGGGCTACTGGCCAGTCATCTGAGCCCCTCCCTGCTCAAGTGTCTAGAGCTCAGCCACTGGCTACCCCCAAGCCCACCAAATGATCCCAGGACTGACCCAGCAGCCAGTTTCACAGACTGAATGGGGACAGTTGATAGCACAGCACACCTGATGATGTGACTGGCTCCTGGCCACAAGAGGAAGGTTCTTCACCTACAGGTTCCTACTGTAGAAACACATCTTATCTGCCACTAGAGCACTGTTAAAGGCATCTAACACCTAAGAACACCCTGGCTGGCTGAGATGTTGCCTCTGAGGATGTGACCACAGCCCCACAGTCATGCTACATGGCCGCTGAAGCCCCCTTCCTGCAGGCAAGGGACTCTGGACTGAAAACTGCTGCCCTCCATCTCCAGCACCCTGGTGACAAGGGTCATCTCACATGTAGCCCTCCTGCCCCACGTCAGCTCACCAGGGCCATCTTCCCAGCCAGCAGCAACTCTGTCTCACTACGCAGTGCTCTGACGTTATTCACCACTTCCAGGACAAAGCTGCAGTTCAGCCCCTGAGAGGAACCAAGCGTACATCCATGTGGCTACAAAAGGCCAAGGGCTACAAAGAGCCAAGGAGAAGCCAGACCCCAAAAGATCAAGTACCTCTGTGGTCCTGAGTCTGCCGTACACGCGTTCCATGGCTTTGGAGCTGGCATTGACGGCGTGTGCGAGCTCTTGCTCCATGTCTCGGTGGGACTGAGCTATTTCCCGAATGCTGAAGGAAACACGCACATGTCAGGACAATGGAGCAGACTTGCACATTGCTCATGAACATATCCGGAAGAGGGATGGATGCACAGGGCTGGTCTGGCTGACCAGTGGAGCTGGTAGCTCAGTCCTAATGACCCCTTCAGTCACAGCACAGGCACAGGACGACAATACAAGTCACATCGCAGTAGTCTCATGTAGGAAATCTGACATTAAATCCTGGCTTTTCTTTCTTTAAAAACAGTATTTTATTTGTTATTTTATTTTTATATGTATGGGTATACTGCCAGCATGTGTGTACAATGCCCTCAGAAGAGGACATCAGATCCCCTGGAACTGGAGTTACAGACAGTTGTTGGCTGCCATATGGGTGCTGGGAATAGAACCTGGGCCCCCTGCAAGAGCAGCCAGTGCTCTTAACCACTGAGCCATCTCTCTAGCCCTGAATCTTCGGTTTTCTAAGGAGGAAAATGCATAAAACAAAGCTCATGCCTTATAAAGTAGAAAACAGGTGAGCGGCCTCCATACAAGGCCTGCCACCAAGACACCCAGAACACCCTGACCAAACCAAGCCCCTGCAAGTTGCACTTGCCTCTCTGATCAAGGGTCCTAGTGGGGTGATCAGCTCTGAGCCAGATCAGCCTGTGCAAGACCAAGAGCCAAGCAGAGGGTGGTTCAGAGAAGCTGGGTGTGGTAAGCTGGCTGGGCAGAGCATGCAGGAAGAGAGCCTAAGGAGCGCCTTGCCCAGACTGGGAAGCATGGCACTGCCAATAAGCCCTCAGAAGGCTGACCTGGCAAGCACCTCTTCCAGGCAGGCTTCCTAGGGCAACAGGGACTAAGTAACAGGTCCATGGCCACTGCACAGGGAGGATTAGGTCAATTCATGCAGGGTTACTGACCTGGGAGCTCGGAGGGGGTTAAATGGGCACTACAGCAGTGTCAGTTTCTCACCAAGGAAAGAAAGCAGCCCAGGGCATGTGGCCAGTGTGGCCTAGAAATGCCCATAGGGACCAAGAGAGCCAGATCTGCTGCAGCCCAGAGCCTGATGCTGAGCAAGGCAGACCTGCCTGGGGGAATACACAGAGCAAAAGGGAAAGCCCAAGAGAAGCAAGCAGTGGACAGCCAAGAGCACCGTGCAGCCTTGAAGGAGAGCCAGGGAAAAGCTAAGCTGCCAGAAGGCCCAGAGTGTCTGAAGAGAGCCCCAGGTGGGCAGGGAGAAACCAGCCGTGGTGGACACTGCCACAAGAGCAAGGGCAGCTCAAACAAGCAAAGGCCTTGGGTCCATGTCGAGTTCCCTTAATAAAAAGGAGAGCAGGGTGCACACTTCTCTCCAGGGTAAAGCGAAGGCAGCAGTCAGAGGCCATAATCAAAAACTCAGTGCAGGATTGAAAGTCTGAAGGACTAAAAATCTCTGTGAGTCCTAGGTTTCCACTATGCAAACCTGAGCCATATCTGATAGATGGCTAAGCAAGCCCAGGGCAAGCAGTCAGGCCAAAGTTCCCCACCTCCTCCTCCCCCACGGAACAAAACAGGCAGAGCCTACCTGTGAATGAGGACCCCTGCAGCCTGCCCAAACTGGTCCAGCTGAGTAGCTTCCTCCTCAGACAGGATTTCAGGGTGCATGGAGAATGACGGTGGGCGGGACAGCTCACACTTCTGCTTGTCCTCCCAGGACTTTAAGGTGTTCTCAAAGGCCTAGGACATGAGAACCCAACGTCAGGTCTTCTGTGCCCTCCAGAGCATGAGCACACATCTACCCCATAGTATACGATCCAGAAGATCAACTAGGTAAGAGCTAGGGAAAGAAGAGATGGATACTACCCTATTAGCTTAGTCTTCGTGGTGCAATGCATCGGATTCCCTGGACTGGAGTTATAGACAGTTGTTGGCCACCATGTGGGTGCTGGGAACCAAAGCTGGGTCCTCTGGAAGAACAGCCAGTGCTCTAAACCACTGAGCCATCTCTCCAGCTCCCTCTTTATGTCTTCTTTTGAGACAGCATCTTGCTATATAACCTTAGCTGACCTCCTGCCTCTGCTTGGGATTACAGGTATAATCAACTACTTGTAATTAACTATACTCAACTAATCTGTGTCTTAAAGAGAAATCCTAGAACAAAAATAAAATCCTCTTTTTCTTCTTTTATGAGTGTACAGGTGAGACCATGGTACACTACTGATGGCCCTGGCCCACCAGCGCCCCACCCCATCCCCTGAACCCCCAGCAGCCATCCTTACTCTGTCTCTGGTTAGCGTCTGTGCCCGGTTCTTATGGATAATCCGAATATACCCTGGTGGCTGGATCCAGGCCTCTCCATCCACCTGCACAGGTACACCCTCATCCCCCAGGATGGAGATCTTCACTGTACGACACTGAGAAAAAGTCACAACTGTTACTTTGTGCTAACCCACAACCTCCAAGATTTTTATAGCACCATCAGGCCTTACTCCTCCATGCCAGCACTCCATGGCTACCTACTCGCCTGTCAGGGCCAGAAGACCCGTCCTCAGGTCTGCTGCCCCACCTGCCTCCAGTATCCCCCTCGAGGCATCTGGGATAGGTCAGGGCAAGAGAACTTGGTGTGCAGATAGGGACATCAGAGCCTAGAGGGGGTTCAAGGAACCATAGACCCCTGCCAGGTGTAAATACCCCCAGAGCAGAGCCAAGTCTGTTGAGGTAGATGATGAAGCCCTGCTCTTTTCACAAAATGTTGCCAAAAAGAAAATTAAATTTTAAGCAGCTATTGGAGACATACAGAACACAGGAAGAGGCCAAGAAATCCTACCCAGTCCTCACTGTGTATAGAGTCATTCCCTCCCTGCCCCCACAAGCAAGCCCATTAACTCTATGAGAAGCCGTGCCTGCCCTCACTCAACCTGCTGGCCCAGAGCAGTGCACTGGGCTCTGGTGGGCTCACTCTAGCTGCCACAGAGGCAGCTCCATTCCCACAGGGCACTACTGCTGCTGCAGACCCAAGACAGGGCTCAGCTAGGTCTGTTCCACCTCATCAAGGCACAGAGCACTCAGGTGGGTGAGGGGCAGAGTGGGACAGAGGCTGGCTTGAGATCCTGGGAAGGCACCTCTCTCCTTGGCTCCATGCACTGGGAGCAAATCCAGGGAGTCTTAGGCCAAGCCTGCCTCTCCAAATAGTAGTGGGCCCCAGGAGGGTGGGCTAGACCCCTGGAGGATCATGGCTGGTACCTGGGCGATTCGATGATGCTGCAGCTTAATAACACGGGACACAGCCATCTGCATGCTGCCAAACACAGCGACCACCTCCAGAATCTTATCATCAAATGACGGAGCTGCAAAAGTCTGAAAGCGCCAGCGTGAGAACTGTCTGCCCCCACTTCCCCAAGCAGGCCCCCCTCATCTCCTTCCTGCTCTGGGGGGCTCTGGTGAGGCAGGCAGACCCATAGCCACAGATGGCACAGGGCAAGGTAGAAGCTGGTAAATGCACTGCAGAGGGGGTTGGTTGTCTGTCACCTACAAACTCCTACACTTGCTCTTAAAGCCATGACATCTCAGGCAAGTTACTGCCTCTGTCTTCAGACGGGGTGCCACTGGTTGCTCCCCAAGGGGCTGGACTGCTGCTCAGTGAGCTAACAGGTGCTCGAACAGTGGCCCCCACACACTGTCTGCAGTAAATGCCGGCTGTTTTTGTTAGCTATGTGTGAAGACACCATGTCCCTGGTTAAAACCTGTCAATAACTTCCCACAGTTCTTAGCATAAATTCCAGACTCCTCCCTTGGCTTCCACAGCCCCCTACAATCCAGACCCCGCAGACCCTGCAGAGCCCTCGCTTGTCTCTGTGCACCTGTCCCACACTAGTCAGCAGACCTTTTCCCGTGCCCTCCATGCACCTGCCCATTCTGCCTCTGAGCTTCCACGTCCTGCTTTCTCTGCTGATACCGTGTACTCCCCACCTCGTGCCCACCAACTTGGCCAACCCCCAAGTTTTTTTAAGTGTCAATTGCCCCTCACTTGACCAGGTTCAATGCCCGCCTTCTAGACAGTACGCCAAATGGCAAGGGAGCCTATCTGGTCCTTGACCATGCTGACTGCCAGAACCAGACAGATACTCCATCTAGTCACCCCTCACTGCTCACCCTGAGCCCCGCCCACCCACCTCACACCCTATACATACATCATCCTCTTTGGTGCCACCCCAGAAGTTGGTCCCTCCGGCATAGCTGGGAATGTTGAGGACAGCAATTCCCTGAAGACTGGGGAGGGGAATCGGGCGCCCATCACACTGAGTAGGAGAAATGCAGACAGAAAAAGCAATGCTCAGCATGCATCAGACCTCTTCCCTAGCACCAACCAGATTCACAGGAGGCAGTGAGTGGGAGGGGAGGGAAAGGGGAGATCCCCAGGGAGTCCACTCCTAAGGAAATGGCAAGAGCCAAAGCCAGGAGGTCACCTGCCAGGCCAGGAAGCCACACACTCACCTCCAGCAGGACCTTCTGCTCCAGGTTCCTGTAGGTTCTATGCAACAGCTCTTTGGTGCCCAGGACACCGTACCACATCATGTTCTTGGTCCGACTCCTAGAAAAAGTAAAGTCTTGGGAGAGGGTTTCCTTCACAGTAACCTGAGTTACTGCTGGGAAGCTTGGAGGCCTTATCACAAATCAGATCCAGCAACTACACGCAGCAGGATACCCGAAGACAGGACAGTCTCCAGTTCTCAGACATGCATGAAGAGCCTATTTACAATGAGAAAGCATGCTAAAACATGACAGTTGGCCAAGGGAGCAATCACACCCTGAAAAGCAAGTAGGTGAACCCCCCCAAATTTATCATGACTTTCTTCTGGCTATAAAATTATGCTATGGGGCTGGGAAGATAGAGCACTTGCTGTGCAGGTATGAGCACTGGGGTTTGAACCACATGAGGCTGGACTCAGTAGTGCAAGACTATAATCCCAGTACACACGATATGAGAGGAGGCAGAGACAGGAGAATCCCTGGGAGCCCACGGGCCAGCTAGTCTGAGGTACAGCTAGCCTGGGGTAGAGAGTAGTAAACAACAGGAAACTATATCAAAACAAGGTAGAAAGGTCATCTTTTAATGTCTACACATTCACCGTAGCCTCTGCCCACCCACACCCTCACACGCAGAACACTCACAGGCACATAAATACAATTACACTTACCATAGAAAATGTGCAACACAGAAAAGCATAGAGGAGAGAATAATCTCCAACCGCCCAAACCTCCGTGTGTCCCACAGCTGAGCAGCACCAGACAGTGACCCCACAGCACACCTGCCTTATCACAGGCTCTGACTCTCGGGGAGAGATGCAGCCCATTCCACCCAGCCACTGCCAGTGCATTCCTGCTATCCAGTGCCCAGGCTGGCCACCCTGAGAAGTAGACCCCTCCCCCTTCCAGGCTGGCCTCCTGTCTGCGGCCTGCTTCCCACACCTCTGCTGGCCGGGTGACAGTCGGGGTACTGCCCTTTGCCACAGCACTCCGCACCTTCTTATCCACTGAGGCAAGCAGAGGCACTGACATGAGGGCACAGCACTTAAGCCTGCACTCACCTACACTTCTCCGGGTGCTCGTCACGCTTGTTGTTGAAGTCCAGGGATATCTTTGCATCCAGGCCGATGCCAAAATAGTTGTTCATAACACACTTCTCTGTGTAGTACTCTCTGCAAAGGAGCCTGAAGTCAGCCACAGCAGCTGCCACAGCCTCCTCCACAGGCTGGCCCCCGCATTCTCCCCTAGAGCAAAGTTGCTACTTCTTTCCGTGTTTTGCTACTGCTTCTCTTTTGGGTGTCTTCCCATGTTTATGGCAAGCACCCAGGCCCTGATTCAGGATGGTTGTTTTCTTTTGTTGTAAGAGCTCTACTGAGATATAACGCACACATCATGTAACTACGAGATTAAAGTACACGATCCGATGGTTTTAGTATATTCAGGTCCTGTCACCTCTATGATAAACTTCAGGATGCAACACCTCCCATGGCTCACACCTCCTCACCCTTCCAGCCTGTGGAAGCCACTACCCCACCTTCTGTCTTTGGATGTGACTATCTGGGACCTGTCCAGTAAATGGACTGGGACAGTAGTACAGCCTGTGTGTCTGGCTGCTTTCCCTTACCCATGGTTTATAAGTATACACCAGATTTTTGTCTACTGTCAACTGATAGACACTTGAATTACTGTGTGATCTGGTGAAGACTTGTGAGCACTAGGGTACAGCATTGCTGTGGACATGTGCTTTGCATTCTCTTGGGTTTGTACCTGAGGCAGAAGCACTAGGACACCTGGGGACACTGCTTTGTCCTTCTGAGAACAACCAGCATGGGGCTAGAGAGATGCTCAGCACTTAAGACCCAGGTTTGGTTCTCAGCACCCACATGATGGCACACAACTATCTCTAACTCCAGTCCCAGGGAATCCAACATCCTCTTCTGACCTCCACAAGCACTGCATAACATGGGTGCACTTAACTTACATGCAGGCAAAACACTCATGCACATAAAAAAAATTTCCTTTTTTAAAAAAATTTTATTATTTTTTAATGTGTATGTGTGCATTGCCTGCATGTAAGTAAGTGCATCCATGTTGTGCAATGCCCGCAGATGACAGGAGAGGCTGTCAGATCCCCTGGAACTAGAGTTATGGACAGTTGTTAGCTGCCATTTGGGTGCTGGGATTCGAACCTGGGTCTTCTGCAAGAACAGCCAGCGTTTTTAACCGCTGAGCGTTCTCTCCAGCCCTAAAAAAAAAATTCTTTAGTATAACAGAATTAGAGGAAGGGGACTACAGGGAGACCGTGTCTCAAAAGACCAAAAAAATAAAAATAAAATAAAGCAGTAGCAGGGCAGGAGAGGCCAGAGAAGTTATGAAAACTGGAGGGGGGGAGGGGAAGAAAGAGAGAAAGAGAGAGAGAGAGAGAAAGAGAGAGAGAGAGAGAGAGAGAGAGAGAGAGAGAGAAACTGTCAGCCTGTTTCCTAGCTGAGCCGGAAGCCTCAACCCAAGGAGGTCTATATGAAACACACATCCACACAGCTGAACTTTGGATCACAAGATGCTTCTCAAATATCCCTACATCTGTCCAAGCAGTCTCCAAACTGAAAAGGGCCGTGGCCTGAAGTGCCCATGCTGGCTGTGGCCATGAAGCCTCTTCCCCAGAGCACAGGTGGTGACTCACCTTCAGCCTCCAGACCCCTAGACCCAGGCCCTATTTCTGCACTTCCCTGCCCCTCCACAGTCACAGATGTCTGTCCCATCCTGTGTCCCTCTGCCCCTGTAGAAAGGAGGCACTGTGAGGAGGGCGAGTTCTAAAAGCTGGCATAGACACTGGACAGGGAGATGGATTTCCCAATGTGTCCACTGAAATTCAGGCACATTTTAGCTTCAGTTTTTGCAACCTGATGAGAGCCAATCTCTATAACAAGGGCTCTGACAACACATCTAATTCAAGTACCTAGCAGCTGCCCAGAAAACCTGGGACAAAACTGTTTATAACCTGAAGACTACATGATGAACAGTATTTACAGGCCCCAGGGAGAAAAAGTGATGCAGAAAACAGCATGCAGGGAAAAATGGGGGGGGAGGGGGACAGAGACAGGGAGAGCAGGCTTAGTCACAGATGGGGCCTTCCATGACCTCAGAGGAGGCAGACAAAGGAACTATCCTGGTCAGGGCCCCAAGGACACTGCTCCCAAAGGGACTACAGCTCTGACCCTGCCGAGGGAAACCATCAGCAGGCCCCAAGCACAAGACCAGGTCCAGGAACAGAGTACATGTGCCACTAGGCTGGTCCTTGGAGATTAAAGTGCCACCATCCAAAACCAGGGCCTCTCTGAACCACATAACTACCTCCGCTACCATCCCCACCAGGCCTGACACTAAAGATGGGCAACTTGTAGCCAACTGCCACCAACCTAATAGCTGCCCACAGCATGCCATCAGCCAACAGAAAAACAAGTCTGGAAGACTGGCTACTTTGGTTTGGGAAATGCCACCTGCAGTGGATTGTACTATATACAAGGGCTCCATTAAACCACTGTGCAAATGTCTTCACAGCCTTGGAAATACAGGGGAGGAAGAAGGCCACATTCCCACAGGGACAGAGCACACAGCAACAACCTAACCTTTGCCCTTAAAAGCTTCAAATCAGGACAGCTGTGTCCCAGGGAAGCCCTAACACCCAGGGAATAACCACATGGAAGGCTCTCTGTCCAGGAATGCAGAAACGTGCATCACTGGAGAGATGGCAGGCAGACCCCATGGGAAAACGAAGCCAGAGGGAGCAAGAGTGGAGTGAGCAAAGAAGTGTCGTCTGTGCCAGCGTGGGGGCACAACAGCGAGGTCAGCTTTCAGCAGAAGCTGGAGGCCTGCCAAAAGCCTGGGGGTAGGGGTGGGGGATGCTGGAGAGGTGGCTCAGCCATTAGGAGCAGTGGCTGCTCTTGCAGAGGACCCAGGTTTGATTCCCAGCACCCACATGGTGGCTAACTACCATCCAGTTCCAGGAGACCTGACACCTTCTTCTGTCCTCCAAGGACATTACACAACATGGGTGCACTTACATACATGCAGGCAATATACTCGTACACATAAAATAAAAATAATGAATAAAAAAAATTTTTTTAAAGCCTCAGAAGGTAATGCAGGACACTGATCTGTGCCTCCTGTGGGGCCTGGCGCAAGACCAGGACAGAATCTGCCCCTGCTGTCCTGCAGAGGGCCTACAGGGAAGACTCTGTCATAGTCCCAAAGCTGAAGGTTTTCTTCATCTAAGAACACCAGTCAGAAAGACTCTAGGCAGCTGTCCACTGAGTTCTCTGGTTAATTCAGAATCAGACCTCTGCACCCCAGCACCCTTCTAACAAACGCTTTGTTGGTGTTGCCTCATACTCACAGGTTTTCCGGTTCAGCATTAAAAGGATCGGCATTAATTAGCAAGCGGCTAATGACTGAGCCCCCAGGCAAGGAACCAGACATCCCTGCCCGAACACCTGCAAGGAAGGAAAAAGAGGATGCTAGCCAGAAGCTCCAGGCAGAGCAGGTCAGATCTCTAAGGCTGGTGATGCACATGTATTCTACAACACAACATTATGAAGGAGTATTCCAATATGACAATTAAGGGTTCAAAAATCACCATCTTCATCCCCTATTTATGGAACAAAGTCAGGTATGTTGGAAAAGTAGGCATCAACACCCATGAGACATCTACAAACTGTCTTCCTGAGCTATCTGGGTTTTATGTGGGCACTACATGCCTTTTGTTTAAAAGGGAACTTTTCCAGGCTTGGAAGCCTGCAAGTTACTGGTCAGAGAGGCCTCAGAAGCTCCCAAAACAACACAGGTTATTGACATTGCTCTTGGCTCCCCACCATAACTACATGGTAAGATCCTATTGCTGAAGACAACATATTTTGACTGCAGGAGAGCGAGAAATCAGTCTGCAACTTCCTCCCTGCTTAGCTTTCATACAGCTGACGTGCTGTGCAGACCACTGGGAGGAAAAAAAGGCATCAAAGGACTTACCTAGCAGTGGACCCAGCAGGCTCCAATACCAACCTACCAGGCAAGATGTACCTACTAGTGCAATAGTTGCATGACAGGTAGGAGGTAACCAACTACCTCTGATTAGCTCTGAGGCCTATTCCACAAGAGGGAATCCATGCCTGCTACTGTAAATCTGGTCAAATCTCATGACAAAGATGACAGGCCCCAAGAAGAAAACTGCTGTTGTTGCTGCACTAAGCACTCATGTTGTCCAACCGCCTTCTTTTTTTTTTTTTTTTTTTTTTTTGAGACAGGGTCTCCCTGTACCCCAGCTGACCTGGAACTCACTATGTAGACCAGGCTGGTCTTGAACTCACAGAGATCCGCCTGCCTCTGCCTCCCAAGTGCTGGGATTAAAGGCGTGCGCCATCGCGCCCAGCTCTAACCGCCTTCTTAATATCTATGTTTATACTCAGAGACTTGTGCTGCTCTCAGCCTTGGTCAGGGAAGCTTCTTTTTGCAGTGGGAGGTAGTTAGTGCAGAGATTCATAACTGGTCAAAGTGCTGAGAATGAGTGACTGAGTGCTCAGCCCTAATTGGGACATCCATATCACCATCACCAACACCCCCTGGCCTCAGGAAACATCACGGTAGAGAGGGTTGAAAGAATGCAAGAGATGGAGGATGGGGAGGAGCTCTGTGAAATGCCGTCTTCTGGACAGTACATTGACTTTGCACTCATGAGTTCACAGCAACACTATTTGGCACAAGACCTGCACCAAATCCAGCCAGTCAAAATTCAAGTATAAATTGCAGAGGGGTTCTCAAGACCCCACCCCTAGCTGAGGAGCTACTACAGCAGAGTGCTTATGGAGGAGAGTCATGTTTCTCAGGTGCCCAAACACTGATAGGCTGCCATGCTCCAGTGGACAGCCCCTCACCCACGTGGTCTCAGTGAGTGGAGAAAACAAAACAGGGGCTGGAGAGATGACTCAGCAGTTAAGAGCACTGGCTTTCCTTGCAGGAGACCTGGGTTCGATTCCCAGCACCCACATGGCAGCTACAAACCATCCTTAACTCCAGCTCCAGGGGAATCCAAAGCCCTCTTCTGACCTCCGTGGCATTGCACGACACGGGTGCACTTACATACATGCAGGCAATATACTCATACACATAAAATAAAAATAAAAATAAAAATAAAAATAAAAATAAAAATAAAAATAAAATACAATAAAATAAAATATGAAAGAAAACAAAACTTTTGAAAAGGAAGACATAAATCTGGAAGGGAACATATTGAGGAATCTCAGGAGGGAGTTGGAGGGAGGCATGAGAGCAGATATGATCAAAAAACATTATATGAAGTTGTCAACAAATAAAAAATAATAAAAATGAGTAAGAAATAGAAGGGCACTTTTCATGTGGTCACATAAACCACGGTGTTCTACCTCCACGAGCCTATATGCTCTCCAAGGGCAACACTTTTATTCATTCCAACAGACCCAGGACTCAGCTATGGTCAGCAAGCACCCATAACCTCTCCTGGTGCCCCGCCCCAACTACGGTCCCCAGGTGGAAAGGGGTCTCACTCACTTGGATATAGGATCTTGGTGTTCAGAGCAGGCAGCCCATCCCGGCTTCCAGTCTGGGGAGGGAGGGAGGCAGAGCTGCCAAGAACCAGACCTTTGTTCATCAGCTTTTCACAAGGGGCTCTAGACGCTGTAAAACAGGACAGCACACTTGAGATTGTCCAAAACAGAACACGGTGAAATTGTGGGGAGGGGGTATCACAGCAAAATGAATAGGGGACGGGAAGGCTGTGGGAAAGAAGGAGAGCTATGAACCACCAATCAATCAGCAATATTTGAGACGGAGAGTCCCTGAGCCGAGGAGGAGACATGAAAACACACACTAAGGGTCTAGATTCATCTTGAGGCACACAGATATGGATGGCAGTGCAAGAGTAGAGGGGCTGATCCCTAATCACAGTCTGGGAAGAACATATAAAGTTCTGAGTGCTAATTATCACTACTGCTCTCTACTCTGCAGGAAACACCCCCACCAAGGGGCAGGACGGACTGATGGGAAGACCACCCTCCTCATGAGAACTTTGTGCTGGGGTCTACTCCAAAAAGAGCCAAGGTCTCATTTTTGTCAAATTCAGATCCATATGAGCAGCCATGGGTCAGTGAGGCTCTGAGGACAGACACCAGAAGCTCCTCAGCAAGGGACTCGCCATGCAGGCCCCACAGTGCACACACCTCTAGTACACACATCTCCAGGACCCATGTAGATGGTGTAGATGCAGGCTGTGATTGGGATTCTGAGTCACTCAAGTGGTCAAAACAATTATAAGAAAAAGCACCCTAAAGTTCCCATGAGAAGCTCACCAAGCATCACCCAAACCAAAACCCAGCCATACCTTTGCGGTGGCTCCTCCCCTTGGCAACCACACAGCTCTCACTGTGGGCAGGTGGTGGGCACATCCTATTGTCGGTCTTCAGCTCCTTCTTCTCAGACTCGGAGAGGCCCAAGATGAAGCCCTGCTGCTCCTGAGTCTGGGCGTTCTGCTCATCTACAGCTGGAGAGGAGAGAGCATTCCTGCTGGGCTTGTGTCAGAGGCTACAGAGCTATCAGCACTCTCTTCTCAGTGGTAGTCACTTGAAGCTCAGACCCAAAGTCCCCACCTCATCATGGCTCACTCCAATGCCCTAGCTCTGGCAGTGTGAGGGCTCCTGGGCATTCCAGCTAACAGGCTGGGGAGAAGGATTCTGAGGCAGGAGGATGTGGAAGGTAGAGGGGAATAACACAGAGGGCCCAGCAGGAGAGTAGTTGGCATGGACACACCAGGGCCCAGGTGGGGCCATGACAGGATCTAAGGTGAGAAGAGATGGAGCTGCTCAGGGTGGTAACAGGAGGGTGGGTAGGAGAGTATGAGGAAGGAGAGGATGTGAAATAGTGTCTGAGGGCAGGATGGGGGCGTGTCCTATGTGAGGGTGAAGGCAACAAAGTCCATGGGTCAGAATAATTGCTTCATGGTGACCACAGCGTGGTCTAGCACCACCTTCAGGGAACATGGGACACCAGGCTGCCTGGAGACTGAAGGCCCAGTACCTTTCTCTGTGTGTTCTATGATCTGACGAATTGCTTTCTTCAGGCTGTTTGCTCTCAGCATGAGTTGCTCCCGAGGTCGGAAGATCTGTGGCCGAGAGGGGCATGCCGAGCCTACCAGGCGGTCCCCGGCAGAGCTACAGATGTTGCCTGACCCGTCCCCGTCCTCACCCTCCTCAGCAATGGTGGGAGGTGGGTTGGGCAGAGAGGATGAAGCCTGAGACTCGTCATCCAAGGTCTTGAGGAGCGAGTCCAGCTTCTCTTTCAAGACAGAGCACTAGATGGGAGATGGGATGAGCGGCATGGAGAGCGAGCTCCTCTCACCCAATGCCCCATCTGCCCTCACCCGCTCCTCTCACCCGATGCCCCATCTGCCTGAGGCCCAAGAACCAACCTTCTTGGCCATGACCTCCGACTCCCGTGAGCTCTCTGTCGTCTTCTCATAGGCCTTGCCCACCCGAGCCACAAAGTCCTTTACTGTCTCACAGAGCACTCTGTGGAGAGCAGAAGCTGGGCTAGGATCCCAGGCAGCACACCTGGCTGCCATCCCAAGTCCCCAAGGCTATGGTACTCACTTGGCTGATGAGATCACCACTGAGTGCTGGTCCGAGGTCAGGATTTTAGAAAGATGGGCTGCAACTGAATCTTCATAGAAGAGAATTTGCTGCACCTACAATCTCCCCAAAATGGGGGGAAGGGGGAGGAGGCTATTAAGTCTCTGCAATCAACAGCAAGTACCATCAGGGTCCCGGTCTCAGAGATTTTTTTGGGCCCTTCCCAGTCCATCCTCTAACAGAACAGACCATGTCCCCAAACACTATCAGAGATGGCCAGTGCTGTGGAACAAGGTCAAAAGCGTCACCAAGCTGTGGACAGACTGAAGCAATGGATGTGAACAAAACAACCAAAGATGGCTCCTGCTTCTCTAGTCTGGATGGTGACACCAGATCCTGTCTCTGGTAGCCTCCGTCGGCCTCAGTGATGTGCCGATGGGCAGGCAGCTCCTTAGTTTGGTTCTGGTCAGGGCAGAAGCCACGTTTTCTTTGGTCTCTTTGTCTTTTTGAGACAGGGTCTCCCTGTAGCCCCATCTGGCCTGAAGCTTGTGTATATAGACCAGGCTGGCCTCCAACTCACAAAGATCCCCTTGCCTCTGCCTCCTGAGTGCTGGGATTAAAGGAGTGTGCCACCACACCCCACAGAAGCCACGTTTTCTAATTGGTCAGGAATCCTTCATCAATGAGGTGGAAAACACCCTTGCTCACAGCTACCCACCTATAGGATAGTGCCACAGTTCTCTGTCTGCAGACCAAAGAGAGAGCGTCTGTGCCCAAGTCTCAGAGATTTTGATTGGGGATGCTTTAGGCTCTGTACACACATTCTTCCTCTCAAAAGAAAAGCAGAGACCATCTCCGGCCTGCGAAGCCATGCAAATTAGGGCTGGGAGTGCCACCTGCAGCCTTACTGTCCACTGCTGCCCTTGACCCTCTTGCTCGACAGACCACCCCACACTCAGGCCTGTCACCCAATGGGACCATTACAGCATGAGCCAGCACTGCTGTTCAGGACATAAACAAAGACAAGGCTTCTGCCCTAGGACAGAAAGAGTGGATCACAGCAGTAACCACCTCACAACACACAGAACTGACGACTGAAAGGAAAGCACAGACATCAGAGAAGGAGGGTAGTAGACATGGGAGGGGAGACGGCTGGAAGCAGGCAGGAGAGGCGAGGCAGGAGGGGCAGCAGACTGCGGTGGGTGCTGAGCTGCTGCTCTCAGGACACAGGGAAGCACAAAGTCACAGGGGTGGGGGATGCTGGAGCAGCAACTGAGTGGTTAAGAGCACTGGCTGCTCTTGCAGAGGTCCCAGGTCTGTTCCCAGCAGCCACATGGGAGCTAATAACCATCTGCAACTCCTGTTCCAGGGAATCTGACGCCCTCTTTCGGCCTCAGCTGGCATTGCACACACAGATACACTTATACACATGTAGGCAAGACACTCATACACAAAAAATAAAAAGTTTTTAAAAAACAAAGTCATGGGGGAAGGTCGTTATAAAGCCCCTCAAATCCTGGTGACAACTGTAGTAAACCCCCAGGAGGTCATGAAACCCTAGGATTGAGCCTGCTGGGCCTTGAGTTCAGTCTAAGGTTCACCCTACATACTTGCAGCACACACAGGGATAGAAGGCAGTGAAGTCCACTGAGTACACAAAGATCATACATGGGGGCTTAAGGAGCAGGTAATAAGTTGGGGTGCAGCCCAGTAGCAGAGTGCAGGATTCCGAGTTCAGGGCCCAGCACAAGAGAAGGAAAGGTGCAAAAGAGAGCAGGTGGTGGTACCTCAGAATCCTCACTGAAGTCCTCAGTGACAGTAGAGGAGGAGGCCTGCCGAGGGAGCTTAGTCTCGTATGCCATGACACTCCACCTGCACAAGTACAAGGTCAGCTCAGCCTTAGGGTGTCCAGCAGCACCCAGGAACAGGAAGCCCCCCAGAACTGACCCCTTACTGCTTCATTTTCATAGCCTGGTGCCTTGATCCTAGTGCTCTCCTGACTTCTTTTTCTGACTTTTTGAAATGGGGTCTCGTGTATCCCAGGCCAATCTTGAACTCACTGGCCTAATCCTCCCACCTCCACCTCCCAAGTGCTGGGATTACAGATGTGCAACACCATGTGCAGCCTGACTTCATTTTTAAGCCCCTAGTCTTGTCTCTGCATCAGTAACTTGGCTCTTTACCTATCTGAGAGGAATGTCTCTTCTTCAGAACCCACAGGGCACAATAGCTCTGCTGAAAGATGGCCATGTTTCCCACCCTGCCATTAGGCATGGTTTCTTGGAGAAACATATTTATCTTCCTTCCAAGAACTTCACATTGCTCAGCTAAAGGCCAGAATACCCAGCGGGGATTAGAGTGTTACAGCAGTGGGCACAGGGACCTCCTCCCTGAGAGGTAACTGGGTAACCAGTTCCTGGGTCCTCAGCACCAACGAGTACTTTCAATAGCAAAGATTTCAAGTGTGAAGTCAGCAGCATCCTGTTCAAGGAGACCAAGGCATCTACCTTCTAGAGGGTAACTACTCCAAACTCATTCTGGGAACAGAGAAGGGGAAACAGAATTTTCCAAGTACGCCATGAGGAATACTTCATCAATGGTCCCTGGACCCTGAACTACAGCCACCTTCTCTGCAATCCTGAAGGACACAGGTGTGGCCTCAGGAGATGGTCTAACAGGTCTAAGGCATGGTTCTTAGCCTGCTTCATTTGTTTTTATCCTTTCCATAATCTGTTCAAAAACTCTCAAAAAAGAAAATACATGCTCAAGCCCAACTTTTGTAAGCTATGTCTGAAGGCCTGTAGTCCTGGTCCTCACAAACCCCAGGCTAAGAACCCTGTGATCAGTCTGTTTCTTAGCTAGTTTCCACTCACAGTCCTGACTGCCCCACTTACCTATCCAGCATCTTAGTGCTGGCTCTCTCCAGCTTTGCCAAGATCTGTGGGAGCTGGGTGTCATCATCACAGGCAGAGCCCCAGCCAAGCACACGGGCCAAGTCATTTCCTGTCCCAAGGGGCAGCACGCCCAGCTGACACTGATGGAAAACAGTGGGAAAGATTAAGAATCATCTCCCAGTCTCCCACCTAGGATTCTCCCTGTGACTTTCATCAAAGGCTATATTAAGTGCAGGAGAGGTCTGACCTAAAATATAAGGCCTGTACCTTCTCAGTTGGGCCCACCAGGGGGAACAGATGATCTACAGGGTCAACAGCAGATATCAGGGTCACCAGTCCTTCCTCTCATTTATATATCTTGATGATCAACCCTCAAGAACCTCTGGTTTCCATGAGCCCTTCCTTCCCAATGGCACTACAGGACCTACATCTGAGGATCAGCCTGTAATTTCCCACATGTCTCTCCATCCACTAAGCATTTTACTCACTGCAAGACCCACATCAGAGGATCAGTCTGTAACCTCCCATGTGTCTCTCTATCCATCCACTAAGCATTTTACTCACTGGTGCAAAACTCACCTCCCAAAAGCTGTGACAAGAATCATCCCACACTTCTAAAACCAACCAAAGGTCCTACCAAAACCATGCTAGAATCAGGCACAGTCTGAGCATACCAGACCCAGATTATACCATCTACTTGTGTCCCCTAAAGCCTTACCCTGCTACCCAGCATCACCAAGAGCCCCCATCAAAACCCTTTCATTGCTCAGGGAGTCCCCAGAGCTTTCTTGCTGTCCACCCTGATGGCAGTCTCAAAATCTGAATGAAGTACAGCATGGGGAAAGGGAATCCACAGATCCTAAGCTAGGACCACACCCTGCTATCCCTACATAAAGCACCATACAGCCCCTGCTCACCTGACACAGTGTCTATGCTGAAGGGACACAGGCCACAGGGCCAGCCTTCAGGAACAACAGCTGGCAGAAGGTCCTGCCACACCAAGACCCATGCTGCCAGCACAAAAAGCAGGAGTCAATGGGAGGAAGACAGAGGGGCCAGTGCCCAGGGCACCCAAGGAGGGCTGAGGCCTCAGCAGGGCTTCCCCTAGCCACAAGGGAAGGCAGTAGCAGGTAGTAAAAGCAGAGGTAGTGTTCTTAGTGATGCAGCACACTCGGGAAGGGAAGGCCCACCTGAGATGGGGTGAGTCTGAGCTGTGACCAGAGGATAACAGCAAGGATAGATGGGCAAAGGAGGGCTCTGGTGAGGTCTGCTGCCAGTGGGACTTTGCCTATCACAGAGGCCACAACTGCCCCAGGAGAGTCACTCTCAAGAGCCCAAAGATGGCCCAGATTGAGTACAGCAGGGCTAGGGACAATTCAGGGGAGAACTACAGCCAACAGCTAGTGGGGAGGGGGGATCAGGAATAACTGTTAGGCTTCGGCTTGGGTCCTGGATGCATGGCGTCTCTAGACTCCAAGGAAAGACATGTGGGCAGGGTTGGAAACCTGTAGCACTGAGACACTCAGAGAGGCCCACTCTGTCCCCAGGGTAGACATGGCAGCAAACCCCAGAGAGTCAGCACTTCCTCCTAAGGAAGAGTTTGAAGGATGAGGCAAGGGCCCATGCATGAGGTCCTCACCAGGCAGCATGTACTAGAAGTCAGAAGACCACCACCAGGCACAGGACCAGGAAAGCCAAGGGGGCAGGAGACAGTGGCCAGAGCACTGAGGACCACAGAGAAACCACAGGAGGCAAGTGTCCACAAAATGTGACTGAGCACTTGAAACGAAACCACGCTTCACAGTCTTAGCTAACCGTGACCTTGCCGCCAATCCCGCAAATCAACCAAACTAATTCAACGACTATAATCCCACCACTGGAGGGCGCTGCTTCTCTTTCGAGAATAACTGGTGACTACAGGTGGGTCCCAGGACCACCAACCACTCCTGACACGACACAGTCCACACCAGTAAGTACCACTGAGTGAGTGGGGCTGGGCAGAGGACACAAAAATCACTGAAAATCCATTCAAGCCATAGAAATCCAATCAACAGTATAGAAGGCAAAACGATGGTTTGATAACCTTGGCATAGGGGCAGGTGTCCCAATAACAAGACCAACAAAATTATAAAGTAGAAAGAGAAAAAAAAGCATGCTGATCACAAACTGGCAAACTAGGGGGGAAATCTTCAATGACAGATGAGGCACTGATAAGCAAAAACCATGAACATGTGATTCATTTAAAGTATCGATCAGATGAGGTAATGTTTGACTTTATCAGTACTTAAATAAAAATGAGACTTTCTGTTTACATAAGTTGGGTAAAACCAAAAAAGATGAGGCACATGGGAAAGGACGGCTTCATGTCACTAGGGAATATGAACTAGAATGTCCTGGTGGAGGGCAGTTGTCAACACCAATGTTTAAAAACATTGGGCTCCTCCAAAGAGAAGAATCTGAAAGTGTGCAGGTTTGTCTAGGGGTGTCTTGGCCCTCCAGCTCCTGCACTGGGGAAGGAGAGCTAACCCTGGGCCTCTAGCTCCATCCCGGGAAACTATCACAGAGCTGACTTCACCAGTACGGTAAGAGACTAGCAGGTGAGCACAGGATATGTTATGCATCATCCTCTGCCTGTCACGATGGCTAGCAGTCCAAGAGGTGGTTGCTGCAACAATGTGCATGCTGGCTGATTACCAAGGGAGGTGTGGCTGGAGTGGAAAGTCAATGAACACAGTAAACAACCAGGACAATCTATCTGTATTTTAATGTAAAAAACTAGGAAACCATGTTCAGTGGATCATAGCTCTAACATGAGGAGCTGAAGAGAAGTACGTGTCTCCCTTTTGCCTAAGCGAGAGGCATCCAGTAGCTACTTCCACCACCTTCCAGTGAAGCAGGGTTTAAGGATGACATCCCTAACACCACCTAAGACCTGGTGCCATGTTTTCTGCAGATCCTTTGACCCAAGTTTCCCGCTCATCTACCACAGGGCCCCCACCTCCATGCCATCATCAGACTCCTGCTGGCTACCACCATCCGCCTACCCCCATCCCTCACACACCCAACCCCACACAGCTTCCAGATCCTGCACACCAAGCCTCTGCCATAGCAGAGAGTCCAGGCTTCATGTTGGTTTTCCAACCTCAGCTCCCTACCGAAGGCTGGGGCTCCCCTTTACCCAAGTACCTGTTTGTGAAGGTTGAGGCTGTCGATTTCAGAGAGGACCCAGCCAACACTGCCATCCCCGCCACAAACCAGAATCCGGAAGGTGTCAAACTTCTGGAATAACCGTAAGCTGCAAAGAGGAAGCCAAGGAAATGAATGTGCTCCAAGACCAACGATGCGCCTGTCAGTCCCAGGCTGAGGAGAGTGCCTGTTCCACGTGGCTAACCCAGGCCAAGCCCAGGTGCACATGCACTCCACCAGGCAACACCAGCTATCTGTCCAGCCCATCTACTCAGAGCCTGCGTTTGTCTGTGGGTGGTAGGAGCATCAGACCCTAGCAGCTCCTCCAACCAGGGGCAGGATCTACCCAGGTAGGAGATGACATGTACACTCCATTCCACAGAGCAGCAATACCTAGTCTCACTCGACACCAGATCCCGTCAGGACTCAAGATCTTCCACAATTCAGCCAAATACTGGACCCAAAGGTTTCCACCATCCATACCCTTCACCTGCTACATCCACACACCCTCCTAATCATGTCCTCTTGACAGCCTAGCCCTGATCCTCAGCACCTCTCACTCTTTGGCCCTCCTGCCAGGGCTCTGCCCAGCCAGACCCCCAGGCTGCAAGTGCTGTCCTATTCTGTACCCTCTACAACCTCACCCTGCAGGCACAGTCCTCCCAGACATGCAATCCAGGTCTTCTCTTAACTTTAGTCCCCGTCACCCACCCCCGCTAGTCACCCGGCCCCTCCCAACAGATACCCCCCATACCCCACCCCCGGCTGCCTCTGCTCACACCTCCCTCGTCCTGCAGACCTCATCCTTATTCTGGCTTCAAGGTGCTAGTGACTGACTCCATACACCAGGCACTCCTGAAGCTCCATGTTCCCACCTACAGTGCCTCCAGCAGGACCTGTCCCTCCTCTGACATGTCCCCAGCCCTGCTTTCAGAGGCCCCCTTGTACCCACCTCCCACTAAGTTCAGCCAGACTGGACCTCCATTGATGCCCTCAGAGAGCCTCTAACAAAACCTTTCTCATGCTGAGTTTTGTCTAGCACCTCTCTCGCTAATTTAAAAAGTTGCCTGCCCCTTGTTTTCAGGAAAGGGTCAAATATCTTGGCAAACAATTACAACCCTCTCTGAGGAGGCCTGGTGCCTGCAGCTCCCTGAGGTCTGGGCCCAGTCCCCACCATGCATACAAAAGGAGACAAAGGCAGGAGTGCATAGTGGATACCCTGGCTCTCCTCAGAGACTGGTACATCAGACACTGCCACACTGGCTCTCCTCAGGTACCCTCACCTGGGATCCCAAAGAGTCGGTGCTCAAGGCACTGACATCTAATTATCTTCATGTGTTGCCTTCCCAGCTGCAGCCTTGCAGACCCCACCTGTAGCAGAGCTGGCAGTAGAGGATGTGCTCAGAACACAGGCTAGGATGGGCAAGCCACTACCACAGATCTGAATCTAAGTCTGAGTGGCAAGGTTGCTTTTAACTTGCAAGTGGTGAGAGAAACAGCTCCATGTGTCCTTTCAATGCTGATCTGTGAGGACCTATGCCCTCTGGAGAGGCAGTGGTAAGCAGCCAAGGCCAGAACTTAAGTAAGTCCTGTTACAAGCTGGATGAATCAGGGGCTTCCTGGAAACAGCAAGTGAGTAAACCGGCCCCTACACCACTTCACTGAACCTCTTATGTCACCTCACTTTGTACCCAACTCCAGCTGCGAGCATGGAGCTCAGAATGCACGCCAAACTTCCGTTCTACTGTGTAGCCTGCCCACCCACAGCATGCAGAAGCACTCACCCAACACCCCTGGCAGCATGCTTGCTACCAGAGCCTGCTCAGCCTACGGCAGTCACTGAGTGTGACGCTCTCACCCCCACTGCTGAACTGAAGCCAGTTCTTCAACTGCACAAGGAACGGGCTCTATCTAGCACCATTCAGAAAACAGGTGTTTGCAGAGCACAGCCTTTGAGGAGGAAGGCCACTGGTGACTCCTCCAGTAAGCCGAGTGGACAAGATCAACCTACAAGGCACTGAAGGAGGCCCCAGGAGCTAGGGCCAGCACGGACAAACAGGCAGCCCAGGCTCACGTTGTGGCAGCATCTGGCTCTCAAAGAGCCTCTTCCTATGCTCCTCCCAGAACACACACCAGAGAGTGGGAGCTGCAGGCACCTTCCATTACAATCCCCCCAACGCTACCATGTTCTCTCCAAGTCCTTACTTATAGAAACAAATGTTTCCTGCAAATCTGTGGGAAGTACAGACCAAAAAGGACATGCACTGTTTCCCCAGCTAGCTTCTGAAAAGCCCCAGGCCCTGGCACCCCTCACAACTCTCTGCACCTGCACAGAAATGCCCCTTGTGCTCCCGAGATGGAAGAGCCCTTGGCCTTGCTGCAGAAAAGCTCCTTTCTGGAAACCAAGCAGCCAATGAAGAGAGCCAGGCAGGTCTGTGAGCGCCAACCTGTGGGTTTTGGAGGCAACCCAAAAGCAGGAGCTGGTAGGTGTGGACAGCATGCTGTACACGGCAGCTGGACAGGTGCATGTGCATGTTCCTGTATGTTGGTCTTGCAATAGAAGCTGCAAAGACAAACTTCTACCAACTCTTAGGAACAGGTTCCTCGCTCATAAGCGGATTTTGGGGAAGGGCAGTTCAGGAAAGCCAATCTTCCCCATTTAAGAATTTCTTCTCTCTGACCCTTCTAAAACAAGCACACCTTATCTACAAAACAGTGCACGTTCCAAGCATGGCACACTTCACACGCTCCCTACCCGAGGTGTGGTCCTCCATTCATGAGGTCAAAGACCTGGGCGGGGTTCAGCAGCTGCTTGAATCTTCTGAGGAACTTCACACCCTGATTGTCCCCACTTTTGGAGTTGACGAAGACCAGCAGTGGGCTTGTGCAAGATGGGGGACAAGTGGCTTTCCAGAACCCTGGAAGTAAGAGTGAAATAGGACAGAAGAACCCTCACAAGACGCACCAAGGCACTGGGGTGTTGTGCACTAAATGAGCAGCGGACAGCACTAGAGAGACGGACGAACTTACAGGCACACACCACTGGGCCAGTGGGCCACACCCCTCCCTCCGCAGCATCCCCCAGGTGTGAGCCATGAGCCCACTTAGCCTCAACTCACATTTATAAGGATTCTAGATTCTACCTCACTGTGCTACCTCCTCCTCTGGCAGCCAACTGAGTAGAGCTCTTTCTTAAGAGCTACATACCCCAAGAGCCCCCTTCACAAACTTGCCAGCATGCTTCACCAGGATGCCCTACAGTTTTTTTTAATTATTTATTTGTTTATTTATTTAATGTGTATGAGTGTATCGCCTACATGTATGTAAGTGCACCCATGTCATGCAGTGTCCATGGAGGACAGAAGAAGGCGTTGAATCACCTGGAACTGGAGTTACAGGCAGTTGTTAGCAGCCATGTGGGTGCTGGGATTTGAACCCAGGTCTTCTGCAATAACAGCCAATGCTCTTAACCACTGAGCTACCTCTCCAGCTATCACCACTCAATAGTCAAGTGCACCAATCAACCTTTCCAGGAAAGTGCTTGCTGGCCAAGTCATGAGTCCAATGGCAAATAACAGGATGCCAATTATTGCCTCTGTCCACCCCCTAGCTATGCCTGGCTTCTTGCTGACCATGTCTCAAAAGTTCCAAGACATCCATTTCCAGGGATGACAGGAAAGGTAGCATGAGAAACAGCATATGGATACAGATAAGGACAGCAAGCACAGAGCACCTACCATCAGAGTCAATGCTGTTGAGTGCTGTGGGAGGGATGACAGACACCTTGCACAGGCCAAGCGGGCACTTTGTCACCAAGGACTCTTTACACAATGTGTGAACCTAAAAAAGGAATCCACATTTCTCCAAGGGTCACCAGCCTCCTCACACATACCAGATACTTCCTGGCCCAGCAGTTGGTAAGCCATCCCCAAGAGAGGCAGATGCTGTCAGAGAAAGCCAGCCTATGCCCCAAGTACTCTGTTCCTTGGCCTTGTACCACAGGAGGCAAGAATGAGAAGCACCCAGTGAGAGCCAGTCATGAAACCCAACCAAAACCTCCAGCCCTTCTATTATGGCTACCCTTAGCTTTCAGGTGGGGTGTAGAACTCCTGGACAGCTCTGCCATCACGTGCCAGCCTATGCCTAGGCTTCCTTCTGGCCATGGGCTCCAACCAGTTACCAGTCACAGGAACCACAGCTGCCTAACTGTGCTGACCCAGCACCAAAACCCTCAAGACTCCCTTACCTTTCCTTAGAAATGCCCTGCTCCCTTCCCCACCCCCTTCACCCATTCCCGACAATGACTGAACACAGGACCTGTTTGAGGCCACAGCCATGCTGTGTCTCCGCCTTACAGTGCTCACCCTAACTGTTGTCCCAGGACAAACCTCTCTCAGATCTTCAACAGCGTTCCTATCTCTCTCATAGAAAAGGTTGGTGAGCTTGCCCCAAATGACCCCTTCACAACCTGCTGAGATGCTGGATGGGGCAGTCATGACAGTTTGTCATGTACAAGTCAGGACAAAGTCAAAAGAAAGGAACTATAAAATGTCAAGATTGAGAATGATCAGGCACAAGAACAGTCAATTCCCTGGACAGTCTAGAATACAGGCTCTTAGGGCTGGGGAGCTTACAAGGATTTAGAAGGGAGAAAAACAAGACCCCAGGCCCCACCCATATCTCCACAAACCCAAGGGCAGGACAGCTGTTGGCCGCCTAGGGCCCACTCACCATGGCCTTGCACCACAGGCAGCGCCAGTCCTGCAGGCGCAGCACACTGCCACAGGTCTTGTCACACACAGTGCACTTGGCACTCACAGGCAGGTTTCCTTCCAGCCACTGGTGGGGCATGGCAATCTGCAGACCAGGCAAGGACATGCTAGAGACACCCCAGAGCTCCACCCCAGGGCCAGCCAAGCACCCTGGCAAAAGTGTTCCTTTTCTGTTCGGCCTAGACATTCCTCCCCACACAAGCTTTTCCCCCAATGGCCAGTGGAACAAGGGTCTGATAGGGCCTATCAGGTGCCACCCACACCACAGCACCAACAGGTGAGGAGACACCTAGACTTATGGGGATTAGGGAAGAGCTAGGAGCACAGTGACCAGAGCTCCCAGTGTGACCATCTAAAATGAGATGCACAGGAGGGGGACTGTGTAGGTTGCATGGTGGGCAGAATCTCCCTAAACGTACCCCGTCCTCGTCCTCAATGATGTCCTTCCCAATAGAGGCCAGCGTGGTCCACTTGCAGTTATTGGTTGCGCGCACAGCACATCGTTTGTGAGCCTTAAACTTACACACTGTGAGAGAAGGAATATACAGCCCTACAAGCTTCGTCCTTAACAGGTGCCTCCCTGTGGGGCAGACAGCTGCTTAGGAAGGTTGGAGAGGTGCAAGGAGCTCTGCTGGGTGGTCACCATCTGATGCCTTGAGCTCACAACGGTAGAGCGTGGGCAAAGACAGTGAGGGGAGCCAGGAATGAGCCGCTGAGGTCTGTAGGCCAGTGCTGGCCACTGGCACAGCTCCTTGGCTGTCACTACGTGGTATAAAGGCAAGCAGCTACAGAGACCCTGTGGACACTGACACCTCCAGTTCACATAACTTCCCTGTGTCACAGAATACTCTCAGATTGCTTTTTTAGCCATTTAAAATAAATATAAACCAGGCATGGTAGTGCACACATTTAATCCCAGCACTTGGGAGGCAGAGGCAGGTGGATCTCAGTGAGCTCGAAGCCAGCCTGGTCTATATAGCAAGTTCCAGGCCAGCTTGGGGGCTACAGGGAGACCCTGAATCAAAAAGACAAAAAATAAAAATAAACATAAAACCATAGTCACATTGTGAGTGATACAAAATAAACAGCAAGTAGGACCTGACCACAAGCCACAGCTTGGAGTCCCTACTTGTTGATCTCCACTCTGCCACCAGCCTAGGCTCCTACACAAACCCTCCCCTGACCCTGTATTCTATGAGGCATTTTCTTCCCTGTATCTATGACACACAACCTAGACAAGGCCTTGACCTTGTCTGCTCTCCACCAGTTCCCTTTTTTCCCTTTTTGAAGCACTGTAGTAACCATCGACATATACTGACTCCTGTAGGACAATCAAGAACGGAGTTGGGGAAACTACATCACCCTTGACCAGCCTCAAACATAGTGGTAGTTATTGTGACTGTGTCTGGATTTCAAATGGTTTATCAAGTAAAAACTCAGGTCACCTTTAGCAAAAGAGTAAGAAATGCAGCTTTCGTACCTTCACACGATAGCCCATGAGATGTGACCCCAGACAGAGCCTCACGACACACGTTGCAATAGGTCGGTCGTGCGTGGGAACAGGCATACCAGTTGTGCATCCCTGAGAAATGGTCCATACTGTATTGAGTAGGCTGGAAGAATGATAAGAAGGCAAAGATAAGATGTCCCTTTGAAAATCTTAAATGTAGCAGCTTAATCAGAATCACAATTACATGAAGTATCCCAGAGCGGAAAAGGCAGGTTTGTGAAAATCAGGGCCATAAACTAACAGGTCCACCGAAAGGATATGCAACGGGCCTCATTTTGTGGAATTCATGTAGAGATGACGAACTGAAGAACTCTGGTCCACCCATGACACACTCAGAGAGCAGGACATTATTAGGGTGAGGGAAACAGACAGCAAACGCGCCCAAGACATCACTTTCTCTTTCACCTCAAAATGCTCCCTGTTCTGGACAGTCTTGAGAGCTGCGATCCAATCTTCCATCTCCTTCCTGTTATCAGCACACAGGATGAGCTTCCTACAGGGAGTGATGACCTAGAGGGAGAGAAAGGCAGTGAGCAAGGGCAAGGCTGTCAGATACAGAAAGTGAAAATGTGTGTGTGCACATGTGCACAGGTCTGTGCATGTGGGCCTGTGCATGGAGGGGTGGGGGGATGTGCGTGCATGTGTGCCTGTGCGCACATATGTGCATGTGTGTCTGTGTGTGTGCATGTGCAGGTGTGCACGTATGAACTGTGTACGTGTGTGTGCGTGCGTGTGTGGGGGGGGGATGACTATTTTGTTCAGGTGTTCACACTGAACAGAGCATAAAAGCAGTTATCTTGGGTAACTATAAAGCAAGAACAATCCCAAATGCCCATCATATCTCATCACATCCTCACCAGCCATCAACTTAATGAACACTTAGAGTCCTAGAAAACTCAAAAACAGAAGCAAACACAGGAAAACACATCAGTCACTCACATCCTTCAAACTGATGTCCAACACTTGAATGATGCAGAAAAATGAGTCATACTTTCGACATGTAAGATGACAGAGCAACAAGCAGTTTCTAGTGCTAAGGACTGAGCAACTTAGCTGGAAGTGAGGTTCTAAACCTGGTACTGAGAACCATGGAAATGAACCTAGAGAGGTTTTACACCAAAAGAAAAATCTTTCTGAAGCAAGGTTGTGAACTTGAGTTTCACAGAAGACACAGAATATGGCTAATCAAGGAATGCAGAGCTGCTGAGTGTCTGTCTAGTCACCAGGAATGGAAAAGCAATCCACTTTCCCTATCAGCAAAGGCATGAGAGAAAAGAGTTCTCAAGTGTTAATGGGAGGTAAGCAGGTACAGACTAAATTAGAGAAAAAATGTGACAAGGTTTATCAAAATTTCCAAAGACCCTAACTTCTTAATTTTGTTTTATAATGATACAGGGCCAGTGAGGTAATGACCCCAGTTCAATCTCCTGGACCCACACAGTAGAAGGAAAGAACTGACTCCTCCAAGTTGTTCTTTGACTACAACACATGTGCAACGTGTACACACACACACACACACACACACACACACCTAGGTAAATACATGTAATATAATGAAACAAATGTTTAAGTGGTTCCAAAGTCAACCCTACAAAATGAGGTCTGGGCAGAAGTGTGGCTTTGATCCTTCCCCTCTATTGTGGTTCCCATAGGTGACTTAAACGGGAGAGGGGTTTGGAGAGCTGGCGCAACTGTTAAAGGCTCAGGTTCACAACTCAAAGGAGGGAGGGTATTCTTCCATTCATAAGCTACGTGCAAACACGTGTACATTCAAGTCCCTCTAAAAAGAAGCCCATCACAGAAATGCCTTCCCTCCTTTGCTTTTCCTACATCCTAGCCAACACTCCTCACCCGAACACAGACCCTGGTTCTTCCTTACAGCCCAGGTGCACCAGCTGCTCAACCAGCCCAGTTTACTATGGGAACTCTGCACACTTCACGATCCCTTGCTACCTATATAGTCTTTTACTATTTTTACAGTGTATCTCTGGAACAAATTCCTAGAAGAGAAAGTAAATGCATATGCAATTTTGCTAGCTGTTGCCAAATTCCCTTCTGCAGGCACTGGACCATTTTACATTCCCACCAATAGCTTTAGGAAAATGCCTGTTTCCCCAGGGATTCACAAGCAAATGCTTTTAGTCTTTGAGTATCTGCCCGTCCTATCTCTTTAACTTACATTAAGAAGACCCACTTTGGGAACATGACATTAAGTGGCTAAATGATCATCCCAGAGAGGGATGAACGCAACCAAGTCTCTGCTGAAAGCTTTGTCCTCTCACAGTTCCAGGGTCTAGAATGAGGACTTGGGGAAGGGGAGCTGAGCAGGGACATCAGCCAACTGAAGACCATGCTGAAGTGAAGGCAGACTCAGGCTCTGCAGTGCCGCCTTCCTGGAACAAGGAAGGAGGTGAGACACCATGGGGCTGCCGGGTGTCTGCTCTAGAGTGGAGTTTCTGAGGACAAAAAGAACAAGGTTACCACCCAAAGGGACAGACAGACACCCAGACACTCAAAAGTGGGGCTAGCAGGGCCTCAACTGTGGTCAGGGAAACTGCAGGAGCTAAAGCCCTGCTCATCGCTCACAGTCGCTCTCCAAAGTCTGGCAAGCTCTTCCTTAATGATTCACTCTAGAATAGTCTTACTATGGACGTTTTCATCAGCATAATAAAAAGACTAAAAGAAAGAACTCATACTTGACACTGCACAAGCCAGAGACACTACGACACCAGGACACTCACAAAGGGGAACGGTAAGTTGATGTCCTCTTCCACATCTGCTCTGTGTCTACCTCTTCCATGGTATCAACTGCTACATGATTCCAGAGCTCAGCATGTGGTCGAAGAATGGATCTCCGCCCCGACTCCTCTCCTCCTCCACATGCTGAAAGCATGGACTAGCTTTGCATGTGTTAGGTGGCCTGAACAGTGGATTAGAGGTAAGACTGTTGTGTTTAGAGCCAGTGGCTTAATCAACCAAACAATGCATGGTGTCATTCTCTTGGCCTGCACATGCGAGCAAAGGCAAAGCCAGCAGACACATGTCAAGGAGCCTGAGTTCGGGCTTCTTTCCTTAAAGCTGTCTGTTCTGTTGTGAGGAAGTTCACGGCAGATGCCGACGTGACCACCACCTAGCCATTAGTGGCTGAACATGGGTAGACTTTGTTTCTCTTCTGGAAACGGGGGTGACCAAGTCCCCTGCGAGGGCACTGCAGGGACTAGATGGGATTCGGCCTGGCCAGGACCAGTATCACATTTAGGCCCCCAGATCCAAAGCCTCACATTTAGGCCCCCGGATCCAAAGCCTCACATTTAGGCCCCCGGATCCAAAGCCTCACATTTAGGCCCCCGGATCCAAAGCCTCACATTTAGGCCCCCGGATCCAAAGCCTCACATTTAGGCCCCCGGATCCAAAGCCTCACATTTAGGCCCCCGGATCCAAAGCCTCACATTTAGGCCCCCGGATCCAAAGCCTCACATTTAGGCCCCCGGATCCAAAGCCTCACATTTAGGCCCCCGGATCCAAAGCCTCACATTTAGGCCCCCGGATCCAAAGCCTCACATTTAGGCCCCCGGATCCAAAGCCTCACATTTAGGCCCCCGGATCCAAAGCCTCACATTTAGGCCCCCGGATCCAAAGCCTCACATTTAGGCCCCCGGATCCAAAGCCTCACATTTAGGCCCCCGGATCCAAAGCCTCACATTTAGGCCCCCGGATCCAAAGCCTCACATTTAGGCCCCCGGATCCAAAGCCTCACATTTAGGCCCCCGGATCCAAAGCCTCACATTTAGGCCCCCGGATCCAAAGCCTCACATTTAGGCCCCCGGATCCAAAGCCTCACATTTAGGCCCCCGGATCCAAAGCCTCACATTTAGGCCCCCGGATCCAAAGCCTCACATTTAGGCCCCCGGATCCAAAGCCTCACATTTAGGCCCCCGGATCCAAAGCCTCACATTTAGGCCCCCGGATCCAAAGCCTCACATTTAGGCCCCCGGATCCAAAGCCTCACATTTAGGCCCCCGGATCCAAAGCCTCACATTTAGGCCCCCGGATGGACCCCTTGACTTGGAACTGTGTGGGCAGGGAGGTCCCAGGGGAGCAGGCAGGGGCTGGATAAGCCCCAGGCTGTACCTTCCTGGATGTCATCCAACCCAACCCATCAGGGCCAGCAGAAAGCAGGATGCAGGGGAGATGCTCTAAGGAATGACAATAGCACCATGTCACCATGTTTGCAGCTGACACTGTAACGAGTGGCAAATAAGGGATGACACACAAAAGCTGGAACCATGTCCAACATCCATCCTTGAGCTAGAAAAGACTGAAGATCCAGAGATGTTGCTGCAGCTAAGCCAATCTGTAGGGTAAGAAATGTTTCACGGGGCTGCATAAGTGGCTCAGTGGTTAAGAGCACTGGCTGCTCTTGCAGAGGACCTGGGTTCAGTTCCCAGCACCCACATGGTGGCTAACAACAGTCCTTAACTTCAGTTCCAGGTGATCCGACAGCCTCTTCCGACCTCTGCAGGCATTGCATGACATGGGTGGACTTACATATGTGCAGACAATACACTCATACACATAAAGTAAAAATAAATAAAATATTTAAAAGAGAAATGGTTCACATGATCAAATGGATGTAAAAGATCAAAGCCAAGCAGACGTAGAAGTGGACCTATGAAGAATCAATGACACCATAGCCAGGGTTCATGATGAAATGAGCAAGCTTAGTACAAAAGGACTGGCCAGTCACAGAGACAGCAGCCCGGAACCCCAAACCCTGGAGAATAACAGCACACCCAGAACCTGGGGTTGAAGAGATGGAAGGGAAGGCAAAGGTACAAGCAACGCTGTGTCCCCAGCGTCTGCAAGAGTGTGAGGGGTGTGAATTCCCGTGGAATTCTCCTGCAGTCAGGGAGCTGTAGAACCAGTGAGGGAAAAACAGACCAAACTGAAAGGAAAATGGACAAGAATCAGCTAATTTTACAAATCCCTGTGACTTAGCACCTGCACTCATGCCCCAACAGGATCAAACACACGCATGCACACACGCACACACACACCCCTACCTCTGCCTCACCAAGACCATAGGGACAGCCAGTCTCACTGCTCTCAGCAGGCCCACCTAACACTGAACCAAGTCCCGCACTGGAAGAGGAGCTACATATCCTGTGGTGCTCATGTGCTAGGACCATGGAGCCCTGAACATAAATCATCTTCTGCTGCACATGGCACCAGAGACCCCACAGTGCTGGAAGAACCAGACACAAGGGAGTATGTGCTGCCTACCTCTGAGTGCATTAGATGAACTTAAGAAAAGCCCACGGGAGTCCACAGTGCTGAATGTCAGCTGCTTCTGGCAGCTGCTTTGGGGAGAGGGGCATCCGATAGGGCTTCTGGAGGCTGCTATATTCTGTTCCCTAATCTGGTCAGCCACCACACAAATACATACATACATACATACATACATACATACATACATACATACATACATAATAAATGTAAAAATTTAGATA